TGTAATGTCTGTAAATGAATTAAATTCAATATTAATTCAAATTTAACTATCAGACAAATATGAAATGACTGCACAGTTACCCACAAACTGGAAGATGATAGCATAAATATGTCCCATTTGTGCAGCTTTTGAGATAGTTCTTTATTGTAAACATTAAATCCAATATTCAAAATTTGGAAATCTTTAAATAACCATTAAAATATGACTGGTCAATTGTCCACCTCAGAGTTAAATTTTTCTATGACATTTCCATTTCTACTATCAGCTAGTGTGTTAAATGCAGCAGCAATGTCAACATCATTAGACCCAAGTGTTTGCACATGTACTGGATGGACTGGTTGTCAGGTCACAGAATACTTCCTGTGTTTTATATCACAGAGCAACCACCATCGTCAGCACATAATAGTACTAATGCACAGACTATACTAACAGTAGACAACCCACATAACGTAAAACGGGGGCTAGTCAAAATCTATTACTGATTTATATTTTTAATCATTCTACATTCACTTGTCATTCCAGCAGTTTTCCTTCTTCAAGCAAGATGGAAGCAGACACAAAAGCCAGTAAAGGGAGACCCAGTTCTGAATGAACATTATTTAACCTGCCACTAGTTTTAAATAAGTTATTTCCACATCTACAGATTTCAATTATTAACCAGATTCTAAATGATGATATTGCTACCTAAAAACCTAAATTACACTGTGGTCTTTGGGTTGGTTTTTAATGTGATAGAGCATGCTATATCAGGTGGGGCAGGCTGGGAGATGCAGAGAACATATTTCATACAGGCATCCCTGGAGAGAACAGGCTGGTGGTGGTGACAGAGTAAAGCAGGCCAAACCAGAGATGCATGGTACTAACACTTACTGCTCCAAAACAACGGGGGCATCTAGATCATCTGTGTAGGGAAATTAGGCCATTGGATGTGGCTGTGCAACGCAAGCAAATCACTAAAACAAAAATAAACCTTTATATTGTTATTCATGCTTGTGGTAATATCTGAATTGAATTAGCATAATAATTAAAATAAGATGGTATTTTTGCAGCATTACTCATGCTCATACTCATACTCACCCAAACAGTGCACATTATCTCATTATTTAGTTGCAAGAGTTTTCTGTTGCTATGGCTTTAAGAAACATCAAATATGCTTTACATAATAATATAACAAAATCTACTTCATAAAAAAGATCCAGGTTTCTAAATTGTAAATGGTGTATAATTAATGTATATAAAATCAAAACAAAAAAATCCATTTGCTATGGAACATACCTGGATGACTGAGGGATTACACAGATACAGCTTGTTTTACTGTACTACTTGACTTAAGGATATCTTTCTTTAGGTTAATTGTCTGGGGTTGTAAGACCATTTCATCTTTTGAGGGGAAAATTATGAATACAAACTGTAATGTGTAAGAAGTATAATCCAATCTGCTGAAGCTGAAGTAATCTTATTCAAAAGAGGAGACACTTGATCACTGTGAGTTAAACAGCCTCTCTTAGTCAAACTGAGACACACCTGACAGTTCCCATCCTGGTAATCCATGTCTCACTCTATCTACCATGACGGTCATCATTAGTGTCAAGTTGAAGCAGTGAGCTATTAAAAACACAAACAAGGAATGGGCTGAACTGGGTAAATAAAGTCGGTCATTACATTTTAAATAATGATGGGTGTGTTCAATTCATAACAGCATTAAATCAATTCAGTTGTACAACAGTTTTGCTCTCATTCACATATTGCATCTTCTCCATTCTGCATATTGCTCGACAGAGACATAGGTTTGTGGTGAGGAGGAAAATGGCTTTTCAGCATGTTATCATTAATAATTTACTTATGACAAACAGCCCTGACATTTACGCAGCGCTGGGTGTCTGTCTGACTCTGACAGTGAGACAATAACGAAGAAACTATAAGATTGGGGGGAAAGCCTCTTAGCTGTGCACTGGTGCAATTAGACAGGGCACAGGCCTCATGTGGTGGCACTTTGCTGGAGGAAAATATTGATACTTCCTGTGAATATGCAAAGAATGACCTACAGTGTGTCACATGACCCAGAATTGAAAGTCAAATGACTTACTGACCTGCTGCAATAAGGATGACACAAACTGTTATGAGAAAAAGCTATAAACAGAATTTATTATTTCTATCAACTGGGAACATTCAGAGTGTGAAAGACTAACTGTTTAATTACAATAACTCACGCTCCAAGCTAAACCCTGGACTTAGTTGGCATTTTTCTACATCTGGTTGATTTGCCAATTCCTCTTCCAGAAAAAAAAAAGATTAGTGCAGGGATGTTTCAATAAACCAGTTCAATGTTTCCTATCACTGGATTGTTGAGTGTACAAGATCTCTACAGCACTGATGTTTTAATTTTTAGGTGTAAAAAATGTACAATGCATGCTGAGCAGAATTGCACATTTCAGACTTATATAGCAGCATATGCTGCTTTAACTGTCACTGGTAATGGCCTTGCACAACAGAGCAGAGTGATGAGCACAAGAATAAAGTTTGCACTGAAGCACCTTTTGGTTCATAATGACACAGAATACCCCAGAATACTAGCTGTGCTGTTGTGTCAGAATCTAAGCACACTGACCCTACAGAAAACAGGCAATTTGGCAGCTGCTGCTGAGAGTAAAGACACGGGCGGATGGTTTATGACTGGCCAGAGGCACAGCTAGTGTTTTCAGGTACTGATCAGAAGAAATAAGGATTACTCACAATCAGTCTTACACAGGCACCCTGCTGGGAACAGTGATCCTCTACAACACTAACACAATGTACACACCATACACTGTTTATGGTACACACAGACAAGCTATCTGTCTTTGAGTCATCTGCAACTACTGACAGAGGGTTTCCAGAGCCAGTGTCAACGCCGCTGAAAAATTACCGCCGCCATAGATCTGACAATTTCCCATAACATGTTTGAAAGTGCATGTTTCCCTTTCTGCACAATGGTGCAGTGTCCTGTCTCTGGTGAAATGTCTCTGGTGTAGAAATAGTTGCAGTGTCAGTGCAGAGTAATCAGAGTGGGAGTTAATACGACATGTAAAAGACATAAGAGGGACGAAAATATACAGACATGTTTTGTTGTATTTAGTTGACAACTGTTTTAAAAAAGCATTCTTTCTGAAATGAAAGGAAATGTCTATCTATGCAGCAATCAATCACCGCTATTAGGCAAGGTTCTTGCCAAGGAAAACCTGACAATTTGTGTTATATAAACAAAATAGGTCAAATGTCACTGGAAATTGTGTCTTATTTTATATGAAATCAAAAAAGTAATTTTACTAGTTCTATATTAGACCCTGCAATTTCAAGTTATTGATTGTACAAGACACATCAGGTGTTCTGTAGTAGCTATAATAATGGTTCTACTGATAAATTGTACAAAATCATGTTTCTTCATCTAAATAGAGCGTACGCTTACTGCTCAGCTAATGATACAGTACTAAGGCAGCTGCTTGCATAATTTCAAATAAAAGTATTTTCAAAAAGTCTCATCTGGTTACCCCCAATGCTAAATAATAACCCTGGAGAACAGACAGAAGGTTCCATATTTTATAATTTTAAACTTTTATTTTACCACGATAAAAGGTTTTAATTAGCAAGCATAACTAGGGTGATATGATATTTTCATTCACAGATTAATTACATATCTGACGGTGAAAACAAAGTCAAACTGTGATTAAAAAAAATATTCAGTTTGAGGTTACTGCTCTTTCAACTCAAATAACATGTTGATTCCTTATAATCACTGTAATTATGGAGATCAGAATACAGTTATTTCTACAAGCATTTCCAAACCGGTGCATTTACCAACAGCATTCACTCCTCCATTTGCAGAGAAAACCTGTCTGCTCTTACGTGTCATATGACAGGAAAAGTGTAGTTTAAACATAAAATTTACATGAAATAATGAATTGGGACATAAAAGTTCAAGAACATTTAGATGACCTGATCAATGACCAACATATGGGTACATACAAACCACATTGTTAAGCCCTAAAACTATTAATACAGCAACTTTTTTGATTCCATCTGGCAAAGCACACACACATGCACACACCATGCCCATATTATCCCCAACCTGAGGCACCTGCTTATGCTAAAACTGGACTCATTTCCTTTGAAAAACAGGAGCAGGTGCAAACTTTGGCTCAGGTGCAACATCTGATTTCCATCCTCCTGTCAGTGAACCTGTGGCTTAATGGCCCTGAGGCAAATAAGTCTGCCCTAATTCATATGGTCAGCGTGCTCTCATTTCTGTTACTTACTATATCTCAAGCAGTAAATCATTCAGGTATTTCTCTCATTACCATATTGCTTCCTTGTCTATTTCTTCTCATTGACAGGGACTACTCAAGACTGCATCCTGTACCTGGGGTTTAGCAAAAGGGAGGGGTGTGAGGGCACAGAGGGGGCACAAGGGGAGGCTGTGACACTAGAGGTGAAGCCACAGCAGTGAAACAGAGGGAGGTAACTGCTAGAAATTCCACAGCGCTGCAGGGAATGGACCAGTAATACACTTGCAGTACCATACTTGTACATATACATATTTGATAAATAAATATAGAGATACAATAATGAGGTTAGTAAAATATTAGGTATTAGATCAGGATTTTTGTTCCAACAACAATATTTACTGATTAAGGATTGTGCTCTACAGACAAAACCTGTCTTGCCTATAATAACGTATAATTGAAATACCTTTTGCACATAGATATTTTTTTTTATCTTTCTCTATAAAGGTGTAGAAGTGAATGAAGTATCCATTACAGCCTGTTCTTGTTTTACCCTGAGGGGTGTTTTTTGTTTGGTCTTTTTGGTTTTGTTTTTTACAAAAACTAAATGAAAAAACCTTAATGCTGAACATATAGCACTTGGATTATATAAATTTAAACACACAATGAAGTCGATGACAAAGTGATGTCGGTGTGAACTTTGAAAATTAATAAAACAAATATTGTGGCCAGTATACTCACTCCCACTCCTTGCGTCGTGCCTGTGGTGTGCTGTGAATCTTGTGAGCCTGGTGGGCTTTGACAATGTCCCGCTGCTCAATAAGACCCCCCCTTCGCCTCTTCATCACATTGGGGCTAACTGCCAGATCTCCCTCTGCCCCCAGTGTCCCCCCTCCATCGAAAGCGGGGGTCACGTCCAGTGCCAGCCCCAGCCTGTTTGGGTGAAGGACCTGGGGCATTTGTCCTGGCATTTGTGGGAGGTAGATGGTGTTGTAGCTGGTGGAGAGGTTGGGGGGCTCCAGGAGGTGGGAGGAGGAGTGTGGGCTGAAACCACAGGCCAGTCCTGTGCGGTGCTTCTGCCAGTTCTCACAGTCCAGAGCAGGGGGGGCAAGGAGGTGGTGTCTGGGGGTGCTGTTCCCACGCATCGCCCAACACTCCGCCCCCACCGGAGCTCCAGGCAGTCCCAGTGCATTGTGGTCCCCGGTCACAGACTGAGTGCTGACTGTACAGGAGCCCAATTCCAACATGGTCTGAAGGCCGCAGAGAATATCAGCATAGTGCTAAAAAGATAAGAGATACTGTTAAAGCAAGATATTTCTCTAAAGGTCAAGAAAATTAATCACATACATTTTCTAGCATTTTTATTTGTAGCATGTTTTTCTAAAATGTATATCTTTACTGCATGAATAGAGACAGACAGCAACAGTTTATGAATAATAATAATAATAATAATAATAATAATAATAATAATAATAATAATAATAATAATAATAATAATAATAATAATAATAATAATAATAGAACAATAGAACAACAATTAGAACATTGAAAACTATAGTGTTTAAATACACATTCTTGATTAACTTTGGCAGCCGCCTCTGTTTCAGTTTTATAGAGCTCTTGGCTTTTAGTTAGCTGCATGATTTCTTGTTTATAGTTCCCTGTGCGCCATGGTTCACTGGGATTGCTGCAGAACAGAGTGATGGCATTACAGGAGGAGCTGAAAGCAATAACGTTTCTCCAGCATTCCAAGCCTGAGCATTCAAATCTATGCGAAAGCACAAACATGAGAACAGTCAATTAAGCAGGGGACTTAATGATGAGGAAGACATCTATAAAGGTGGATTTAAAGTATAACAATGAATAACACCTACACAGATTTGAAAATACATTAATTTCAGTGGCACAAATCCCATCCCATAATAACTAGACTTTGGTGTCTGTCTTTGGTGTAGAATTGTGTAAGAGTGAACTTTGGAAAAAAGGTAATGAGGAAAACGCATAACAGTCCATAATACAGCAACAGCATTTCCAGCAACCCAAATGAATGAGTTCATTAAAGCTAATCAAGTGAGTGAGGCATTTGGTGGCCACGGCAGTTTACCAGTTGATGTGTGCATTACAGGCTCCCAGTAAGAGCACATATTCACAATGATCTACCTAAAACAAACAGCTGTGTTGTATTGAGCTGCACTGAAGGACAGCAGGAAAATACAAGTACTGATGAAGTCAATGGCCAAGCTAATTGGCATTAGCTGTGTGGCAACAGGTTGAAAGGGTTAGAAATTATACATTGTTTCTTCAGGGAGTTAATCCCTCTTGATTATTTCTTGTGGTTTAAAATAAGGTGTTACGATGGGTACAGATTATGCAATAATTTGTGCAGTCCATTATCTGTGCATTGAGGTAGGGTATAATTACAGCAAACAAAATAGTGAGAATAGAAAAGAAACACATTTTAGCTAAATGCATTTTTGGTATAAAATAATAACTGAAAAACTTAAACATAGCAAAATATATTAGACTGCGATTACTGAATTGGTAGAGGGCCAAAAAATCCCCAAAAGTGAGAGAGAAATTTGCATTAGTTTAAATCATCCTGGCACCAAGTCATCCAACCATAGACACCTGAAGCTCTGTGCACCTTCCTTTTTTTGCAATGATATCTTCTGACAATAAACTACAACAGATATAAACAGTAATAATGTATAGGTTTGTGGCAGTTGTTTTTCCGACATGAGACTCTTACCTTACCCAGCCTTGAGACTATAGTCTATGCAGGGTTATGGTAGCAACAAGAACTTAATAGATTTAGAGAACAGTAAAAGACTACACCAATAAAAATACTATATCTTTCTCCTGTTATTATCTGGATAATTATTACAACCGTAAGTCAGCTTTCACCACATCTAGGTTTAAAATATCCCCACTAAAAAAGATAAATCCCACCAGTATGCTTCTTGCCTACATATTGTGCAATAGTAATAGTCCTATAACATTTAAATGTAATTATTTGACTAAATAATTTTGGTATTAGTTTAAATACAAGTGAATCTAAAATAATCCTAATGCACCCTAGACTAATGTGATATCACATCTAAATTGTTGTGACATTCACATAAGACAGCCAGGTGTTTGTGAGGTTAATAATGAGAAATGAAGAAAAGGTCTGGACAGCCGGGCAACCTTGTCACACCTGCTGCCCCCGGGAACCACTCAGCTGTCTCATCACGCCTCATATTTCACCCAAACCTGCACTCTCCTCCTACTAGAACTTGGTCAGAACACAAAGAACCAGGAAATGTTCTTTCACCTAAATCTGCACTAATGACCAAAAAGGAAGATAGCTAAATATATTATACTGTGATTTTTTTTGTCTGATCTGAAAAACAGCAGCTCATTTAAACTGATAAAACTGTTAAAAGACTGTTATCTCAATCACGTTCAGTCTACATTCATTTTTTGTATTACTGACTGCCATGACTTACAGTGAGTGCATGAGGCAGTGCCAACCTGCATATTTACAGCTCTCTATTGCACTGTTGCATTTGCTGAGAGCAACAGAAAAACTGGGCATGTGACTCAAGGAAAAATGCACAAAATGAAAATGTTTATAAAACATAAAGGAGATATTATGATTTATTTCTGGTTCTGCTATCATGTTATTTTTTATGTTTTTTACTTAAATATTAACCTAAAACAATTATGAGCATTCTCTATTAAAAGAGACTTAACGTGATTTTAATATTGTAGGCTACTATAGGGAACAAACCTACAATAGATTTTATATACTTTAATGTATGTAATACTTCTTGATCTCACTACCATGTGAGTTTATTGTTACTGAAATAAATGAGGTAAAGTATGTTAGTGACTGAGAGCAATAAACAAAAGATGTTGTAGTTTTGAGTTAACTAACATTTTGATTTGTTTGTACTGGTTTTAGTACCACTCAGATTCTGGACAAAATTTTATCATGCAGGTTCAACTTTCAGATATTCTCTTAATTCAGTTAATCACCAACTGGATTTGTATGCATGTTTTAATGAAAAGATGTTTCACAAAGAGGTCTCACTGCTGGGTTGACCTTCTGAGAAAAGTTACATAACAGCAGATACACGTCAGATCGTTAATGATGAATGCTGCTAGAACCTGCACACTGTGACAAGCTTGGTCGTTTGGGGGTTAAATGACCTATGTGTGCTCTGGAACATACTAACAATCTCTATATCCAAGCATTTCCAGCACCCTGTGACCTGTTGCTCATGAAATACCTCAAGAAAAACAAATATTGATCGATGACAGTTATTAGCTGTTAATGTCTTTGTAAAGTTATATTTTATTGTCTAATATATCTAATATAGTATCTAATCAAATGAAGATCCTATTTTATAATACAGTTTCGAATGCATATTATTGAAAATGAAGCCTACTACATTAGGCAATAGTTACAATCTGAGAGACAGAATAAGTAGGAGCCATACGCCAAAAATACAGATGCAGAATTGGATAATATTTTAGTTGTTTGTTTGTAATCTAACCAAAACTATGAGGCCACCTGCTTAATTTACCAGACTCAGACTGCTCACAGCGTGCCTTGTATAAAACAGGCAAACACAAATTATTCAAGCTGCCTCTACCTTAAAATAAATAAATAAAAGAACTAACAGTAAAAACAGGCATTGATGCACATTCTGAAGATCAGTTTAGACAGTAAAGTACATTTCTCTGGCTTACATTAAGACCATACCCCATAGAAACAAAAGGCATATTCACTTGATTTAAACCTTCATTGTATACATCTAAGTGACCATCACTGATGAATTATACCTACTAGGGCGGTTTAACGATTGGAGTTCTCTACCTTCAGAGATTGAGGTGGGAATTTTCTTGGTGTCCTCTAGTGGAAATTGGATCATTATCTGGTTTGTGTCCGATTGGTAATTAGTAAAGGGTAATGTATTTGTACTTTCGGGAGATTCCACACTCAGGCATCTAGTAGACCAGCAATCCATGTTTTATTTGTATGCAATCGTACGTTTCAAATTTTTTTGCCCTGCAGAGAAATTGACAATAATAAGAATCTTACACAGATATTGTTCAAATTAAAGCTTGCATGTAACAGTAAAAGTCAGAAAGCAAATCTCCCAGATGCTTAAATCTGCAGCAAAACCTAGTCTACACTAACGGATATTTTTGTTTTTTAAATGGCATAAATCCCTCTGACTGACATGATCAACATGATGACTGATAAAAGCATGCGTCAAGTGCCTTACCCAAAAATGAAGAACTCTTTTCCATGGTGCGTGGCTTTCCCAGATGTTGCATCTTACGTCCGCCACAGAAGCCACTCAGCACTGTGCAGAGGAGAGAGAGACCGGGGCGCAGGAGAGAGAGAGAGAGAGAGGGGAGGAAAAGTAAGTAGGCACAAATTTTAGCTTACATCTTTTTTAAATGTTGCCTTTTTGTGTTATTTTCCGTAATAAAATGGGGAGCGATTCAACCTGAAAAATAAACTATAGCCTAAAAGCCTGCTGCACCATGGTCAGGGCCAGTGCCCAATCGAGTTTATAGAATCTCGTTTAAATTGTGTCTTATCTTTGTATTAACGTTGTAAAAAGCCTCTTACTTTCCAGCAAAAATATATATATATATTTTTTTTTTTACTTGTTTTTTGGTAGAATTTTTTTTTATCTTATATATTATATATATATATATATATATATATATATATATATATATATATATATATATATATATATATATATATATATATATATATATATATATATATATATATATATATTATTTATTATTATTTATTTATTTATTTATTTAGTTTTTTTTTAGTTTTTATTTATTTATTTTTCAAACGTTATACTTTAGTTAACTGAGAGTGGTCAGCCACTAGATGGCAGTGACTGATCGTCTGTCTATGGTTTTAGTTAGTAGCTACTTGGCTGAAGGTTGAAACGTTCATTTTTTACTGTCTCAATAATATCTTGAATAATTGTTAGTCATTAATTTTCGCTTTATTTCCATAACATCTTATTGTTGCTGGGTTTGTTTATACGTGCGCGGGGTGGGGCTAGTCCGGAAGTCTCGCGATATGCCGCTCCGGTGATTTTACCCCGAACTGCTTGGATACTAGTTTCACTCGAAACATCAACACAGTTACCCGGGAAAGGTATTATTACATGGATTATTAACGCCTGTCTTTTGAAAAACATCTCATCTGTCATATTTAATTACGGTGGACCAATTTAAAAATCACATTGAGTGCATGTCACTAGAAAAAGTTCTTCGCCTAGTTGGCATAAGTACTAGCTAACATCGGTTTGCTAATTTAGCTGCTAACGTTAGCGCACAGTCAGCTGAGCAAGTCGGAAGAAGTTTGGATTTCGCCAATATGACGGGATTATAATGGACATGGGCGTCTTTATTCTTCATCGTACCAACTAAAAGGTAAATACTATCACCATTTAAAAGTCCGCAGTATTGGCTTTTGTGAAAGGCGTCCAAGTAGCTAACATTAACATGAACTGAGTCGACTTTGCTGCGACGTCAAATACATCTGCCTGGGGCAGTCATTATCGGTGTTGAGTCCTTTCTGTGTCAGACTTGAGATTAGCAATGAAAATCTCCTGTCCCCTTTGTGTCATTTATTTAGTTATCATAAGCAAAGCATGCAGTTAACATGCCATGCCACTATCGTATAATAAATTATACCAACAGTGAAATCAGTTAAGACGCGGTTGTTAGCATGACACCAGTGTTAGAAAACCTCTCATGAGCACCTTTCATAATCCAAGTCCCAGTGACTGCATGGATGTTCTTGTACTTTGTCACATGGTCAGCGGTCTGCATCTACAATACAATACAATACTCACCTGCTCCTACTGACTAACTTTACTTGGCTTCTACCAGAGAGACACTGGTGCTGAAGCTGAACCTCCATCACATATTGAACGGTCTGGTTAATAGTAAATCTTATACAAAACATAAGATATGGATACGGAAAACACTGGTGGGGTGTTGCACTTTAAGACAGAAGCAACATTTAACCCATATAAACTATGCATTCTGAATTACATGATCTTGCTTTGTCTGGTCTGTCTATCTGGTCAGAAGAAGTTCATAACTCCTAGGTCTAATTCATGCATGCTCACAGAATCCAGTTAGTGTTTATAATTATTTGGTCTCAATGCAATTTTTTTAGTAGTTGGTTTAATAGTTGTGATTAATCGATTATTAGGGCTGTGGAATTAACTGAGATAGTCTTGTGACCATATACACCGTTAAGTAGGACAGGTGTTCAGAGAAACATTGTGACATTTGACACCAGCATGGAAAGCTTTGAGGAATGCGAGCTGGTACAACCTGTTTTAAATGGAATGAGAGGCCTGTCATGATAGTACATTTTAATGCACGATATATCGCTACAGAGAAATGATAATGTTGAAACTACTTTATGCCACTGTCACAAAGCGTTGTAATGCCAGTAAACCAATTTTGTCATTAAAAGACCTGAGCCAAAACAAATAAACAGCAGAGTTCTACCCTCTGCAGCACAGATCTTGTGTTTTTACATAAAAATTGCTGAAATCTTCCTACTAGTCCAAAGAAATTGTATAAATTGTATAGTAATGGATGCAATTACACAGACATATAGATTCAGTCAGTGTATTGGTTGTGCATGTGTCTAATTTCAGATCTCCTTGCAGGAGAGGATGAGGAGAAGCCAGAGGGTGGAAGCAGTCATACAGTCGTCTGGCCCAAATCTCAAAGCCAATGATGTCAGTGATGGTATGTGCATATTTGTCATTTTTAATGAGAATATCTGTCTGAGTTTAGTTATTCTTATCATGACAATTCTTTTTTTTTATAGAGCTAACATCTGCATGGAAAGGCTTGGCACAGTCCAAAGCTGCTGTAAGTACAAAATACCAAGTGCCAAATTTACAAGTTCATAACATTGTTAATTTCAAGTTAATCTTCACAGTCTTTGCAGCATATTAGCACTGTAATCCTTTGTATGTACTCTTTAGTTGCGGCAGATAGAGAACAAACTTGAAGCGGGTCCGGGATCAGGGGTTTTATTGGAATCTATTAAGGTGCCCTCCAAAAAAAAATCCTTGAAAAAGGATCAGAGCAAAGGTATACCTCTATTAAAGGCATTTCAGAAATTTGACATTTCTTTGTATTAATGTTTTGTTCACTACAGATGGACAACAATGTGATCAAAAAGAAAAAAACACAAAAATGAGAGGTCGCAGTTCACAAAGTCCAGAAAAGTGCAACACTCGCGGCCCTCTTCAGAACTCCACGCAGGAGAACACAACTCGCAACAGTGTGGAATTCAGGGAGCCATTAGCCTCCTACAGGTGATTTAAGTGTTTAAGTGTAATTCATATTTTGCAATATGATTACATTTGTAAAATGTATAATTTTTTGTTGACAATACTGAGGCATTTGAGTAGAGAGCTGTAAGGTACAGTTACAAGTAGTAGTAAAATATATACATTCTGTAGAGTCATATACAGTCTCCACAGCAAATGGTAAATTAAGAGGGAATACTGAGCTTCTTTCTAATCCTGTTTAATCTGTTTTGTGTATAGAGAGGCCACCCCTCAGCCACATCCCTCCTCTCCTCCTGACCTCTCCAGTCTGCAGTCAGCACCAGGGTCTTCGTACTCATCCCAGCCATCTAATTCAAATTCTGCTCTGAGTCATCTTGTTTACCAGAGAGACACCAGGGACAAGCAGACTGACAGGGACTTGGACAGCACACACTCCTCCACTATGGAACGTATGGAGATCCGCTACCTCAATGACCTACCAGCCCTGGACACAATAAGGACTAATCTGCCCCACTCCAGGGCACTAACTAGAGAAGCCCTACAGTCAAACAGCTTTCTCAAAGCACAACTTCTACAGAGCACTGACAGCAAAGACAGTGGAAGTACCCCATCCACTAGTCCTGGTTCAGCTTCGCAACGCTTGGAAAACCTAAGACGTCATCAACCTGATGATAAACTGGAAAAACTAAAAGAGCGGATTCGGAAGCAGAGACAACATCTCGAGGAGACTGCTGAGAAAGAAAAGTCTGGTAGTTATTTAGAACAGCCACTTATTACAAATGGCAACTGTGGTACTTGCACCATTCCGACAGTGAAAGTACGGAAAGTAGCAACTGCACCATCTGCACCTATTTATAAAGGTATGTGGGTCTACACTTGTATGTGAAATTATTTAACAATTTACATAATCTCTGGTTTGTGTTGTTATTTATTTATTTATTTATTTATTTTATTGTTTTTTAGGCTTCAATAGTACTGAAACAAAAATACAGACTCCAGATGGAAAAATCTGGCATGAAGAGGACTTTCACAACTTCAGTAGAGAAATTTATAAAGACCTGTCTCGACAGTTTGAAGGTAAAAGGATTTTATGCCCACTTTTTCAAACAACTGAAGAACTGAAAGACTCGTACTAAAGTTCTAAATTCTGACAAGTCTGAGGTCCCACACCTGCACTCTTTCTCAATGTTATCAGTCTGAAAGAATAACTTAACAGGAGTGCTCTGAACAATATATGGGACATAGTTTCCAGTTCACTCTTTAGCCACATCTCACTGCACAAGTGTGTATTATAAAAAGACAGTTAGTAATTCAGAGTCTGCTTGAAGATGAAAAAATACAATTCAGATATAATTTAGACTATGTAATAAAAGGTTTGTTGCACTGGGTGATATCAGTTCCTTGCTTTGCATACCCCAGTACACTGGACCTCCCTCTGAACCCTAACTTGACCACTCCGCACTGAGCTATGCAGATATGAATCCGAAAGTCTATGGAATAGTGCCTATTGTGTTGTCCCAAAAGCGTTTGCTTTTTTGTTTTATTTGTCCACTGCTTCTGATTTTTTTATTTTTTTTATTTTTTACAGAAAGCACAAAATCACAGCTTCAGAGAGGACAGAGAGATCTTTCTAAAGAGAGAAAACCTCATAAACCTGTGAGAAAAGTGCAAAAAATTGCCCCTGCCTCTGAATTTGCAAAGCCAGGTAAAATGTATATATATGTTTATGTATTATAGTTTAACCACCAGTAATATTTACATGTTCTCTTACATGATAGTTTCATCAGGTGTGAGCATGAAATTTGATTTGTAAATTTAATTGAATTTGCTATTTCCTTATTTGTTCTTATTGATAAGGTTGATAAGGGCTAGCTGCAGACTAGTATTTGCCTGCTGCTACACTTTGGCTATCTTATTGAGCAACTTTGCGCTGCCAAGATTCAATGTTAGACTCAAAGCTTCTTTGAAATGTCCAGTATGTCTGACATTTGCTGTGTAACTAGCACTAAGTAATGCTGTCTTGGTTGTAGATCCTTAGGTTATTTAATATTTAAAAAATTTGTCTTGGTTAAGAAGGTCTTATATTTAGCATAAGCATTATATTAACCAGAAACAAAATTGCATTTGATTGAATGATGATTTTGTAAAAATCTAGATGTTTGCAAAGCTTTGTTATTTGTACTTGCATGTTGAGCTGTCCTGTGCACTTCTATAAATAGTCTCTTTAATGTTTGGCTGGTACAGCTGACTTGTCCATCCAGTGCACAGCTGTTGACTAGTTTTTCACTTTCAAAAGGAAATGCGTCTAGCTGCCTAACCTGTGTACAATTGTCTGGATAGCATTTCCACTAGTCTACACAACTTTGGGACATGAATTTGGATTAAATAGATTTGTAATTAATGTTTTCCAACCAAGAGTTAGTTCACCATGCAAAACTGTAAGCACATCTAGCATTCTAGGAGCATTAACATTTAAAAGAATCCCAGAAATTTCAGAACTTGTGTATAGAGGTTTAAATTGTATGGTAAATAAATCTTACTCTTGGTCACTGTGGGCTTATTTATTTCTGGGTTGGCTTCTTCCTATATTATGTACACGCCTGTATTCAGATCATGTTCTTTGTGTGCAGTAATAAGTCCTGCTTCATGGCGAGAAGGCCAGAAGCTTGTAAAGATGGTACTAGGCAAAGATCCCACTGTAACAACTGAGGTGTTCCAAAAGACTAGGAGAAAAAATCAAAAGGGTAACATACCGTTATCAGAGAATTACTTAATTATATTTGCCTACATACAAATATATTTCTGATAAAATATTTTTGCTGCTTTTGTCCAGGTCCCCACTATAGATCCAGTTCAGATCCATGTGCAGAACTAAATCGACCAAAGTGTCCTCAAAATACAGCAAAGAAACAAGAGAGCAATGAATTTCAGAATAATGCAAAAACCTCTTCTACAGCAGTGCAAGAACCATCTCCTGTACGTGTGGGTACAGACATGTTGTCAGTAGACATCAAGGGGATACTGGACGACCTCCAGCTCGAGTGCAAAACTACAGAAAGCAGTGAGCGAGCCAGAGGCACATCCCGACGGGGGGCGAGTCACAGACAAGGCCGTGGGAGTTCGGGCTCAAGAACAAGGGCTTCTGTCTCTACATGGACAACTACATCAACACGAGTGTGTCGTAGTGCTAGTCCATCCAATCAATCAAGAGCTGTCAATCGAGTGGAGGCAGGACAGAAAAAGCGCCACTATGATGCAGATACAGTTCGTCAATACATCGCCCAACAACAAGAAAAGAGAAAAAGGCAACAGGTGGAAGAAAGGAACGCACTGAGGCAGGAGGCAGAGAAGAGGCAACAGAGACTGCAGGAGCTGTACAGAAAGCAGAGAGAAGTTGCCAAAACAGTGGCCACTAGCACTGCAGCTCCTGCTCAAATGCAACTACAAGAGACCTTCAACAAACTGCTGCTGGAAGGAGCACAACTGAAGCAGGAGGCTGCACAAATGGTACAGTTGCTGTTTTTGTTAGAATTGGATACATGTAGTTGGGGCAAGTAAGCCACCATGTCAGAATTGTAATTGTTTTTTTTCCTCGATATTTGCTTTGACAGAAACCAATGTACCAACCGTCTGGAGAGTCCGATAAAGAAAATATAAGATTGGAACAAGCTCAAAGCCCATCGAGCAGTGACCGATCTTTAAATCACCCCCCTGTCTCCAGGTAATATACATTTACATGACTCCTTTGTATCTGTTTCTGTCATCTAAAAACTGGATTGGTTTCTAATAGTTCAAAGATTATTTTTTTCGTAATCCATGTTCTAAACTCATAAGCCATTAGTGATTCCTTGGAGGGCTCATTTGTTTTGCCCTTCTACTTACAATGTTTTTAAAAAAAATACTTTTTTATCTATCTAAGGCTAAAATGTTGTTTACTTTCCCTTTAGAAATGATTTTGCTTTTGAAGAAGCCTCATCAGCACACCTTGAACATTTAATACCTACAACTCAACCCGTGACTGGTCCTGTGTGCAGTAATGAGCATCTTCTTTCTCAGCTTCTCAGACTAGAGAGTGCAATAGCTGCAAGTGAAAAGCAGACTAAACGCCATAACACTGCACCTACTCATTCACCAGACAAGATGTCTCGCATTGAAGCCCTGAAGGCCACAGCCATGTCCTTGTCCAACCGTATAGAGAGTGAAGCATCTAAGCTTGCTGGGGAGGGTTTTAATTATGGATTAACAACCGCTGTGGATATGGACACCATACTGGCACCAAGGTCCTCGCACACTTGTGGTGCAATTGAAAGTGAAAACATGGCTTTCAGTACTGAAAGAATGTCTGGAGCCAGAACTATGTACAGTTGGACAGGTTTTCCCGAACAAGATTTTGTTCTCTTTAAGGCTTCAACAGAAAAGAATGGCAGGGTCAACAGCTGGACTTGCCCAAAATCAAGCTCCGTTCCACATAATGTTTTTTTTCAAGACACGAAGTGGTTGGCTAATGATGTGGAGGAAAATCCAAAGACAAACAGACAACAGTATGAAGCACTGTGTATAGATGGCAAACACCCAGATGGCCATGATAGCTCAGGGTCCATCAGTGAGGGTCCCTTAAGTGAAGGGAGTGTCATTGATGGCAACCACAGTCCTCCTCCGCTGGCAAATGCATTTAGGCCTATTGGCCACCAGGGGGCAATGCAGCATTCTGTAAGAAAAAGTCACCAACATCTGTCAGAGTTCCAAAAGGATGCTGAGAAATGTGCAGCTCTCACCTCACTACTCGCTCATCAGGAAAACTCAAAACCTGCCTGGGAAGAATTTAACAAAGGAAGCCCTTTAAGTGTCATTAATATTTTCACCAAAAGCCTCCAAGGAAATGTTAAAGGTTTGTAGTTGCACTTTCTCAGAGCTATAGAGGGGCTAGTCAGAAAGAACTATAAAAAAATGAATAATCATCTGTACCGGTACTTTATTTTTGTTTTCATAGCTGGAGACATATATTCAGAGAGGAACTCTCCTGCACATTTGCTGCCCTCAGGCAGTCATGTTACAGATTTACATTATGAGAATGACTTTGTGTCAACTCAAGGCAGTGGAGCCAGTGGCCAAAGGGACGTCAATGCATTGAGGTAAGTTAAACCCATTTTTCATTTCATTTTTAAAAATTTATTCTATGGTGACCTCCCCTAATGTCTGTGCAAGGGCTCAAACTAACGCAAAGTTACTATTACTATCATTACCACAAATGTTATTATGAGTGTCAATAACAAGTGATATCCACTCTAAATGACTGAATATTTTATTCTTAAACAGTTCTAATAACCATAATGAAGAGCTGTTGAGGCGATCTACAGGAGACAGTACACATAATTCATCTGTACATTCGCCACAGCGTTCCTCTTGCTCCACACCTGGGTCTTCGCCTCGTTCAAAGAATTCTAACAAAATAAGAAGTGCATATGATTTATTCTTGTGATATTAGCATTCATATTATTTCATATTTATCCAGGGCATACAGTTACAAATTTTATTTATTTTTTCTTAGGCAAGATTTCAGATCAGAGTGATGCAACTTTGATGGAGGAGCACAGAAGTTCTCCTCCTTCAGAAGTACTATCATCTGAATATAGAAAAAGGGACTTCAAAAGAAGCTCTGAGCACAGCCAAATGACTTCAGATGACATCTCTGGACTTTCTCACCAAAGGTAAAATCTTTTTTTTTTTTTTTTAAACAGGTGTGAAACATTTAGTTTGTTGTCTGTGTAAACCATCAGTCATGTAGATCAGTTTCCATGGCACAAGAAGGTGACTACACAAAGATTTTAGACTGAAAATTTTTTGCCCCTCATTCAGGTAGCTTCTTTAGTTTTGACACAGAGTCTTCAGATTGGTTATCATTATTTTAATAGACTTCTATGTTCAAGTTAATCTCAATTGCATTTAAAATGGTCATATAAATTGCACATTCCTTCACTAACTTACTGCACTTTTCAAAGTTAAACGGTTTAATTTTTCAAGGGTTTGTAGTTTCTAGAAACACAAGGAGGTTATGGTTCAGCCCAGAGACACTGGGTATTTTGTTTTGAGGGCCAGTGGGGTGCCTTTTGGGGTCAGCCTGGGCTTGCAGCCAAATGATTTTATTTTATTTTTTCACAAATTCCTTTGCCCTCTAGTGAAATTTAATCCATATAATAGTATTTTCATGATTACAACACATTCTTGCTCTGCAACTCAGCTTACCACCTTAAATCTCTATATAATTATTAATACATTTGCAAATGTTTTTAAATTTAAAAGCGTATCATGATCTGTAGTGAGTGACCTTTGCTACTTGGGAGAACAGTGAAAGCATTCGTGGCCTCAGTTCCACGGCATAGGATGTATTTTACAGATTTCACACAAAACAAAAGGTTTCTGAATAATTTTGTGACACAGTCACATTCACATAATAAAAACCTAGGTGAGTAATTTACATTTGTTTTGTTTACTTTTTTCTGGCTTTTACACATTCTGGATAGAATAGATATAAGCAACAAGGGACATTTAGTAACACAGCTATGAACCAATCTCATAATGCTAGTCCGGCACAGAGCCCAGCTTTTTGTGCTGCAGCCTAGACCGTTAAACTCTAGCTTTGTGTTTAGAGTAAGTAATGTTGTCATTTTTAACTCTGTTTTTCTAGTTCTGATGTGGTCAAGAAGATGTCTCCGCCATCCAAAGTTAGGCAATCCCCTCTTGGATCTCTGGAACATAGTTCTGTGGAGTCAGACTCTTTTAGTGAACCCTTTAGGAGAAGCTCTCCAGAAAAGGCAGCCAACACAAATACAGCAGCGTACTCTGGCTCGGCAGAAGTCAAGGCATCAGGTAATTTAAACAAGCACCAACTGAATTGTTGTAACCACATCTTATCCTCCTGACTATCCATTATATGTATGTTTTCTATATGTTTTCCAGGTCAATTACAATATTCCCCTGCAGTTCTACAGCAGCGGCTGGCCGCAGAACTCCATTACCTGGAGTCCATTGAAGAGTCTGTGCGGCAGCTGGGTGACATAGAGCGACTGATGGGTGTGTCTGTCGCTCAACATGAAAGTGCTTCCTTGGCCCAAATGCTTAAGGTGAATATTATTTGGGTTCCATAAGTTTTAAAAACATTGTAATACTTAATAACTTACTTTGAAACTTTGATCATCTAGGCCAAGCAACAACATGAACAGGAATTGTATGAGTTAAAAATCAAGACTGAGAGAGAGGCTCTTGAGACACGGCTGCAAATGGAAGAAAACCGGCAAAGAGTTGCCCAGGTATGAATAAAATGCCATGATGGTGTTGGGTTTTTCATGTTATACTGTAGTGTTATTTTTGCTTTTTGCTTCCCCCCCATATTTGTACATGTAAATATGTATTTCTTCAGGCCCATATAGAACTGCAGGAAGGTTTGGCTGCAACTCACAAGGAGACCCTGGAAGGCCTCCAGGAGGCAACAACAAAGATGATGAGTCAACAGGCTGAGGCAGCACGGTACACAGCTGACACTGCCCGGCACATCAAAGAAGTAAGCAATCACTGCCTTTTCTCTGTCTGGAAAACAGCCCATGGTCCCATTTTTAGTAAAGTTGATTGATTGCTAGTTTACAGAAAAAGCTAACTGTAAATTTGGAAGATGGAAAGTATTGTAAAATGGGCTAAATCACCTACCATCATGTTTGTAAATGTGTTTTTGTTTCAGATGACAGAAATGGCACATGCACATTTGATTACTTACAACCCTGCTTCTGTGCATACATCAGAACTACTGAAGGAAAAACCTCATTCAAGGACCAAAGATAAAGTCAATTTGAGGTAAATAACCAATTCATTCACCTTTTAAATACAAAGTAAAGAATACTTCCTTCTACTCTCTTCTATTTTCCCTTGCACAGTTATGAATCAAGTAGAACCTTAACAGATGATCACCATTCCAATCATTCTGACTCTGAATCCATCAGAAGTCTTGGACTCAGGTATGGATCATTATGTTACATTATTTCACTTTTGAAGAGCTTACAGAAACTAACACTTGCCTTAATGGATTTTATCAGTGAACCTGACTCAAACTACCCCCACAGTTTATCTTCTGAGCACAAGGAAAGGGTGCATGAACCACCTAAAAAGTCTAAGTCTGATGGAGCAGAGGGCAGCATTTCCATTGAGGATGAGGTTCCTGCAGCTGCAAACGAATCACTCTGCAGTAACGGTATCCTATCTGCTGTGGAAGAAAAAGGTACTACTGACAAAAGTACAGGATTAGGATTGCATATACCAGTAACAGATAATGTTTTGTGTTTGTTTTTGCAATGTGCTTCACCAGGAGACACTACATCAGTTGCAACAGAGTATTCTCACAAGTTTGAGGATTCAATAACTGAAGATGAGATTGAAGAACGCTCCTTCCGCTCCTTGTTACCATCTGAGGCTCATCGCAGAGAGAGTTTGGACAAGAAATTGCAGCACCATGATGAATCAGAGGAAGATGGTGCATGCCATAATGGTACACCAGCTTTGGTGGCTCACAATATGCTAAAGGTAAATGTCTTGGCTGGTTACCTCCGCCAAGGAGGTTATGTTTTTGCCGGCGTTTGTCTGTTTGTTTGTTTGTTTGTCTGTTAGCAACATAACTCAAAAAGTTATGGACCGATTTTGATGAAATTTTCAGGATTTGTTGGAAATGTGAAAAGGAAGAACTGATTTCATTTTGGGGGTGATCCAGAAGAAATCCTGGATTCTGGATCACTTTGAAATTTTAGTTAACATTGTGGTAAATGGGGCCAAAAATTTGGTTTCTCAATATCTCGGTTAATTATTGACCAAACCCCATGAAATTTGACTCAGGGATGGACAATGGGATCCTCTTTCATATTCCAAATTGAAAGATACGAGACAAATATTTATGGAAAACACAATTAATATGAGGAGGACTGTAGTCCTTGGCGGAGGTCTGCGCTCTCTGAGTGCTTTTCAGGTTATATGTTGATTAGGGCTGGGTATCATTAAGAAGTTGCTGATATGATATATACCTTGATACATAGGTCACAATACGATACATATCTCGATACAGTGCACTTTCAGTTCGATACGATATATTTCAAATCGATTCTAATACGGTTCAATAAAAAAATAATGGCTAAATTATGGCTGTGATTGTAAAAGACTTTGTTTAGCCACATCTTGTTCATCAATGTTAATATGAAACGCACCCAGTTTAATCATCTAAACAGTGAAAATGTCAAATGTGTTGCATAAACGAGTTTCCTTCCACTAAACAAGCAACAAAAAAATATATATATATTAAGTAAAATACACCAAAAAATTATCTTTGCGATGTATCGATACAGCAGCCCACAATATCAGTACTCTATCATCATTATTAAATGATTAACTGATCAGTCATCATTAAATGATACAATATATTGATATTTCTGTATTTTTGCACAACCCTAATGTTGATAATGTTAATTTTCCTTTGATTAGTATACACATATAGAATAAATTATGTTTACAATTTGTTCCTAAAAAAAATAATAATAATATATATATATTTTTTTTTATAGCACCAGGAGGTATTTTCAGCCTTCTCCGGAGGAAAGGACAGCTTCTCTCATTTCACTATGGAAATGGTCCGTCAGCATATGAGGGATGAAGAAGTCAGACTGCAGCATCAAAGTGCATTGCTGCGTCTCCGCCACAAAGCCCTCAAAGAAAAAACACGCACTGAACTGGCTTGGCTGGAACATCAGAAGAGAAAGCTGAGAGACAAAGGAGAGGATGATAAAATGCCTCCTTTAAAGAAGAAACAGAGAGGCCTTCTACTCAAACTTCAGCAAGAACAGGTTAGCTTTGTATCAGCTCTCTTATTTAGACCACATTAAAAAATGACTAGTCTAGTGTAAGTAAAAAATAAACCTTACAAAAAAACAACATAACAAAAATTACTTAACATGGCTTCATAGACAATATGTGAAAATTCTTTGATTTTTTTTGCCTTAGGCGGAGATCAAGCGGCTGCAGGAGGCCAACAAAGCAGCAAGAAAGGAGAGGCAGCTTCTTCTGAAGCAACAGGAGGAGATCGAGAGAATGAGGTCATCCACTCTCAAACTCAAAGAACGCCTGAGGAGTGCCACCACTGAAGCACCATCTGTGAGTTGAAACTCCTGAAACTCCTGATATTGTGTATCAGATTATTGATGTGACTGCAGGTTTTTGTCTGTCTTTTAGGAGGCATCTTTGTCCGAAGTGGCATTTTCCAACTTGGAAAACACAGATCTGAATGTCCGGAGTCCTTCTCCCTCTGTTTCTGTATCCGGAAGTGAGACAAGCAGCATCATGCAAAAGCTGAAGAAGATGCGCTCACAAATGGATGAAAAGTAAATTACTTTGTATATTTTCTTCCACCCATTTATAGGGTCATATTTATTTCTTTACTATACAGTTTTACTATACAGTTTTGTAATTGTACAGCCAATAGCAATTTAAGTAGCAATGAAGCTAATGAAATGAGCCAAAACAATCCAGCGTGCAGATATGTTTGTGAGAAGATAAATACATAAAAACCTGGATCTTAAATGTTTTTTCTCATACACCACTAAGCAAACTCTTCTAGCTGCTGTATATTGTTCATAGATGTCGATAAGATGCCTTATCAGAGGCATATTACTTGACAGAAAATAACATACTTACTTAGAGGTTACCATTATCAAATTCACAAGTATCCCTGTATATTTGTTAAGTCTTGTTGTTTACAATCCATACAATGCATCGCTCATGTCAGTCTTCTCTCTCCTCTTCTCCCTGTGTACATGTGTTTCCTTCTGCTTATGTCTTTGTCTCTTTCTCATACCTGTGTGACTGTTGTGTGTCTGTGTTTTAGACACTGCTCTTCTGTTCATTACTTCTTCTCTATGTTCACTGCCCAACACTGGGCCTCGTTAAGTCTTTGTCTACCCAACCTCCACCCTAAATTCCAGCTTTTTATCTACAACCAGTTGGTCAGGTACTGTACACCAGTCTATATGTAATGCTCTCCACCCCTTAGCCCTTCGCCCCTCTCCCATGGAACATGCTTGTGTTCATCCGCTGGCACTGGGCATAGTGAGGGGTGCAATGTGTATGTTGAGGGTCAGGTGATTTTGTTTCTGGGTGTGTGATTTAACCTTTGGGGAAATCAAGCAAAGGTCACTTCCTGAAATACTCATGGATAAGTTTCTGTTTAACATTCTGTGGATTTTTTCAGAAGGACCCTTCTTGATTTGAAACTCTAGCTGTAGAGTTGGCATTTATATAATACAAATAGCCATTCTAGTATTTAAACAACCTTCTAATCAGTCCATATTGTCAGATGTTCTGGCTTAAGTAGACAACACAGTAGAGATGAAGTGTTCCTTCTTTTTAATGAGCTGGGTAAATCTTCACTGTCAGTCTTTATTAGGAATCTGTTGCATAGAATTGCAGAATAAGAATAAATACAGATGGCAATTGGCCTTAATGGCATTTGAGAGCTGAAAATCAGCTTAGTTCCCTAGTACCTGACCTCATCATTATACATTAGGTCAAACAAAAAAGCCTCTATTGAATTAAGGCTGAATAAGGCTGCACTGTAATGGCACCTAAAGCTGTGGGCAACCACATTGTAACAGTTAAACCTGAAAGGGTGAGGTGAGTGCTTGCCCTCTATGAACACATCCATCTCTCAGGTAATGAAGCACACGACTCTTATACATGAGCTGTGATCTGCATAAAATCTTGAGTTCTATTTTTGTGACCTACATTTCACTTGACTGACTCTTTCTGATGCATGTGTGACATTTTCACTGTTGCTTCAACTTTTCCTTTTCCTCTGAATGACATTGCATTATTGTTTCCCTTTGGGTGCCTGAATTATGCCTGAATACAGGAGCAAGCAAAGCAACTGTGTCTTTGCCTGAGTGTGTTTTGGACAGAGGTTGCGGTGCTGTGTAAAACTGATGGCCTATAAACCGCGAGTCTATGTTAAATCTATTTTTTTCTTTTTCTAGGTTCCTTACCAAACGTGAGCAGCAGCTGATGCAGAGGCGTCGCCATGCTGAAGAACTCCTTCAATGGAAGCAGCGACTGGACCAGGAGGAAGCAGAAGTTCGTAAGATGGAGAAGAAGGCTCTAGCTGCATGGGATGAGAAAACATCCAGTAATAAAGGACATGATTTGTCAGAGAGTGAAAAGGACTTCAACACAAGTCAAAAACAAAAAGGTAAAACCTCCAGTGTTGTGTGAAAAATGTAATTCACAGAAATACAGTTTTGACTACAGTTTTTTCTTTTAACACCATCACAGGGGATGCTGATCTCTCCTCAGCCACACCAGAGTCTAGTATACACACTGATGTGGACCCGCAACAAGAGGAAACCTCCATCCAAAGCAGTCCAGCTAACTACACTGATGACTTTACCTCAATATCCCCTTCACCAAACAGACAAGTAAGATTTCATGTCTCCTTGGTTTTTTTTTTTTATTTATTCCTGTGATTTCATGCATGTTTCTCTAGGTTTACATACACTGTGCTTACATTAATGCTGTTACTTCTATCCTTGTTTCTCTCCAGTCTGCCCAGAAGTCAACAGTCAAAGGAAGTGTTGATGCTTCTCCATCAGAACATGACCATATTTCAAAACAGAGAGACACCACTGGCAGCGCTATCACTAAACAAACTGGTAACTTGCAGACAATATTATAATGTTTATATGTATTAGGGAACATTCTTGTGTAATTACCTGGGAGGAGTTCCAGTGCACAAGTTGGATTATAGTTTGCTAATCAGATTCTTCGTACAAGTTTCACATTTTTCAAAATTTGTTTGCAGAACACATTTCAGACCAGAGTGACATAGAGAATCGCATAAGGGCCCTCAAGGAAGAACTAAAAAAGCGAAAGTTCACTGCCTACCAGCTGAAAAAAGAACAAAAGAAGAGGACCAAAGAGCGGCTGAAAGCAAAAGAGGCCAACCTACTGAAGCAGCTGGAGGTTAATATACATTTTTGGAAATGTACTTTGATGTCCTGGAAAGACAAGTGATTACATTCTCATTTTGTGTCTTCTTGATTTTTAGACTTACGACGACTTTATTGAGAAGACCAAAGCAGAGCTTAAAAAACAGCCATACTCAACACCAGATACCACGTCCCAAGTCACAGATGTTGTCTCCCATAATACAGAGCATTCTAGTGATAAGACACGTCACAGGTAATAGTGAGCTAAATGAAACTCCTTTTGTCCTTTCTGGTGCTTTTCACTGTATTATTACTGATGTCAAATAATATTAGAATATTAACATGTTTGTACTGTTTTCTAGAAAAACCTCTGAATCTGTCCATAAAGGTGGGTATCCTTTCAGTGATGTGTAGTTTGTGTTAATGTATTTGTATATTGTTTAATAACCCTTGTGCCAAATGTTGCAGCTCTATCTGATCAAAGTAGATCTACATCTATGAATTCAACAATTTCAGATGAAGAACCACCAACAGTGACATCAACTCCGAGACCTGACAGTCCTGACCTCACCCTTACCCCAAAAAATACCCAAGCACAGGCACAAGAATCACTACATCACAGTGTCACTTCTGAACATGAATCTGAAATGCAGAAAGAACTAAAATTAGAAATTAGTAAATTATCTGAGGATCAAGACTCCAAGTATCTGCTTAAGCTAGACAGGGAAAACAAAATGAACACAGCATCTGAATTCATAAATCGTCAGTCTCCATCATTCAGCCAAGAACTTGAACCCTCCAGACCTCCACCTGCACCTATAGATGGGTTTGTAGCAGCAGACCTTCCAACACACATCTCATCCAGTCCACTCTCCCATGAGGAAACTTCCAAAAAGGACAGTAAGCTTTCACATCCTCTAGCTAACAGTTATGACACCTTTGAGTCCTCAGTTGATACATTGCTGAGGGAAAATAATTCAGCTGTACAGCCGGCTGCTGAAAAGTCATTTAAGGATTCAGATCAAACCTCTCTAAAGAAGGATGTACCTGCTAGGGCTGCAGGTTATGACAGTCATGAAGAAGAGATAGAGGAGGAAATACCCAAGGATCTCAGTGGACTTTCTGTAGCGAGTAATCATAGTCACCAGTTTATAGATGTGTTGGATGCCCAGGTAAAAGAAGAGCTTAAGGCTGATAGCAGAAACACAGAAGACACTAATCATTTAGCATCTGTAACTCCTGTAGTCACAGATGAAATGCCATGCTTTTGTATTGGGGACCGTGTTGTTGTCAGTGGAGTTCAGCCTGGTACTTTAAGATTTAAAGGCTCGACCAGCTTTGCTAATGGCTTTTGGGCCGGTGTGGAGTTAGACAAGTCTGAAGGAAGCAACAATGGCACTTACGATGGAGTGTTGTACTTTGAGTGTGCTGAAAAACATGGCATTTTTGCTCCTCCTGACAAAGTCACTCATCTCACAGATAAGTTTGAAATGTACATGGACACTACTGAAGACGATGACTCATTTCACGATGACATGTCAGAGGAAGAAAACCAACAACATCAAACAAAAGAACCCAGATCTCAAACTGAACATTTTGGAAATAATCTGATGTATTTGAGGGACTTAGGATCAGGAGATACAAAGAGCGCTCATGATTTACAGCAGCTGGATAACACTCTCTATAACTCTGAGCCACATGAACATCCTGTACTTAATGGAACAAGCATCTGGGGTTTCGAAGATGTGTCTCCCACTCCCCTCATAGAGAACAATGAAAAGGTTCACTTGAGCACACAAGCTAAGAAGGAGGTTACTAACCTTGTTGAGAAATTAGATGTGGAGCTCAACCATCAGCTCGTGGTGTCTTCAGACTTGAAGAGTGATGAGGGGCTGAAGGACAAACTTGGCTCATTGGCGGATAAAATGCTGGATAACTTTGTAAAAGACACTGTGCTGCAATTTGCAGAACTAAAAAAATCAAAGGCCAAAAAGATACATGATGCCTGTCAAACCAATGGAAATGTGTTTGAAGGAGTTGAAGCAGCTTTGGCTTCCTCAGTTGATCAGAAAGATGACCTGCCTTTTTTTCTGACTCAAGAAAAGGAGGAAATGTCTTCTCCTGATCTGTGCAATCGTCCAGTAAGTTTTACATCCTGTATTAAACGCTATAATTCTTAATATATATATATATATTTTTTTGTTATTTAAAATATGTACACGTACAGGTTTGAAAAATATAGAAATGGTAATAATGTTAAAACACATGCATCTGATATATTGGCTATGGTTGGCAAATGTTAATTGTTTTGCTCTGTTCTCCAGGAAAGCCCTGTACTGGGACTGAGTGGGCAAGAGGAGCTGGCCAAGCGTTTGGCCGAACTGGAACTGAGTCGAGAGCTGGACGTGTTTGGTGATGATCAGGACTGGTTTGATGAGGACTATGGCCTCAGCTCTCGTCGAGAACAACAGAGGCTTAAACAGAAACAGAGGGAGGAAGAGGAGCAGGTCAAGCTCGGGGGTCATTTTGGAAAGACTGTCCCTTCACCGGGAGACCAGGAGGTGAAGACTCCCCCTAGACCTGAGCTTCCTCACCCCATGCCCCCCAAACTGCCCGAGGAGCCTGCTATGGTGGTGCCCCACTCGGCTGCAGAGATAGAGAAGATGACCCATGCTGCAGCTTTGGAAATCTGGAAAACCTGTGGCCTGGAGGAGGGAGCTACAGCCCTCACACAACAGCAAAAGCCCAACCCCTCCCAAGAATATATAGGTGAAGAGCCCAGCAGTGAGGACCAGGAAGCTGTCTGTCTGCATAGCTATAAAAAGGTGATTATTTTTTAAGCTATGTTACTTAAATCACACAGCCATGAACCTTTGCCAACTAAAGTCCTCCTTGTTGCCTAGGCTGTGTTTGATCTGACATGGGAGATCCTTCAGGACATCTTTGCTGAAGATCCCAATGTTGACCAACCGCAGTGGGTTAAGCCGCAAAGAGTCAAGTCTTCATCTTTTCACAAAGTGAGAACAGCAGGAGAAATCAGCAGAATCCAGGTAAACCAACAGTTATTTGTAACCATGGAGTTAAGCAGGTGTACTGCTAATTGTTGTTAGCTTTCCTGTGATGGCAAAAGTCAGCTACGGCCTCTGAGAGTTGTAAAATGTGCCTTTATACTAATTGCGATGAAAAATTGGGATGCTCTGAATTTTTTTAAATTTATCTTAAGCATTAGGGCGGATCAGATCAGGGGATGGAAATATTTAAATATTGTATCACTAATGACTCCTTTGCCTTTTGATTACTACATCTAATAAAATGGCAGTGTTATTATTATATGAAATATATGTTTGTTACAGAAATTTGTTACTACTGAAGTACTGAAGTTGTATGGTCTCGCAAAGGATCAATACCAAAGAACCGACTGGCCAAAAATGCTCAAATTTGGCCGAAAGAAGAGAGACAGAGTAGATAATATTCTGGTAAGTTCTGCTAACTATAGTATTTTCTTTCTGTGTTAATGTAGACAGTTGTTTACAGATATGTTTTTGGCTGCACAGGTGCAGGAGCTCCATGAGGAAGAGTCCCAGTGGGTCAATTATGATGAAGATGAGCTGTTTGTCAAAATGCAGCTCGCAGACAGCATCTTTGACGCTTTGCTCAAGGACACAGCAAATGTGCTCACTCAGATTTATGACAAAAGGGCCAGAAGAGAAAGTGTTTCCTGATAACATTCACTGCAAAAATACAATGTGTAACAATAATGATACTTTCCTAAATCCAGTGAACAAGCAGTTTAACTGCTTTGTTCTCCAGCTGTTATGTGCCATTGTGAGCCCTCAGATGCCTTTTAGACTCAGCGTTACCTCTCTACGTAGTTTTTATGATATCTTTGCTGGAAAACCCTTGTAGTATGTGAGCATTTTTAAACACAATCACCTCACACCACTCAGCTTTTTAATATCCCTTTATTTTCATGAAGTTGCTGCTGTTTCACATTTCAGACTTTTCACAATAATTTACGACTTAACTTTTGTAGACATGTAAGAAAAAAAAAAAAACTTAACTTTTCATAATGACAACCAGTGTAAATGTATAATGCCATTTTTGGTGTTATTACTGTAAAGAAATATCACAGTTTGTCAATGGCTTTACTCTGATAATAGATACTAGGAAGATCAGCTAAGTGGAAGGATAAAGAAAGTCCAGAAAATAAATATGATCTCAAAAGTTAATTTAATTTTTACACTGGTTGTCTTTGTCAGTCTCTAAAAGGTTAGATGATCATAAAAAAAAATGTAAGTGGACAGGAAAAAAAACTATTTGTCAACTGCCCTGTGCCACTCTATTTACGGTATACAGTAGAGGTAAACAAATGTCTGTAGAATAATATATTTTTTCCAGATGTATAGATTTTAATATTTAGTGTTGAACTTGATCTTAAAATTATAAAGTACTGTGTAACTGGAAAAGCACAAAGATTAATGCGAATGTGGCAATAATATGATGTAGCCAACACGGTTATTGAGAGCAAATTTAATATTTATTCATAGGCTTGGCCCTTCATAATATAATCTGGTTGTGAACATATTTTGGACTATTTTATTAATAGATCAACTTTATTTAAAAATGTAGATATAATATTTATCCCACATGGACCTGAAATGTTCACTAAAGAAAATAATCATAATTGGAGCACAATATATTTTCTTATGACTGGACATTGTTGCATAATAGTCATGTGTGTGACCTCAGTTAGCACACTGAGTACATGTTACTAGCACAGCATTGTGACCGGTCACTCAGAAGCCTATTAGAGTTTCCACTGCAGACTTCTACCTTTTGAAGCATTAAAAATCTCCATATATTATGTCTTCATAGCTACTGCTTTTCCCATTGCCTTAACATTTTGTGTAAGCAGCAATATATAGATATAGACCTATAGATATCCTTATTCCCATCACTACCCCCTGGTCAACCCTGCCTCTGTCTCTTTAAATAGTGAACACAGTGGAGCCATTGTATGGACAATTTTAATCAGGAACTATGTTGACATACCGCTAGCCCTGCACTGAGGAAGTTGTAACCTACAGAAGCTGGGGCCTCTCCAGAGTTTTTTTTTTTTTCTTTCTTTTTCAGCATTTCTCTGACCCAGCGAACTGTATGTAATCTTTCTAGCAATGCTAGTATATTATTCTTAAATAGTCCAATAGTTTAGGAGCACCTCAAAGTGACCTTAAAATGTGTTCCTTGACTGGGTTATTCTGCAGAAGTAAATTATTAAACATGTATTAACATGTAATTTCAAACTGTATCCTCTGAAATACCAAAAAACCCTAAACCAAGATTTCTAGGTTGCTGGGCTTGTCTGTGGGGCATGTAGCCTGTTGTACGAAGATGATTGTAACATGGAGGATTTGGGGTCCCCCAGTGTAACTATGCAGACCAATTGACTCACACTTGACTGTAGATTTGATCATCTGTGAAGGTTTTTTTGTCCTTTTTACGGTTTTATGTCACTCTTTGTCCTTTTCTGTTTTTAATGAGAAAGAAATAACAACGGTAATGTAAATATTTGTAGTTGTTAAAATCTCCAAGATTTAAGATGAATAAATTGTCGGGTCATAATATTTTAACTTGTTTGAAATTGATTATTTATAATGTGTGCGCCTCATTGTTGGCAAAGTGCACTTGGAGACTTGTAATATTCTTGTATGGATGTAAATATACTGTAACATGATCCCTTATGGCCCACAATATTGTATCTTGAATAAATTGGGCAACTTGTCTTTTGCAAATATGTACAAAGTATATATTTGTTTGCTAAATGAACTTTGGACTTGTAAATAAAGTGTTTCTTGTTTGTTATTCGTTGCCAGTAATATGATAGGCGGGTATGTGGGGTGACTGATCTATTTTATAATGTTTCCTCATCAGCCTCATCACCTCAAACATACCAGGAGTTTTGTTTCATTCATACATGTTTAACACACAAACCCTGCATATTTAGGCTGAGGAGTTCTCAGACTGAAATCATGTGTTCCACTTTGTGATGTCATGTGGTAATACAGGAAGTGCTCCACTGTGTTTTTAAACTCCATACATCTTCACTAGAACAATTTGGATCATTTAATTCCTGGAATTGCTCGTCTCTACTGAGCAAAGGGGCAAAGGGTAGCTGTTAACTTTAAAACTATCACTGCATGACATTGCAAGATGGATCAGAACATTTTGAGCTTTGGAGACAGGCTGATAATGCAAAATTAATGAAACATTTATGAATGAATCAAAACAATTTAGCGTAATAGAGAATTGAATATCAACTGTGATGTTGGTTATAGGCCTAAACAGTTTTTTTTTTTTTTTTTTTTTACTGCTCTCAGCTTTTTCCTATGCTAAATTTCTGTTACAAAATGTCAATAACTCCAGTATCTATAATTAAATGTATTTTGTTATAGATACTTTTTTTTTATCTTAATTTGCCTACTTTTCTTAATTGCTTTATTTTTCTTTCTTTTAATGCAAACTTTTCAGTTCTGTTTTCAGTCATTTCTACTTTTTTCCCTCTGGCCATTTTGTACATTTTGTGTTGCTGGTCATTTTTATCTTTTGAGAGAGCAAAAATATGCATAGGATCAGACTGTAGTCCAGTGTTTGGCTTCCTGCAGTGCTGTGTGGAGGGGGAGGACCTTTCTATAATATCCCCTCTATGGGAGTACCTCAGCCGCCTGTAGAGCAGCAGCAGTAAGAGGAGGAGGAAGAGGAGGAGGAGGAGGGGTAGGGAAAAAGTTGAGAGAAGTTTTGGTTGAAAGTTGCCTGGTTCAGTTCAGACCGAGGTGAGAGCCAGGGCTAGCGCGTAGCCGCAGCTGCTTTGGACGGGGAAGATGGCGCGCTGCAGCGGCCGTGCCACGTCTCGGTCAAATAGGCAAATGCAAGGACATGCAAAAATGATAGTGTTGGCAGCTTTCAAAATGTTTTGCCTTTTTTTCCCCTCGAGCTCGGAGGCTGGGCTGTACACGGATACTGATCAGATCATATTGCTAACTCCACAGACAGTCGAGTCCGTTTTGGTCAACTCCACAGCGGCGATTGTTGTAGAGTTTTACGCTTCGTGGTGCGGACATTGCATCGCGTTTTCAACCACTTACAAAAAATTGGCAAGAGATATTAAAGGTTAGTACAGACCCGCCGACTGTCACGTAACTTCTTCCTCTTTTAAAGCTTACAGTCAACTTGAGAGATATTTTCGCTTTATCTACACATGCACATCGCCTGTGACATTTTGCATAGATCTCGGCTGCAGATTATAAAGTTGCACATATGTTTTGGTTGTATCTGGTGTTTATTTGAGCATATTATAATTGGCGTGTTTTGTGCAACTGCCTATAATTGACTTCTGCTACAGTCCTACCCCAGAGTAAATACTGACAGTTCTGACAGATAACTGTGTGAATGTCAAGTGCAGAGTTGGTTGCAGTAGTTACTTGTTATGAGGCCCTTGCACAGTCATGGGGCATTTCAGCTCTGTGGTTCACACACAATTGCCACTGATCTCATGTCATCAGCCCTTTATGAAATATCTTTTTGTGCACATCATTTTTAGAGTTGAGCAGATAATTTCTATTAGGTTACTGTGATGTTAATTATAATAGGCTATTAATTAACGTGAAGATATGTCAGCAATGGTCAAGGACATATTTTGGTCCATGTTAGAAGTTTATAGCCTACCATTCATTCATTCCTTCGTTCATTAACAGTTTGAGTTTTTAGCCATACCTTTAGTCTAGGGCTGGACGTCATGACAGCATTATTTATCACAATTACATTCTCATATTGCTCAATCACAATGTATTTTATTTTATTTTATTTGACTTATTAAAAGCAAATACTAATTGCTTTAAAATATAAATTTTTAGAAGGTAAACAATAATCATCCCAGTTTAACACAAAAAAAATGTCAAATGTATTCCTCTAAAGTCTGCACTCTGCTCCCAACTATGTGCTTTTATTGATTTGCTGTAGACCACTTGATTAAAAAGATACAGCTGATCACTGGCAGTTAGAAATGACTGAATCTCAATTAAAATGCCATTAATTGCCCAGCACTGCTTTTGTTTGTCTGCTGCAGTGGTATCTTATATAAAAAATAGGTCAATAGAATTATTAAAACATATGAAAACCACAAATTAAGTCACAGCCATGACTCATGTTATTGAGTAGGCTTACCACTTTTATTGACAGACTAAAGTGCATACTTGTTTACATAGAGCACAGCACTCAAGGACTTTTCCAGGACAAATGAGGTGCAGTAAAGTCAAACTAAATATTTACTGTGACTGTGTGTTTGTCCCTGTGTTTGTTTTGTCCAGAGTGGAAACCGGCCGTGGACCTCTCTGCCATTGACTGCGCCGACGAAAGTAACAGGAAAGTTTGCACTGACTACGGCATTAGAGGCTACCCCACCCTAAAGGTATCACTCCACAAGACCTACACCTGTTGTGTTTGTCTTTAAGTTCAACCCTGTTTGACAAGCAATGTAAAATAAACAATGTATTCCGTGATTTGGATATGATGGTTAAAGGCATGGGAGTTGATAGGGAGGAACAAAGGGGTCTGTTGTCCCGGACCCCAGGGTCTTAGGGCCTCGGAATTGGAACTTCTGCTTATTAATTAATATTAGAAGGGGGCCATGTGAAGATTGTTGCCCCGGGCCCCCAAATTTCTGTTGACGGGCGTTGTTAAAGGTTCTTATTGTTTCTGTGGAAATGTTATTGCTTTGCTTGGAATGTTCCACAGTCGGTGCCATGAAACATATCTATCTTCCATTAAGTTAATTATACGTGTGTTTATTGACTAAAAATATTTTAAAAACATGCATTCTCAGCGTAGTCACCTTTCCACAGATCTGACCGGTAACTTGGCCTTGTAGTGTCACTTGCTTGTTTCTTTGGCAATGAGTACATTGAATGCCACGCTGTAGAAAATTCCGGGAAAAGACAAAGTAAATATAGACAATAAACGATAATACTGTTACTAATTTATGTCACTGACAGAATAAATGATAAACATTTCTAAATGGACAATATAGTTAAAAAAGCACAAGCTGCCATAAATGAAATGAAACATTTGCATATGTAATAAGATATAAAAATGATTAATTCAAACACTTACTGCTTAAATCTTATCGTATAGTAAAAAAATTACAAAAAAAATACTGTCTGTACCGGTACTGTGAAGAAAAAGTTCACACAATAAATACTGACCCCCAAAAAATATAGCTCTAGGTTTCATACATTGAGTGATAAGACAATATAGTAATTATCATGTTAGGCCTTCTTAGGCATTTAATTTAGGCTAATATTGTCACAGATTTAAGCACAAACTAAATGAACATAGAACATTCATTCTTTTGTATAAAATAGCAGCATATATATATATATATATTTTTTTTTTTATCAAAAATGGCTTGCAACTTAAAAGGCTTCAAATTAAAGGCTTACATGATGTTCTGTGATATGTTTTGTTCTCCAGAAACATAAACTTGGCATCTACATATTTTAGCATGAAGTACTATTATGCTTAGTCAGCAGATGTTGGCATTGCTGGTGCTCTCCCCTCTGTCTCCTTCTCTGTCATCAAGCACAGGCAGGCCACTCAAACAAGAGCCCCTTCTGTGTAAATAATACAATGGGCCTTTAACATCTGCGACTCATTTCTACCAGGAAACAGTTTGGGCTCCAGAAATGCAGAGAGGAAGACGTTTTTTTAAGCCAACATTACACAATATGTCCTTTATGGTTGAGTGAGGACAGTGATATCCAATCTGCTTTTCTTTCTCTAATGTTTTTTTTTCCTACTTGACAGTTTTTCAACGCCTATTCAAAAGCGGAGTCTAAAGGACAGTCATTAAGAGGTAAAAGGACACAACTATCATCCCTTTGCTTTAATGCGAGTGCAAGAGCTATAAATATGTAATGACTTTTCTCTCAAAGCTCATCGTGACGTTCGGGGTCTTCGTCAGGCAATAATAGATAAACTAGAAAAGCATGAGGAGCCATGGCCCCCTGCCTGCCCCCCACTGGAGCCCACCAGGTAATGATACACTTTTACACAATAATAAAGAAAGAGAGAAATGATACCAACAATACAAAATACAAAAAACATTAAATGAAAATTAACCAAATGGGAAAATGTAACAAAGTTAATGGATAACAAATAACAGAGCTAGCACACCTATGCAATAGAGTTAGTAGTGTCATTATTAACTTAATTAACTTTATAACAGAGAGAACAGGATTCCATTGTTTGTAAGGAGTACTTGTGTGTACTCTTTTAGAAAAGTGGACCGTGTAGGCATACCCTTTCCTCAAATGTTGGTCACAAAGCATCCTTCCATTTAAAGAGGAGTTTAATGATGCACATATCAGATAAAAAAAAAATGCCACCATGAACTGACCTTCTTTTTGGAAGCTAAATTGCTGACAATATAACTTTACTTCTGGCTTTTGGATTACTGATTACTTTAATGTAATAAAGAAAAAAATATATCCTATTGTTAAATCTGTAAATATTTAAAATATGACTATGATGAAGCTATATACTTAAAAACAAGTTTCCCTTTTTCTATCACAATGTGTAAATTACATATGTTTGTTTTTGGTGTGGTTTCCTTGTATTTCTTTCCAGCAAAGCAGAAATTGACAGTTTCTTCGAGACCAATAATGTTCAACACCTGGCTCTGATCTTTGAGGACTCAAAATCTTACATTGGCAGAGAGGTACAGGCTCATCACTGTTGTTGTTGTTTTTAATTTTATATCATTACATAATTTTCTTTCTTTTACTTGTGTTGTTTAGGTGACGCTGGACCTGCTGCAGTTTGAGAACATAGCAGTGAGGAGAGTCTTGAACACAGAGGAAGCTCTGGTGTCTGAACTGGGTGTGACAGACTTCCCCTCTTGTTACCTCTACTATCCAGGAGGCAACTACACAAGACTCAAAGTGTAAGCATTTACAAATCTTTTTTTTTTTTTTTTTTTCCTGTTATCTGTTATCTAACAGATGCGTTTTACCTTAACATGAATGTGTGTATCCATATTTCTAGAACAACAGCTATTGACCAGTACTATTGTAAGTTATGTCTAAATTAAATTTTAAATAATTCAGTTTATTTGTTTTTAAATATATTCTGTTGCATGTCCATGGCAACAGTGAATAGTGCATAGTGTGTCCTTGAGTTTGTTGTGAGTCCAGGGCAACAGTCAGGTCCCTATAAAACAATTGCAGTTATTGTCTAACTCTACTACAACAACTGTCCTCATTTAACATCACATTTAAAAGATGGTTCACGTAGGTGGAACATATCATACCAGTTTATCTCAGAAAGTGACTTTTTTTTGAAAGAACAATTACTGTGTACCTTTTGCTCTATGTACCTTAGTGCTGTAGTCGACTAAAATTCTTGGCTAAATCCATGCCCTGTGCATTGCAGTGGGTCAAAGGCTCAGAAAATTATTGGAATCTTTTGTAAAAACTACTATATCTATACTGAGGAGTTGTAGTTAATTACAACTTCATAAGTGAAAAAGCTGATTTAACTGTCCAGTCACTCCACACTCTCCAACTCCATGATTTCGACTCTTTGCGGTTGTCCATATAAATCCTCATAATTCTAATAAAACAATCCACTTAATATATATGTAAATGAGTAGATATATGCTTAATTGATCCTCCCCAGTAACTGAAGAGTTTGTTAACTAATAATAAAACATTTGATCGACTAGGACACCATCTACCAATTTATTGATTAATCAACTAAAGGACTAAAGGACCACAGCTCCAATGTACATATTTTGTAATCTAAATAATTGCTTTGTGCTCATTTGAAAACACACAAACACCACCTCACTTATTTCTTATTGTTCCACATGCAGCCACTTTAATTTGTGTAGAGAGGCTTCATCTCATTATCTGAACCATATTCATAGAAATACTTTTAAACATCTGGCCCTTTAATGGGATCACAGCATCAAAATCGCTTCCATTATTCACATCATAAAGCGCCGCTGATCGTCCCTCGCCCTGCAAATTCATCTGCTGTTTCGGCCTCTTTGTGTGCTGGTTTCAATAACTTGGCATGCAAAGAGGACTCTTTTTAGTTGACAAATGCAAAAAGGAAATGATTTATTGCTGATTTATTTATTCACCCTCTGTCGCTCCCCTCTCCTCCAGCCCCCCTCATCTCCATCACTGTACAGAGGGGAGGATTTTTAATTTCTTGCATGAAAACAATGCCATTGCTTTTCTGGCTTCACCTGCCAAACAAGGCCCCAGCCGCGCACCGCGACAGATGGCCTCCCGTCATCACTGAATGTCTGATTGATCCTGGGAGATGTGTGTGGAAGAGGCAGAGGGTGCGGAGAGCCACGCGGCGTCTCATATTCGTCATGCATGTAATGTGCGTTGGTCCCAGGTGAACACCCCCCCCTCTGCACACCGCCCTAGAGCCCCCCCACCCCGCGTGACAGTGGCTGGCCCTGGGGAGCTGTGACTGGATGAATGGTGTGCTCTCCACATCTGTACACACCCACCGCACACACAGGTGTAATTGAGTCGCAGTAAGAGAGTGTGGCCCGTCGTATCCATCCTTCTTATTACCATCTGGCGCTAGCACCATGGCGCTCGCTCGCTAACCCAGACGAAAAGGAGTGGGCTGAAGGGCTTTTAATGATTTTTTTGTTCAGTCTTGAGTTAAATGAGAGCAAAGATAGACTTTCTGTATGTACTTGTATTGTGTAAGAATACATATCATTTCAATGTTTTGAAGACCTGCATAATAATAGTAACTATTTATTATCATATTAATCACAATTGAATATTTGTTGTGAAATGTGAACAAAACTTTCCAACAAAAGATTACTTCTTTGTAGTCTTTTATTTATTGATTCATGAAAACCAAGATATGGATAATATATCTCAAATGCACTTATGTTTACTATCTAATAAATGGCTGATGCCTTCCACAGAAAATTTCAGGCCCGTACTTTTTACTCCTACGCCCTCCAGAGGTTGCCGGGAGTAGAGCGTTCAGGAAAGCCAGCTCCAAATAAAAACGACATCAGGACCAACAACACAGATGAGCCATGGAGACATTTCAATGCGTAAGAACAGATACAAATAGGACAGAAGATAAAATATAGCTTTTGTTTTTTATGTTAATGTTGATTTTGTGTGCAGGTCTAGGGTCTACATGGCAGATTTGGAGTCCGTGCTGCACTACTCACTGCGGGTTGAAGTGTCTGCTTTCCCTCTTATCAGAAGAAAGGAGTTGAATTCTCTGAAGAAGTACATTTCTGTCCTGGCAAAGGTAAAGCTGTAATTGCTCTATTTTACCACTAGATGGGGAGGAAAACAGCATTATGTACTCACTCAGTGCTGTGGCCCTTTTGCTCATTTTGGTTGGATGAAAAATTTATCTAAGTTGCAACATTTATTTAGTTTAATTAATTATTTGTTTATTTGCACATTAAAAATTTTTTTTGTTTTGCCCAAACTCAATCACTCTCTTGGGTATTGTTGACCATATCTGTGCTCCCAGTGGAATTAAAGCTTGCCATGGACCAAGCATTTAGCTTTAGCATCATGTCATATTAAAGAGTGTTTCTGGCAAACTTCACAAATTTTTTATTTTTATTTTTTAAATGCATAGTTGATCGTGGAAATAATGTTATCAATAATCATTTCATTTGGGGATTTTTCTATTTTTTAGACCCATCTTTATTTAGAGCATTCCTTTTATTGGCCCTTTTTAAAAAAAATAAATAAATAATTCATCCAGGCAATTGTTTAATTTCATCTTTTGAAACATTATTCTGAAAAAAAAAAAACATAAATTACTTATTTGGCAGAGGAAAAAATGTAAATGAAAGTTTGGCCCAATTTGGACTACCATTTAGATAAACTCCCTTCTTTTGACTAAATGAATTGAACATATTTGTTAAAAACTAACTTGAATTCCCTTCATGCTTACCCACATTTCTTTCAGATTTGTTCAACATCTAAATCTCTTTTCCTGTTTACTTATATTTTTGTCATCCTCCTGACTGTACCGTAAAGGTGCATGTACCCCTTTGCTCCCGTGTTCTGCTCTCTGTTGTCCCCCCACCTCCTCTCCCTCTCTTTCTCTCTCTCTGGGGAGGAGTCGTGGCGCTTGTGTGTTTACGAGGGGCGTGTGTGGGGGGCCGCACGCTGTGGCCTCCCATTAGCTCTAGTTTGTTTAGTCAATAGCAGGAGGTCCCAGTGGTATTTTTAGCTTGTCCCCTACTAGAATGGACCAGTCGTTCTGAAAGGCTTTGTCTAAGGAGGCATATGACGGCCCCTATTGACTTTTGACTGCAACAAAAGGGCTAAATCTCATGGGCTGACTTGTTAGACACTCAGATTTGTAAGTGTAACATTGCATTTTTACACATAAGTTTGTGGACTGAATGATATCCTCCAAATAAACAAATACTTAACAATCAAAATTTTCAGTTCATTTTTCTCTTATTAAAAGTTAAACAAAAGATTTTCAATTATAATTTCCATAACAGACTTTCCAAAACTGTCAGTTTTCTTTCTTTTAAATCTGAATAAAGACACATATTTTTACTAACAAAGTATTGGCTGTGGACCTCTCAATAAAAAAAACAACAACATATCATTGACAATTATAAATGTCTGAATCTTGAACTCAATTAAAATACAATTAATCGCACAGCCCTAGAATATCTAAAATATTTATTAAAATAACTGAAATGATAATTTTACAGAAGTGATTTGTTCATATTACATATTATAACATGATAGGCACCTAACACCTGATCTTTCAAGATGACTCATTTAATTAAATCAGTGACTCTTTTCTGACACAATGCAGATGTCATCTTCACTGAGCACCTCAACTGGTGACAGCATCCTGGTGCAGGCAACATATTATTCTTTATATTCTAGTACATAGAAATCCAACAACAATCAATGTACCAGTGCCCTTTGTCTCTTTTTTTATAAACATGTTTGTGTGTAATTTGTTCTCCTTTTGTTTTGCATGCAGTGATAAAATGACTAGATTTAGTGTCTTGTCAGGCTGAAGTCGGATTTATGAATGCTCCACATGCAGATGTGGATTAAAAAGGGGATCTTGGGAAGCATGAGAGCATTACATCGAGGTTTTTAAGGATTACACTTCTATCCTGCTTTTCTTGAAAGAAGCCCTTGAGCCCAGAGGGAACGGGAATAAAACAAAGAATTAGGAGATTTGGCCACACCTTCTCACGCCATAGATAAAGACAGGTCTGTTTTAGAAATTGTCAGTCTAAATTTGGCCTGTTTTTGTTTTGGGTTTTTTTGCAATTTGCGGTTTTGAGAATCTAGATTGTGATGATGTCGTACGCCCAGATAAGGGGAGAGACAGTTTTTACTACTGATTACATTGTAGTTTGTTATGAAATATCAAAAGCTAAATTCACAGATGCTGATCCTGATCATTTCTGTTAGTGACTAGACCATAGAACTCACTGTATTTCAACAAAAATCTGCATTTAATAACATTAATAACATACATTTTAGCTGCCCTGCAGCTGTATTAAATATTATTGGCTTATATAATGCAATGTCATCTGAAACCTAGCAATATATTCAAACATTTTTTCTTGTCATCTAGTTTATTTGTAATTTGTGGCTTGGATGACATCTTAACTAGAAAGGAATTCAACAAAAGATTTGACAGTTGTTTTGGTCTTGATGCGGAGATTGCTTGCCCATGTAACAGCCAGCAGGAGCCTCTCTCTCCCTGGATCCTCTCCACAAGAAGCCCGCTGCGGTTTCTCAAGTGCTGTGATGCTAATCGGATCAGGGATGACATATTGCTGGGGTGAAGGGGATTGTCATGGTCCGGCTCGAATGGGGACAGGAGGCAGCCGGGTTAGGGGAGGTGAGGTGTGCTCAGTGTAGGAGCAAAGACTCAGAAATCATTTATACAGTTCAGGATAGTGAGACAAAAATAATGTAGTCTATTAAAAGCAATGAGTTCTAATATCACTTTTTAAAATTTCATTTAAATATTTTTATGAGATATTGCATTTTTCTTTCTAATATTAGAATTTTTGTTTGTTTTAATATATTTCCTGAAGCACAGTCTGAGTTGTAGTATGGATGTTATCTTAGAAATGCACTCTCATACTGTTACAGATAAATCAAATAATCTTTAGTTTACGTGTTACATATTATGGCCTCTATCATTCAAATAAAATAACTCCTGAACAAAAGAAGTCAGCTGTACATATCCATTTTTTTTCTTATGTGTAAATGTTGAGCAATTACCAACAAGAGCCTGATCTCGAGAACTTTCGAGGGTAGAAAGGAAGACAGAAGGTCCATGAATAACATTGGTTTGGTCATGGCTAAGCTAAGCCCATTACAGAGGAAACACCTGCGTTTTTTCCTATGCCTAAATTCAAATGTATGTTTGATGGGCTTTTCTGACTGGTTAGACTTCAGACCCATGGATAAACCTATTATCTCTATTCTTTATACAGGCTGCACACAAGGGGCCTTAGAGGAGTGCAAATTTAAGTGATCATCACTGCACACTTTGCTAAAGTTAAATTTAAATACATAGTTTGTAATTTTCTGTGGTAATTATTATTATTATTATTATTATTATTATGTTTTTTGGATTCTACAAATAGTGTAGAACAGGTTATGCTTAGAGGTCTTGTTAAGTCATTATATCATGGGGCAACTGACAGACACATAGGAGGCAGGTGCGTTCTAACTAAATCTTAAAATAAAACACTATAGTAACAGTAAAAATATTTGTCTGTTTTTAGTCATATCCTTAATCCTTTAATTGTGCTGTTCTGGGAAGTGGCATAATTATTGGCTCCTCCAATATTCAGGCTTACTTTGAACAATGGGGAGTAGTACATTTAGGTAGAATATATGAAATGATGGTAGCTTGCTCACTTTTGGGTCTCTCATTAGTTTCCATTGTCACCGATACACGTAAAAAGCATTTGGCTGCGTCTGCTTGGCCTCTGTCAACAGTAGTCTCAGAAAGCCATCAGCCGGATTTTCTCTTTTCTTTATGTGCTTAAGTCTGCTAGTTACAATCTCAAGTTTCCTCACACCGCTGCCTGCTGCCATGGTAACACGGTGTCAGAAGAGCTAAATAAACCACTATAGAGTTTATACTGGTTGGGTGTAATGTGAAGGCCTATTTATTTTCATTTTGAATGTTAGAATGTGTTATCATTTGTAACCATAAGGCAAATAGGTCACTGTTATTTTTGCACCAAAAAATTTAATGGCGAAGTATTATGATATATATAAATATACATTTGCAATTTATGTTTAAAGACTGGATTCTGTTCAGAATGCACACGGTAAATAACTCTATAAACATTAATGTTTGATTTAAGACTGAAATATGAACTGTTAAACTAATACAAAAATCCCATGGATCTCAGAATATGTTTGTATAGGTCTAAACTACAGGTACAATCAGAATATTTTGTTCTTTGCAGAAGACTTTCTATCATCTAAATATCTGCAGCCTTTGCCATTTGATCCAACTCAAACTGTATTTCAATTATATTTTAATATATTACGTAGACCTTCTTTGAACAAATTCTTAAATTCTTATCAAAACCAAACCTGGCATAAAATGGACAGATTAAAACCTTTTCCTGAATATGTCTGTATAAGATCATTTGATACATTTCTAGAAACTACTGTTATTTTTGTTATCAAAAATTGAGTATCTAGCCTTTTCCTTAGAATACATTAATAACCATTTCTTATTCTCTTTTTGCAGTACTTCCCAGGCCGCCCTGTTCTGATGAACTCATTAAAGTACATTGACTCTTGGCTTCAAAACCAATATGGCAATGAGGTGTCTTATGATGCCTTCAGAGCAGCCCTGGATAATATAGCACAGGTAAACATATACAGCATGTATGTATCTGTTTTGTGTTTTTAGAGTGTATTTCATTTACATAAGAGGGAAAAAAACATGTTTATAGAGGAGGAGAGTAAGGTTTTGTGCCACAAGAAGCCTTATGTCTCAGAGGAAAAGAAATATGAGAAAAGCTAAGCAGACGGCTGTAAAGAGTTGAGCTCAGGGCCAACTGAAAAGGATATGAGGATGTCTGTCCAAGATTAGGGATTTAACCATAACTGAAATGTTATGGTATCATCGTCTCACAATAATATCGCAGGCTGTCATTATATATTAAATAATAAACTTGCATTGTTGCAATGCATTGTTTTGTTGCTACAGCACCAAAAAATAACACTAACTAAAAATAGATGGAAGTACATTTACCATGATCCTTTCCTCCATTTCAGTGCAGACAACATGAAGAAAAAATTTAAGTACTTCAATAGACTGTATATACTATACATGGACATAGCTAACTTGCTATACTCACCACGTTCCAAATATGAAATGAACATGGGTGCACTTCCAGCTTCATCGACTCCGGTTCACTTTGTATTGAGAAAATGTTGGCCCTCTCCTCATAACTGCTGCTGACAAGCTCCTCATTTTGATCTTAAAATGTTCGTATTTTGCTATTTTGTCCATAAATCAATTGCTATTCCTAATGAACTTCATTTGACTGGAGCTGAACACTATAGGTGACGTAATTTAGTTGACAGTCTGTGAGCACTGCTTAATATTAATTCTTTGGAAAATTACTATAATGATTTGCATCAAAGGCTTGTCAGCAAAAGAAGAAATATCATCTGTAATATTCTGGTAGCCTCTCTACAATATTGCAATAAATATCATACTGAGAAATGTGATAATATCGTACTGTGAGATTTGCATATTGTTACATCTGTATTCATGAGTAGCCTCATCACTGACTGTGTTACAAGGTTCCTGCCAGTATGGACAATTTATCAGCTCAGAGTCAGATAACTGATCAAGAATTTCCTACTTTGAACTTATGCTCACCTAAAGCTTAAAATATGTATTAATAGTCATACGTCATAAAGTGTTTTATTTTTTTTTATCACTTTATAGCTGTCGTATAGGGACGTAGTGTTGCCCAGTGGTCGAGTGGTCTCAGCTGCAGCACATATGCCAGCCTCAGTGTAAGATTCAGGGTTTTGATGATTTACTGAATGCCCTCTCTGTTCTTCACCCCTCTTTCCCCCTACACTGCCATGTTGAATGAAGTCTATGGACCAAAAAGCCTTTAGGAAAGAAATAATAAGGATTTCAAGATTACTTGGTGAACTGCCATGATTATTCAGGTAACAGTGTAATAGAAAGAACTAAAAAAAAATGTGTCACTTTCACTTTATTATTCAGACAGTTTGATTTCATAAAGAAAGCAAGTGCATTTTTATTTATTTTTTTATTGTTTGGTCATGGCGTCAACAATCGTGAATAAACGTTAAATTGTGATGTTTCTCATAATAATCAAAACATTAAAATGTTGTATTATGACATCCCTAACTGAAAAACTATGGATTTCTTGCTTGAACATTTTGCTCCTTGCCTGTTTTCTATTCTCCATCTAAATGTATGATATCTCAATATGCACTTTGCCCTTGTTTCACTGCCAGCCCGCACAGCTGAAATCTATGTGCTGTTGTTTTTGGAATGAAGCCTGCATGCCTTCACTATATGGCTTCACGCAAATTGAAAGAGTCACTTACTTACATCATTAGCTTTTAGCAAGCAAGTCAATGAATCAATGAATCAATGGGAAGGTATGAATAGACTTTGCCTCGGAGGAAATGGACTTTGAGCACACGAGCTATGCACATACAAAATCTTTACTATTGACATCTGAGTAACACTGTCAATCACCAGCAATTGCAAGCCAGCAGAGGCAAAAGAACGACTTTATGTCAGAGAAAATATGTTGGTGGATTCAGTTGGGCCTTGGTTAGAGATCTGGGCAGCTTGGTTCATTAGCGAAGGTCTGGGCCATTAACCTGGAATTGACTTGTCATTGATTTGGAAAGTACACGGACCTGCCTCGCTAGTTTAAACAGGTTAGCACAGGCTATATATGTAACATGTTAAAGTAATTTTCCATTGTTTTGTTTTAACTTTTTACTGTTCTTCCAGGCCCCAGACACAGCGTTACCTGAAGGAGTGAGGTGGGTGGGTTGCCAGGGGTCCCAACCTCACTTCAGGGGGTATCCGTGTGGAGTATGGACCCTCTTCCATGTGCTCACAGTTCAAGCCCTGAACTCTGGGACATCAGGTATTGGCAAACACACATGCATTTACACATTGCAAGAGAAAATCAAATTACTTGTTGACATTTTAGTTACCTAATCATCTGGAAAATACAAATAGAACATTAATTACAAATCAAACACATTATCTCCTTATAAACTGGTAAGAATGTTTAAAAAAGTTTAAATCCTATGATGGCTAAACTCAAGGGATCTATACCACAAACAGTACCTTGACAACTTGATTTTTGTCTAACTTTAAGACAAACAAAAAGCAACAGTTGGTAAATAATTAAAATGCTTGTGTGATAGATTCTCCGTAGTATTGATACATTATGTTATGTGTTGTTCTTATGTAAAATATATGCTATAACATGGCACCTATGGGAGTTCACTGGGGGAGGAAGGAGGGATGGGGTCTGTCTGTCTCTTTGTAAACAAAATATTCCTGGAATGTTGTGTCTCACTGACCCAGTTTGACATCAAAAGAAATAATCTCCCTCAGTTATGGTAATCAGTTTTTTATATTCTTTTTATTTTTGTTCTAACTAAAGTACAGCCTAATTGTAATGGTGTGAAGGGATTATACTAGATTAGAGGGATGTTAGTGGTTAATAAAACAGGCAGATGACCGAAGGCTGGGCTCCCGCCAGAGTGGGTAATCTCTCTCACAACACACAGAGGTTAATCCGGAGGTTTACGGTCCGTCCTGTGACTTACAGATGGACGTGTCCAAAGGATTTCCATCTGCCCTGCACAACATTAAATAATAGACACGCTGACTATACTAAACATCTTATTAAACTGTAAACACAAATTAATGTTGCATTATAATATTTTGTGAAATGATGCAAAGTGGCTTGTAATTAATAAAAATGTTCATTCTTAAAGCTTTCAAATGAAAGTTTTGCAAAATTCCCAAAAAAATATGTTTATGTTATGTTGAAATCCTGAGACTACAGTAGGACCATCTTTCACACAGAGTGTTATCTGTATTTATATCCAGATTGGGTTATCCTATTCACATAGATTATTCATCACAATATGGGGTTAACCCAGCTCTTTCTGACTCCTGGCCCACATAACCGTGGGAATCCAAGGCCATTAGCGGGTGCTGAAACAAATTTAAAAGAATGGTCCCAACTACAGTTACCAGGCGAGGGGCTGGCAGCTGTTTTGTATACAAATCAGTAACTAGTCCACCTTTTATTAAATCAGGTAATCTCTCACTTACTCAGATTGTTTTTGCATTCAGTTATTAACTGATGTAGTCTTTTAAATTAATGGGAATGTCTGGACTTTAGAAATGATGCAAAGCCATTTAATCCATTACTATTAATTTGTTTATAATACGTAATCATGATGACAATCCACACGTCATATTAAAGTTTACTTGTTTATGTGATGCATGTATTATGTTTTGGTGTCTCTCAGATCGCTTGGAGGTGCTGACTGCCATGAGGGAGTATGTGCGTGCGTTCTTTGGATGCAGAGAGTGTGCACAACACTTTGAGAGCATGGCCCAGGAGAGTCTGTACGATGTGACCACGTCCTCTTCTGCAGTCCTCTGGCTCTGGTCAAGACACAACCACGTTAATAACAGACTGGCAGGTAATATTTTTTACTTTTGGATATTTATTAAAAACATGTTTCATAAGAAATTAGAGGAAGTTCATATTTCTGAATGTTTTTCTCTTTAAATGCATTCTTAGTAGTGAGACTAAAGAGGGTGAGGGGTCGAGGGAAGACGGATCCTCAGATCAGACACCAGCTGTCGTGTGGTCTTAGTCTTTCCAGGATCACTTGTTTAAGTCCCAGCCATGACTGCCTCCCTTAACAATATCCAATGTAGCTTTGTTCCTACTTATCAAGTGTATGTGCTTGATTTGGGCAAAAGAATCATTTTAGAGATTTTTCCTTGACTTCCACATAGGATTAAATATGCTCAGATTTTATATTCATTTAGAATGCCATTGGAATTCTTTTTATCACTGTATTCATATCACCCCCTCAATTGATTCCAAAGAGCTGAACAACTCTCTAGAGTGTGCCTGTTCTTTTGTCTGGGTTTATCTGATGTATTAGGCACACGACTGTCATTAACAGCTCACTTTGTTAAATGGCTGTTTTGTGGCGTCCCTTCATCTCTCGGGGACAGCTTGTGGTGAGCAGCAGGCCCAGGACACTCCTCTCTTTTGGTGCTTGGTCCCTTGACACTCCAGCAGTGCTTAGGACTGTCCCATCCGTCTTCCTCCTCTTTCCATATTGCTGTATTTCTCTTTGCGCTCCTCCTCCCCTGGGACTCATATTCTCCGCTTAACAAGTAATAGCACAGCATCCTCACAGAGCAGGTCCCGGAGGAGCCCAGCTGCCTGTGGCACACACACAAAACCCACAGCATTGTGTGGCAGCAGGTGGCAGAGACCACCACATGAGCGGCAGCCCCTCCTCTTAACCAGTCGTACGCCTCCCGACAACCACGCTCGGCACGGGTCAAGTGCCGGCATGTTGTGGGAGTGAAGTCGTCATGATGGAGAGCCAGGCTCCACATGAATAAAAGGGATGCACAGAGAGGCTGAGCGAAGGGTTTTGCGTTTAGAGCAGTGAGTGGCAGCATGTCCCAGCGGACACCAGCCTCTGCCCGCTCTACCCCTCCTGTCCCCTGTCCTAAAGGGAAGCTCTTTAGCAGCCCACCCGCCCCTCTTTTCAGGAGCAGCCATGCATGAAAGAGCAGCTATTTGTAAAGGGACCCAACAATTAATTTAGCTGGCAACAAAGAGGCCCCTGGGCCCTGTGCCGTCCTGCACGGGCAGAATTAAGAGCAGTGGCAGTGCCGTCCTGTTGCTGCTTGTCAACAGGAGGAGTCTGAGTCACATTTCCACAGACAAACCTGAGGGCACCACAGGAAACAGAGGCTTAAGGCTGATGGCACCTTATGTACTTAATACATAATAAGTTAATGATAGACTAATACTACCATAGCCCTGTCTTGTATGAGATTATCACTGTATGAGTTTTGTTATACTAATAAATCATTTTAAGTTCCTATATCTTTTGAGTTGGAAGTTTAACTTAATTAAATACACAAATGTCAAATACACATTGTAAAGCAATACTTCAATGTGCCAGTTGTTTTACATGTAGCCTTTTCATACTTACGTACATCCATACATATTAGGACCTATAAAATTCTAACTGATAATATATAAGAAAAGGTTTGTCAGTGTTCAAATATCCTAAATGACAAACTTTATAAGATATCCGAGTCCCAATGTTCTTGTTTCTCAGTTGTATGCAACAGCCCTCTCTCCTCTTCTGACCTACTACAGTGCCTTCATATTAATGTGAATTTAAAACCATGATTTTGGCATATTGTCACCTTTATATCATTCGCTAAAACTCCTGACTCTCTTGTCATGACAGCTGAGTCTGTGGTGTAGTGTGCAGGCTTCACTCTCAGAATTAGTGCTGAGGAAGCTGGTTGGACACGCTGAACAATACATATTTATACCTGATGAATATGTATGCGCAGCAGTGATGACATCCTTGTGACAGGCCATTGTGGCAATCTCAATATCGCTGCTATGGCTAAAGTCACCCTGGCTGCAAACCTGGTGAGCTGATTAGAATAAGGAAACAGATGTGTGTGTGTGTGTGTGTGTGTGTGTGCGTGTATGTGTGTGAGTGTGTGCTTTTACCTGCTGATATGTATAAGAGCCCCCTCCCACCAGCAAGGCCTATCCAGGCGCTAGTAAAATTGATGTATCCTTTATGTAAAGTACTGTATGCAGAGTACGTACACACATGCATATGACGGAGATTAATCGTGAGTGGCGGAGCGTGGGGGAGAGGTGCGAGAGGATGTAAATTGACAGTGTTGTAAAGTGACAGACCTGCTGCTGCTCTGCTGTTTTTTTTTATCACGTACACACAAACACACAATACTCTGTCCATGACAACAGGCAATTTATTACCTGGAGCTGCCACATGTGTGTCCTTGTAGTTGTGCCAGTGCATAGTGCAGATCTGTTGTGAGGAGGGGGTGACAAGACATGGAAGAAAACATGTTAAAAGAAAAAGTTTTAATTGATTGAAAAAGGTTTGCCTCCTCCCCTGAGCTTTCCACCAGTTTCATGTTCAATTTGGAGATTGGACTTGCTCTCCAAATGTTGTGAAGGGACAGGTGGCCCAGAGCACGTGGTCTGCTCCCTCTAAAATGGGGATTACGCGTGTGTGTATGTGGGTAAGCTGTCCAGTTTGGCCACATCTATTATTTCAGCAGACCTCCCACTGGGATGTCCCACAAGCCCATTGATCATTGTTAGGGGCTGTCACACACACACAAACACACAAAAATATCAATCCACAGATTACACACACAGTGACGCGTGATTTACATATACACACTTAGCCACATACGTACACATATGCATATAGGCACTTAGTTTTTACGAGGCTCGTGACAAGATCAAATGGGTTCAACAGCAGATTGCATCCAGTCCTCAAAGCACTTAGCTCTGTGAGTATATGCTTCAACAAGGCACACAGAACGTACAACAATAGATAAAGCTGCTGACTGGAAGAGCCCTTTCCTTACTGGATGTGGCAATGAATCTAAGTGCAGACTTCACCTCCTGGGTCTCATGCAAATTAATGAAGTAGTCGGTTGTTTGGCTCTGTAACATAACTTGAAGCAAATGCAAAAGTTGTGATTTTATTTTGTTGCTGTCAAAATGTAAATACATATTTGGTTATTGATACTTCTTTTAATCAGGCATAAGTAAAGTAAGTAAATCAAGCATATTTTTTTGGTCAATGTTTTGTGAGTGAGATGCAGCTAGCCTCAAGTGAAGCTTTATATCTGGAGGGTTGAAGTGCAAAGAAAATGGGTACACATATGGATTTAAGGAAATTGGTTGGTTAATCTTCTTATATGCTTTTATTGCTCACAAACAATTGTATTATTTGGTTTAACTAACTGGTTGGTTAAATCAGCAACTTTGTGAATCCATAATATGTGGAGACTGCTGTTGTGATTTAGGGCTCTACAAATAACTACAAATCAAATCATTTAAATTCAACTGTAATTGAAGTGCCATGGCCAAATTGTAATGTAAAGTATTTTCATGATTTTGTGGGTGTTGGATATCTTTCTCACTATGTCCTATATATTTGTAAACTGGCTTCACCATGCAGGTGGTTGTAGTGATATATATATGATCACTAAAAATACTACAAATTGTACATAATTTTGTGTTCATTCTTAGGTGCATTAAGTGAGGACCCTTACTTCCCAAAGATCCAGTGGCCATCTCCTGAGATGTGTCCGCGGTGCCATACCGTCGAACTTAATGGAGACCACAAATGGGACCTGGATCAGGTTCTTTCTTTCCTCAAGTCCTATTTTTCTTCTGGCAGCATTCTCACAGGTACAAACATTAGCTCTAAATGCATTCATATAATTAATGTCACAACTGCCATTAACTATACTTTTTTTTTTTACTTTAGACTTTCTTGACGATGAAAGCCAAATCCTTGAAAAACAAAGAGAAAAACAGGCTTTAGAGGCTAAGAAACGTATCGAAAGAGAAGTCAAAGAGGCCACAACGGTGAATTCTCTGTCTTTACTTCCTACTGTGCAAGAAGAGGAAGAGGAGGAGGAAGAAGAGGAAGAAGGCCCACAGGATGAAGCTGTTGCAGAGGACATGGCTGGTGGTAAAAACTATGACACTACTCCCTGGGCCAAACCTGACATGGGGCTGAATGAGAGACGCCAAAAACGGGCACACAATAGGCCTGTCATTGTCGGCATGAGAATGAAACAGCAGCCAGAAGATATTGTGGATCTCGACTCTTTTGTAAACCAACATTACAGGGCCAAGGCTCTCGCTGCCTCCAGTCGAGTTAAACGGCGAACGCTGCAGAGAAAGGAGGAACAGGAACCAGCACCCATATTTGGACTTGGGCTGGGACTAGACTCGGGCCTGGGTATGGTGGGCCTGGAGCCTATGGAGCCTGACTTTGAGAATCAGAAAAGAAAACGTCTACAGAAGCGAGAACTGTCACATCAGGTCTATAATGTCAAAGCAGAGGAGAGCTACAGAATGGGATGGGTGTCTATGTTTAGTATTGGCTTCTCCAAAGTGGACGTAAGTCTCTGTGTGATCCTCTATTTCCTGTCCTCAATGTGTCTCCTGACCATGTACTTGTTCTTTAAAAACCGACTGAGGATACGGCGACCAAAAGTGTCTCTACTATGAACTGTGAAAAATTACATAACCAAGAATGACTGTTCACATTTGGTATACATGTATTACTGGTGTCAGGCTAAGGGGATGGCTCTAGATTAGCAGCTCTTAAGCTCACCACTTAAACGTTGCCTACTACCACATTACCCATTGCCATCCAAGTTTCCAGGTGAAAAGGGAAATGTTTTTGAATTAATATGAATGCAGCTTTTTAACAAGTTCTCTGGATCAGAAGAAAACCTTTGATTCACACGAGGAATTATGAAACTATGACAAGACATTTGCATTGTATTTTATTTTTTGTTTTTATTTTCTTTTTAGATAAATTTGACCTCACACTCATACTCAAATCATCTCTAAAATTGATCAGTAATTTATTTAGGAAGGCATGTCTTAATGTTTTGTCAAATCAATCACTAAAGCAATTGATTATTAGATATGTTGATATAGTTTTTTTACTCAGTGTTCATAGGAAAATCGCACTTCATAGATGTACAAAAAGCACAAAGGAAAAAGGACCAAAACTATGGCTGTTTCCCATATTAGGTTTTAAACTTTCTACTATTGATCAGGCTTTACATTGTGACCACAACTGGTCGAAAAGTCCAATACACCATTTCTTATGGTGTAACTAAAAGGACCACTTCAAATATTAATTACATCATATACAACCCTGTGCACACTTTAAAACTACCATTTGTAATTATTGGCTAACTCGGCCCAGTTGCATTCTCACAAAACACCACTAGATCTATGTTACTGCTATTTGACAGTGTACCAGTTTTGCCCTGACAGAAGAAGACCACCAACCACAGGTGAGCCTAAACAAAGGCCAAGTGAGGAACAAGGAGAATGGGTAGGTTACATCTGTTATGTACTGCTAAAAAAACAACAATTTACAAATGGTAGCTTTAATATAAGATAAATTTCTTATCCCTTGCATCCGCAGTGTTAAGTTGTTTCTCATCAACACGTTCTCACTAAATCAATAAAGTTATTTTTGATAAAGACCCTTTCAATGCTGTCATCTTTAGGTTTAAGCCCCAAAGAAGGCTGCAGTTTGATCAGTTTGTTTTTGGATTTCCATTTTACTTTGATGCCTTGAGTGTCCAAAATATGTTTATTGGTGATTGGATTTAAGTTTGGGAATAACAAATTTGTGTTTTTGTTTTGATGAAGATGATTGGGACATGGGTGAACCAGGGTGCTACATGTATAAAATGGGGGTTAAACTATCCAAGGTTGAAGGAAAAAGCCTGTTGCCATCTGCTGTTCGGCACAAACTAAATCCTAACAATTTCATTGGGATTATAGCAAGTGAATAATCCAGCTTTCCTTTAGGGGGAGAGATTACCCTTGAGGATTAGCTCCCTGCAGATAATAAACTTTATTAAAACGTAATCAGCTTTGGTGGGCCTTCTTCCTCACACACTTGGAGGTGGGCACTGCAGCCCTTATGGACTGGCCCATGTTACTATGAGGGGCGGTGATTTGGATGAAAGAGGCAGATGAGGAGTTGAAGGACCTGAGTGTGACATTGCCTGGATTACATTTGGCTGTAACTTTAAGGACGCTTGATCTTGAGCTCTGTCTTTCTAGGAGCATTTGAATTCCCTTGACTCCTGACCTCTGCACCCTGATCCCCACATCTCAAATGTTCAGTCTACATCAAACGTTCAGGGATTTGGGCATTTTAGATAATGAATTACTCAAGTTCCTAATACACCTACACCTAATACCTATCGTCTTTTAAAATGTGTTTTATGGGAAAAAGGGAATTCCATAACTGATCCAGTCTTCCAATGTTGAAATGAATCCTCAATTACAGTTTATTGCCACATGTCTGACTTATGCTTCAGTGCACAGGAACTTTTCTTTTTGAATGCTATTCAGGAAGTGGACTAAAAACCTTCTGTGCATATATTTTTCGTAACCCATAAAAACACAAGGGCTATGTTTAAACATCACACAAAAGGTCCTATGGAGTCTAGTATGTAAACTATGGACACTTGCAGGTACCTGTGTTAGAATTTTTTGCTTTTTCCATATCTTTGATAATTTGGTGAGACTCAAATATCAGTTGAGTAAATGTTTTATTCCAGATGCTCATACTGACACCATTCCATGTTCATGGTTTGAAACTAGAACAAGATCTTGTGACCCTTGCTAGTATTTTTCTCTAAAATTAGGATTTAGATGTTCATTCAGTTTGGGGAATTGGGACTAAATCGGCACTAAACCTGGACTAGACTAGACCTAAATCAAGACTTGAATAGGAACAAAGAAAGTGAAACCGAGTCTAAAGACAGTGTGTATATAGCAGTCATGTAGTTTAAATATTTCCTGTAATTGTGAATGGATTGGGTCTAGTTACCTGATGCTATGACTCCACACAGGCCCTTATCCAAGCGTTTGAGCTTACAGCTACATGAGCCTGGTGCTGGTTCGCTATAATGAGGGTTAATGAGGAACTTGGCAGCACTTATATCAGTCTGCTGCTCTGCCAGAAGACAGTAGTTCACAGTGAGGACAGAGTCTTCACATTTGAATAAATCATGACATGTACTACTTGTGAATAATTGATTAAAATATGAAATAGTAAAAATATTATATTTGAATTTAGTGCCTCAGATGTAATACTAACACCATGTTTGATTAAAGACATTAAGAAAAAAAAACACGCTCATAGAAAAATACAACTAAATGATAACAGACATTACAATCTATACATGTCAGACCAGGGAAATTGCTCTAAATGAATTCAACAAGTACAAGTGCTGTGAGGTGCAGAGAAAACAACACAAACAGTGGACATTGTAGTCATCTCAGAGCTTATACTGAAGGGTAAAAAGCTCACCTTGCTGCCCTGTTGTTCTCTTCCATAAATTAGACAATGTGGGGTTTTATGATGGCTCCTCTGCTGTACACTCAGCATCCATGTTTATTGCCCTGGCCAATTGATATTAAAATTCAGGAGCAGCTAGATGCGTTTTTCTGTCATCTCCCTTTCTGACTTTAATAATACTATAAAGTTTCCTGCTGTGGACAAAGCTGGAGGAGGAGGGCTGAATAAATTATGAAAAACAGGTTAATATATGGTGTTGGTGTATATCACACCAGAACTAAAGCTTTATCCTCTTTTGTATTTTCACATTGAGCCTTTTAAAGGCGAAAGTCAAGTAGGGTCAGGTCCTTCCATTTTACTGCCACCCCTCCCCCTCTCATTGACCAGAGCATCTCCCAAACATCTCATCCTCTGTGGAGCTGGAGGGACAGTTCAAGGCCTACTATCAATCAGGTTTCTCCAAAAGTATCTGACACGCCCACTGTCAAAGAACAGGAAGGTATTGTGACAATCCAAAGTTTGCAATAATAATGATAATAATGATAATAATAATAATAATAATAATAATAATAATAATAATAATAATAATAATAATAATAACAATAATAATAATACAATATTGTATATTCACTGTAATGTATTGTTGTTGTTATTATTATTATTATTATTATTATTATTATTATTATTATTATTGTAAGAAAATACAGTTTTATCTGGGCCATGGAGTTTTAATACAGGGCAATGGCGCCAGTGATTGGAGTCAAACGAGCCTATTAGCGCCTGGTGTCAGCTTTACGGGTCAGGCTCAATCAGGGAATTGGAAAATATCATTTCTGACGTGAATAGATTTGTTTTTTCAACCAATCTCTTCTACTAATTACCCAAATGGACAGGAGCTGTCAGGAGACAATAACTATTCCCTAATAGAATTTGCCCCCCAAGTGCAATTTAATTTTCTCGGCGCTCTCTCGTAAGGTTTTCCATGTTCTCTCCCTCTCTCTGCTCCCAAAGCTCGGGGACGTACGCTGTGCCATGTCCGGCATCAGACACTGAGGATCTCGTAGTGAAAGTGGACCATCCGGATTCTGCTGCGATCACCGCCGCTACAGGAACCACGAAGATGAAGATGGGAGGGGTAGAACCAGGACAAATGAGGTGTGTGGCCAAGTATCTGACAATTATTCAGAATTTTTTATTGATTCTTATCTTTATATGCTTATTTTACTTGAAGTGTTAAAACTATCTTTGCGTAAGACCGCGGTCGTGCGTGTAAGTGACTTTTTGAAGCTCGTGCTGTTTATGTAAAGCGGGCCTGCAGCTCGCGTCACACACGTGGCTTCTGTATAATACTGTATAATATAGGCCTAGTGTATGAGGACAGATATGATCGTTCATTTGTGAAGTCCTCGTTCAATCAAATGGATCTGTGAATCGTACATGTCAATGGAGGGGTCGACTGAAATATTAGATCTAATTAGAGGTGGCTGGGTCAGCGGCAATGGCAAAGGAGCTGGCCTCTGCTTGAATTATTGCCCCGAGTTTCCTGCGCACCCCTTGCTTCTTAGGCTGTTGCTCTCTACTTGATTTTGTCTGAATTTCGTACAGGTCAAATTGATAAAACGCCCATTCTCCATGTCCTGTAGCCCACTGACTTGACCTGAATGTGAATGCTTAACATATAGGACAGGCTACCTTTCGTCACTCCATCATTTAAGCACGCATTAGTGGAGCCCCTCACCAAACCCTCTCTCATCTTTTTTTTTTTCTTTTTGCGTTTTGCGCCCGTCAATTATTCTAATTGCATTGGCCTTTGCTGACAGGTTAAGAGCATTTCTATTTGCATTGTTTTTCTGATGCAGCTAAAGGGTCTCTGTTGCAACATTCAGACTAATTGAATAGTTGAATAAATAGAATGATCTTGAGGGGAAAAGTGTATAATTTAAATAAAGTAAGACGAGATGATTTTCAGGACAAACACAATGGTGAAGAGGATGGATTGCACTTTGGATGGATGGATGCTAAAAGGGGGGCACTGCTCTGAGGAGCGGCTTTAAATCGGTTGGATAAATTCCTTCAATATCATATACTGCTTTTTAATCAGCTCTATGTGCATTTTCATTTGGTTAAAGTACAAAGACCAACGGTAAACACAGCCTACGGCTTATGGGATTGTGTGTAGGCTACGTCCTATTGTTATACAAAATCTGATATGCAGCACAATGTGACAGATTCAGCCTATCAGGGCTATCTCTATAACATAATAATAATAATAATAATAATAATAATAATAATAATAGTAGTAGTAGTAATATCATAATCGCCTTGTAGCTTTGCAGGATAGGCTGTTTGAGCACGCGTCTATAGAGCGTCTGCTGGAGCTTTCCTCCTTCACTTGAAGTAAATTGGAGGAGAAGACTGAGTTCATATGTTTGAACCAGCGGCCCTCCGTCGGGAATATGTTATCTACGAGAGGAGCCACGCGCGAGGTAGCAGCTCAAATCAACAGTGTCACGAGGAGTAAAAGCGCACCTGACACGCGCGCGCACAGGGCTGCACAGGGAGAAAATAAGGAGCTGTGTCCAGTTACATCCTGAGTATCTCTCCCATGCCAATTTCTATAGCAACTGGTCTGGTGTGTTTAGAAATATGTTATAGACCTAGATTTGATTTAGGAAACTTTTTGGTCTATTTGTGCTTTCAAGAAATAGGCTAGGCCCAGCCTATAAGAGCCTATTGTCGATATGTGGGCTTCTGCCTAAACACCTTAGTCTATGTAGTTTTTAAACTAAATCTGACCCTTGTGGTTAGGCCTGTATTAAAGTATTAACTACATCATGCTTGGAGTAGGATATTTCTTGTCCGGTCCTAGAAAGCCTCTTTCTTCACCCTCATCCTGAGCCTGCTCGGCCGGTGCTCCCTGGGGATCCACTGCAGTGCTATTTATGGTCTCCACGGAAACCTGGCCCCGCCCCTAAAGACATGTCCACGTCTGTTTGCCGGGGGGTTATACACCTTCAGGGGATGCTTTCCTCGCGCCACTCTCCCATTGGCTCGTTATGAGTTTCTGCCGCGCTGACGTCACGGCCCGCCGCCCCTGCAGCGCTGAATGGAGCAGAGCCTGTCTGAGCCCATCCAAAAGAGCTGGGCAGCGTCCCGGGACAGGAGCTACAGAAAAGGGATCGTACCCATCTTTTAAGTGACAGCCGACACAGGCCTGAGCGCAGAGCAGGAGACTCCTTGTTCGGGACACCGGACGGCTGCAGCGGGTGTGCAGGGTGTGAGTCTCCCGCGTTGGATCACGATGATGCAAAGCGCGGCAGTGCTGCCGACAGAGAGCCCAGTGAAGAGTTTACCGGAGATTCTCGGAGTGCCACTGCAACGTAAGCGAGACATTTTCCTCTTGTGTGTTACAGATTTTAGTTTATGTGCACTGCGGCAGGTAAGGATACAGCCGTGCATTAGAAGAGAGTGAAACTGACTGACTACAGTGATGGCATGGACGGTCTATTGACCACCACAGGCCAGTGTCCTGGCCCACAAAATGAACTCTAAGGGATGAAAAGGCAGTCTCATCATCTTGTTTCCTTTGCAATGACATTAAGATGACACTAAGATGCAAGAAATGCAGAAAAACTAATACAGGCCTTTACTGTAATATTTGATAACTGAAACATTAAGAATCAAAATCCATAAAAATGCTGAAAGGGTTGTTATTGGTGTTTTCTAATCGCTGATGCTTGGACAAAAACACACCTAATTTCATGGTCTGGTGTTATTTTCCCATAGTTGCCATCAAGTAAATGCGCTTAGCCTACTTTAAATTATTTTGTTTTGTCTTTCCTCATTTGGTTTGATCTGTGGTCCACGCTAATATCAAACGCTGTTAATGTCATCCTTGAACCCTTGCAGACTTCCTAGTATTAATATAATAATTAATATTTTCGTTATTATTTTTAAGATGTGAATGCTAACAAAAAATACCTTTCTCCGAAAAAGGCAATAAATAAATAAAAATAAATAGAAACAAATAAAATAAAAACAAAGATCTGAGATCTTTTTAGTCGTTTATTAACTTGATTCATAAGAGCGCGTGCAAATAACACTCAGACAGACTAATACCAAGAACAGACAAATACAAAATATATTATATTGTCATTATTATATTATAATAGATTATTAGCCTGTCTATATAAAATGTAATCATAACTATTAATTTTAAAATGTAATTGTAAAACAATTACAGGTTCATTCCAAACTAATAAACGCTGTGAATAATATGCGAACTAAACAGTCGCAGAGTTCGTGGGATCATTTGAAGAAACCGCTATCAAAAGATAAACAAAGATCTTACCACCCTGCCTCTCGGCTTTGGATTTGGTTTGGCCTTTACATCTGATATATTATTTATCATTAGTATTTATTATTTTGGTAAATGTATCAGCAGCAGTTGGCTGCTGACTTGGAACAATAAGAGCAGTCAAAAGCCTGCAGCACATTCGTCTGCGACATGAATTGTTTTCACAAATTATCTGACAGTCCAAAGTGCGGAGGGAAAGACAGGGGCACCTTATCTAAGACTTGCAGCGTTTCCACATGCAAAATAAAGTGACGAGCAAGGGCCAAAATACCGAAAGAAAGTATGACCTCGTGGCTTTACTCTCCTCACGCACGCACGCGCATGCACGGAGCTGGACGCTGCACGGGGACTGTGCCTGTGCCAAGTTCGCGCTGCTTTCCTTTCAGCACCACTCCTCAGTAAAAGCAGCTTCATCTATTCCCGCATTTAACATTCATCTCGTGTTTTATAAAAGTGGTGTCACACATTCCGACACTTAAAATACAGGGCCACATTTTCTTTTTCCTTAGCTGTGTAAAAAAAAATCTTTTACAGGAAGCAAACTGACCTGATTAGTCTCGTAGCCTTTATTAGGACTAGTCATTTTTGTTTTTTAAAAAGATACAATTTATCGCAAGATAAATAATTAGGCTATAAAAATATGATTTATTTTATTATTTAAAAATCTGTTGGTATCTGTGCGCCAGGCAATATTTGAACGAAGAGTTGGATAACCTCGTGGGTTTCTTTGATAAGATCAGACACAAAATGCTCGAGCTAGTCGTTTTTTGTGACGTCTCTTAAAGCTACCATGAGGTGAGCCTGTATGAACTGTTGTGCGTAGTTTCTCCCGTATAACACGCTGGAAGAATTAAAATTTTCTAAATGTTAACCTAATTTATTTATTACTTTTTTTTTTTTATGAGAGATAGTTATGTTGTTGCTGGTTTGCAGCATATTCTTATTGGCATCAGAATTAATGTGTACACAACAAAAAGAGAAAGAGAAGAAGAAAAAATCAGCACCATGGACAGAGACGGGGAACAATGCGAATTAGATCAAAAAGGTGAAACGGTGAAAACAGGATTTTGGGGTTGGAAAAAATTAACATTTTAGCAATGCTCTGCCAAATCTAATTGCTACAGAGCGTTTATGAAGTGTCCGAAGACGACCAAATTTAAATTATGCTTTATGGGAAATTGTATGGTTATCTCTGCCTATTTTAAGAAGAATGATATTGGGTTTTATTTGTTTTATTCAACACAAGAGGCAAGCATAAATAAATGCTGTTGGCTGTGCCTTGTGCTCTGTATTGAACTCCAATGAATACAGTGCTTATGCCACATTGTGTGTTTTGTAGAGATCCCTCAGTGCGCAGGATGCAGTCAACACATCCTGGACAAGTTCATCCTCAAAGTGCTGGACAGACACTGGCACTCCAAGTGCCTCAAGTGTGCAGACTGCCAGACCCCGCTGGCCGACAAGTGCTTCTCCAGAGCAGGGAGCGTCTACTGCAAAGAGGACTTTTTCAAGTAAGTGCTGTGCTTTATTGTGCAGTTGTGTTGTATACTTTCTTGCATTTTATTGCATGACACTGTCGGACAAAATAAAAAATAAGATGAACATTTAACATTAAAATAAGAAATTTACTAAAATAACAGAAAGACTTTAGTATTGAATTTGCAATCTCATTGAATTAGACAGTTGGTTTGATTTCTGGCCACAGTAGGATCAGAGTGTGGGCTGTAGGCCGGAATCATATTGAAGTTTATTGCAAGATTTTTTGGGGGTCAGTGGATAGGTCTACATTTTTCAGTGGATGCAACAAAACTTTATTGTGTTTAAGTATCTAATTTCTTGACTGTATTCTCTGTCCATTTTTAAGATATACACGTCGAGCCCTACACTGCATTGCTCTCTTCCATTCAACACAACATCTATCATTAAAAAAGGAGGATTGAGTCCAGTTTAGAGGAGTTTTACCAGAAATAACTGTATTCACTGACCTCCTTTGACCGAGTCTTCTCTATAAATTAATTCTGTTGACATCAAATCTTAAAGGCTGTCCTGCTGTGTGTTTGATGCAGGCGTTTTGGGACGAAGTGTGCATCATGCCAACAGGGGATCCCTCCCACGCAGGTAGTGCGGAAAGCACAGGACTTTGTGTATCACCTGCACTGCTTTGCCTGCATAATGTGCAGTCGACAGCTGGCCACTGGGGACGAGTTTTATCTTATGGAGGATGGGAGACTGGTGTGCAAAGTAGACTATGAGACAGCCAAACAGAATGGTAGGTCTGCTTTTTGTGTCCATACTTGTGTCCATAAACTCACACACACACACGCACACACACACACACACACACACACACACAAACACATGCACACACACGCACACACACACACACACACACACACACACACACACACATACACCTAGAACTCAAATGTACTGAACTGATAAAGAATTATAATTTCTGTCTCTGCTCTGTGCAGTGAAGTGACTGTGGGCCTATGGTGTTTGTCATGTGGGTGTATTTGTTGTCGTCCTCCTTTTTTCTCTATGCATCTGAGATTGATTATGTAAAGCGAGGCTCCAATATGGAGCAGTACCAATAACTCTGATCCTTTGGCTCTGTAGCTGACTAGATTTATGTCCCGCTGCTGCAGTGGGACAGATGCACAAGGACAACTGACCTCTCTAAATGACCATTCAACAGTTACAGAACAGTCAGTTCAACAGTCAGTGACAGTTTTCTTACCCACACATGTGCTACTGTTTGCAGATGATTCTGAAGCAGGGACCAAGAGACCCAGGACCACCATCACAGCCAAGCAGCTAGAGACGCTCAAAAGTGCCTATAAGAACTCGCCCAAGCCGGCACGCCATGTCCGGGAGCAGCTGTCTTCAGAAACAGGCCTGGACATGAGAGTGGTGCAGGTACCTTTCATGATGAATATAAAATATTAGATACCGCATAGTTTAGTTGGATGGTTCGTTGATTTTGTTCCTTTTTCAGGTGTGGTTCCAGAACAGGCGAGCAAAAGAAAAGCGGCTGAAGAAGGACGCAGGGCGCCATCGCTGGACTCAGTTTTATAAGAGTGTCAAACGCAGTCGAGGGGGAACGAAAGCGGAGAAGGAAAGTTCAGCTGATGATGCAGGCCTCAGCGATAGTGAACTCAGCTTCAGAGGTAACATTTTAAACTTGTTGAGTCACTGAAACATTTGTACTAGTTCAGTACATATACATTATATATAACATAGGATATGACAGTATACAATAATGCAAATCATTGGTGCAAGTCAGAGCAAATTCTGTGTTATTATTTGACTTTGCAAATACTTCTTGAAATGACCACTGTCCCTACTCCTGCCCTAGTTCAGTGGTGGAGATTATTGGAAAACTCAGCGAGTACTTAGAGTTATGCAAATGATAGTTAAGACATGCCTTTGTTATTTAATGCCCACAATGCCCATATTGGGAAGCCATAAAAGTCTGTGGGCCACTTTTAAAAAGAAGGCAGTTTTTATGAGAAATGAAAAGATGGCGACAGAAACTCCATAAAGCATGTGAGGCTTTTAGTCAATTAGAGTTGAGCGCTCTGGGCTATTGTTGTGACTGAGGCCACTCCAGAGTGATGGAGATGGAACAAATACTTTGTGCTGCGGTAACTGCACAGACACAGATTTACTGTAGAACAAGTTAAAACACTCCCTTCCCCATATTCATTCAAAATTGACAAGGAGCTGGCTCCTTTTACTTCTAAGCGTTCAAGGGTGCATTACGTGTTCATACTTGGTGAACATTTATATGAATGTTTTGAAACTAAGTTGACTTGTCTCCTCCTCAGATGACCAGGTGCTGTCCGACCTGGGCCACACTAATGGACTCTACGGCAGTGTGGGGGATGTGACCAGTGGAGCAGTGCTTAACGGGAGCTTCACGGTGGACGCAGCAGGACAGCCCTACCATGACATCAGAGCAGGAAGTCCTTATGGTTTGCCCCAATCGCCATCGTCCATTGGCTCTCTGCCTGGACACACCCCCCTGCTCAACAACCTAGCCTTCAGCATGGACAGTCTGGTGGCACAAGGGGGGACTGGAGGGGTGGGCCAGGCACTCAGAGCCATGGCAGGAGGCCCCACCTCAGACCTGTCTACAGGCAGCAGTACGGGATACCCCGACTTTCCCACCAGCCCTGCCTCCTGGCTCGACGAGATGGACCATTCGCAGTTCTGAGCCTCTGAGAGCACAGTGCAATCTATGGGGACCCGAGGGAAAGACTCAAGGCTTTTTACATTTGTATTGTTCTCCAGACAGGAGTTTGGAAAAGAGAAGGAGAATAGGGGTCCAGATTTGTAGACTTGTCTCATCACTTAATACATAACTGGAGAGAGTGCAGCTGAATTTTCGACACTGTACCATGTCCCATTTTTTATTTGAAACAACTTTATTTAATTTTTTTCACTTTGGAAAAGAGGGAACATCGACAAACCACATGTCTGTGTTACAGCTACAAGGACTCCTTCCCCGCAGTCTCTCACTCATGTCAGAAGAACTGCTGTGGCCACATCAAAGCCTTTCTTTTGCACTTTACTCTCCCTGTCTTTTCCCATTGTTTGGATGAGAAGAGGAGAAACTATCTGTATGCACAAGGCAGAATCACAGTGATTTATTGGGAGAAAAAATACAAAAAACAGTGGCACAAGTGTGAATTTTGACCCATGAAAAGGTTTTATATTGTCTGAAGCTGAAACTTCAGTTATTTCGACATAGCCGCAGTGTGTCTGTCCATCTCACAATATTTTGTGTTTTTCGAAGATCTGACGAGGTGCTTGACTTGTAAAATGGTCTTAAACAGTTGTATGCTCAGAGCAGACATTGTGTTTCAGCGTTATCATTTGTTTCTGAAAATGACAACTTTCAGTTTAAGAATAACAAATTTGATAATATAAACACACATTGATCATGTTATACATTTTATATTATTTATTTTACTTTGAAATTCACATATTTTCTAATATACTGGAATTGAAAAGCTATCAAGTGATTAGCAGGGACTATGTTGAGATATGTTTCTTTCTTTGGTCTGATCCAGGCTTCTCGTGGTAATCTACTCAGTGTTGCAGGGCTTTGGCTTTGTCTCATATCAACCTACTTACTAACCCCAGATGTGGCAGCCCTGCGTGGCTCCATCACAGATGGATTAAGGGACTGTCCCTCCTTCCACTTGGGCCACGTACTGCGGGTCAGGAGTGGATTCTTAGCTCAGGCCACACAAGCTGAAACCCACAGAAGGAGGGCAGACTTCCAACAAAATACAGGGGACTAGGGCTGTGCCATAAAACAACAATATTTATCAGGATTTCTTTTTTCATTGGTATCTTATTTTATTAAATATATACATTTCCTGAACACAAAGCAGACTTTTGGATGTTTAGTGTCATTTAACTCATAAAGGTACAATTTCTCTCTCCAAAATCTGAACTCTGCTGCTCCACATGCTATTTCCTATTAAAATGACTCAAGTTTATCATTGCCAATTAGAAATTACAGAATCTTGATTAAAAATTGGTTAATTGCACAGCCCTATGAGCAACTGAATAGTTTTGTTTGAGGGGATGGGGAAAACATATCAAGAAGCCTTTTTGTAATAAAAATGGCAAAGTCCCTTTTCCCAGTTTCACAACTATATACAAAAATCATGTTAAAATCATCCACATTTCAGTTTGGTCTGTTGCCTCAGACATCTTTAAGTGTTGTAAATTTTGTACAGTTTGAAGCTGTGTCTGCTGTCTTGTTTCATTGAACACTATTTATTATTATTAATTATTATGATTATTGCCATGTGTCTTTGAAAAAGATGTAAAGAGAGCACTGAATTATTCATTTATGCCTTCTGTGTAATGGTATGAACTGTACAGTCAAATCTATATGAGCAAATAAAGCTGGATTGTCTTTGGGTTATATGTCCTTGTGTTGGTGTCTTTGAAACAGCCCTGTGATGAATAGGTCATTTAAGAATTCAGCTAAACTTTATGTCCGATACATCAGGAGAAAATATCCCCTGTAGAAGGTGTTTTTATTATTTTGCCTTATTGAAACGCTCTTAAAGGGAGTTAACCCGCAAATTCATTTACCATTGAGAGCATTTACCACACACTTAGGCCTCGATTCAATTGTGGAGGTCCATTTAGTACCACCAGCAGACAGTGGTCAGTCAGTTAACGGTGATTGATGCTGCTTTCCTCTCTGGCGTGACTCGTCCGTGGGTGACAAGAAAGATGCATGAAGAGAGAGGAGAAAGGGATAAAAGGGAAGAACCAGGAAAACATACAAACACAGGGCAGTGCCCAGCAGGACTCTGGCTCTGCTCTGATCCTCCCTGAGCTAAAGCCACAGCAGCAGATTGCACTGCAGCACACTCCAATCTTTTCCTAATCCCCAGGCTGTTAACTAATTGTACAGTGCTTTGTCAAATATGGAAAAATATGCTTTGTAGTTGGATAGAGAAAAATAGCCCATAGCCAGTTAGTTTAGATTTAACAGACCCTCTGTCTTTCTTAAGTACTCAAATCACAAGAAAGTGGTAGTTTTCTAAAGATGCCAGCATTTTAACAATATGCACAACTATAGACAGGAATGCTCAAGTCACAACAGGGTAGTCATGCAAATACTATTAAAGAGACACATTTCAAACAACTTTAAATAGGACAACACAGGGCAACAGACAGGAAGATAAAGAGATTAACAGCAGTTGGATTTTAAACTATATAGTAAATAAGAAGCCCGCTCAAAGATTTTGTTGAAATCACTTTTATACATTCAAGTTTTACAGGAAACAGACTCATGATGAGAGAAATGTTGAGATAAGGATGTTCTCAGTGATGACCATCTTCACCTGATTCCTGATGTTTAAAGTATGGTAAAGCCTAAACGATCAAAGGTCATACTTTTACTATGAAGAATATTGTATGTATTCCTATGTTAGGTCATCCATGGAGCTGAAGCATTAAAACCCCACTCATGTTTGTCTGGACTTATTCCCTTTAACTATGGTGTTGTCTAACTATGTATAGAATTATAATGAAATTACACCACGCTCTACATCTGTGTGAGGCTCATTTGTATGCAGCTGCGCACAGCATTTGTCTGAGAGCTGGCCAACCTAAACCAAACTTAAGTGTTATCGATTCCTTTGTGTTTTAGCTATTCCTGTTGCATTAAAAAGGAAAAGCAAAGAGTATATGCCTGGTACAGAGTTAGCACGTTTGCATAAAATGCCACAAATTGAGCAGATTTTTATATAAGCATTGATTGGCTGGGATATGAGCATTAATGGATAGGGTCTAATAGTACTGGCTTACAAAGATAAAGAGCCACACGGACAGTTAGGATAATTTACACGCCACTTACAGCACTAGTATACAAATAAATCTACACAAACTCCACTACTGTTGCTTTTGCGAAGATGACAAACACAAGCACAAATGCCATTATCATCGATCGTTGAGGCTTTTATTTCAAACTTCCTGGAGGAAACTGTTTCTTGGGTCCGAAGCTTAAGTGAATAAATTAACATGTAAAATAGGCATTATTTGGAGTTTGAAGTCAATCTTATAGCTCCAAGACAGAGCATTTTTCTCCTCTGTCCAAAATGCTGCAAACAATGCAGCTTAAAATGACGAAGTGAGTCTTAAAAAGGGCTGGAGTCACACATGGCCTCTCAATGACACACTCAAGGTTGTGGGTTCACAGCTGCTTTAATGTGGAATAAGAAAAAAGCAATGGTCTAGACAGAGGATCATTTGTGCTGCTCCAAAGCCTGGTCAAATATACAGTAGATACCAACTAAGTACTTAGAGTTTCATTTGGATTTGTTGCAGTTCATGTTTTTTTGTTTGTTTTTGTTTGTTTGTTTGTTTTTAAACTATATTATACATTTAGAAAAGATGAGTCATGTGTCAGTGGCATGAAGTAATTTCAATATTATTGTTAAATATTTTTTGTGGCAATATATCACACTTGTAATTGTAACAGGCCTATCCTCAAGGGGCAAATATTGTTTGGTTTGATCTACTACAATGTGTAATGTTTGAGATTTGCAAACCATTGCATCACTATTTTCAACATATTCCCTTTTTTTAACGTTCTATGTTTGGGGTTGCACATCAGCTCCATATTTTCGTCTCTATTGGAAGCTTTTCGTTGTTTTTTCTATTTACCACCAACATTATGTTAAAGACTGCAAACCAGACTGTGTAATGTGTGCTGGCATATACCTGAAGTCTGAAAGCTCAGCTCTTAAGTGTCAGTGGGGAGCAGAAACGCTTGTTCATCACCATAAACTACACATAAAGCTTTAGAGACGACTTCAACCTAAACACACGCACACATACCACACACACACACACGCACACACACATATACTGTATACTGTATACTGTATACTGTAAGGCAGTGAATGAGGCTTAGTGGGATTTGTGCTTACTGTTGGGTTCTCAGCCTCGCGTCTTGGAGAAGGCTGTAGAGAGCAGAGGGGGGAGACGGTTGCATAAATAACCAGATGAAATAAAACTGTGTGTTTGAAGGGAACACTAAAAATGTGAGATGGGAGTGGACCGACTTCTTCCACTTTTCCCTGCTGGTTGCTGGAGTCTAACGCAACAACTATGTGGCTTTGGCAAGACAGTAGCCACATGTGATTCACAGCTACCTAACCTATTGGTAATTCTTTAAAAGGTATACATCTCTTTACCAATCAATTGTCAATCATAACTATACAATTTTCTCCCAAGAAAAAAAGTAAAATGTACTATATCTTTTACATCACAAGTCACTCCAAGTACCTCTGGTTAGTGCTAACAAACACACAGGGCAAACACACAAGGGTTCCCACAACTCTAGTTGGTAAACACTTTTAGTCATATGAGTCAAAAATACAAACTAAAGCTTGTCAAATCTTACTTGTAACAGTTTGATGCATCTACAAGGTCACACAGTGCAATGGCGCCAAAACAATCCTTCTAAACTGTACTTTTATTCAGAGTATTTATCTGGATGTCTGCAACTTGTCCACCCACAAACATCTGTGACAGTTGTGATTGAATGAGTAATGCCAGGGCCTGGGGGTGTGTGAGTCTGCGGTTTGGAAAGGGAGGTGGATGCAGTGTCAAAAGTGAAAAGCACAGAGGAAAATTGAAGCTCCATAATGGAAGCATAATGGGCTTAGTGTCAGAGCGGTGCAGACGAGCTGGAGGGGGACGTCACCCTCTCTTACCTCCAGCCTTTGTAACGGGGTTTACGGAGCAACAGGGAGATGGCGCTGGGCTGCAAACAGGCTTTAGAGATACACCAAGGGCCTAATGGCAGCATGCACATGGAATTTATAACAATAGGAAGGAGGCCTCTTTGTGGAATTGTGGAACATCATGTCTTTGACTCACTGTGAATACACAACATGCTCTCAATGTACTTAAGAGTTACTCCAAAAGTTCACCTCAGAATGTAAATATTGGACAAACTTAAAGGGGTTTTGAAAAAACGAGATGTAAAGATAATTTTAATAAACCTGCACTTGAGTGAGATGTGATGTGAGTATGCACAAGCACAATGGACAGTGTTTAACTGTAGTCTAACACACACTGTTTAAAGGGCCTATTTTCTGATATGTTATAATGTTGTTTCCTAATCACAAACAGACCTGGAGTTGTGTTTTCTTTCATTGATACATGTTTAATATGCATACCCTGCATTTAAAATGTGTTCTTCTCTCAAACAGAAAACATTCCAGTCCTGTAATTTTCAGTTTCTACTGAACAAAAGGTAAAAGTTAGCTGTTAATTTAAAAATTACTACTTTATGACATCACAAAGTGGAACAGAGCATTTTGAGCTTTGAAGATGTAGATAGACTTATAATAAATGGTTACTCAAGCATTTTTGAATGAAACAAAACACAACTCTCAAATGTAATAATGTTTTAACATGGCTAAAAACTCACAAAGAAAGAATTTTGCATACTATAGGACCTTTAAGTGGACAGATTGGTTTTATCTCATTTATCTAATTAAGTCTATTCCGTGCAAACATGAATCAAAGTAGACAGCACAAACTAAGCTTAGTACACCCACTTCCTCAATGGCTTGCTCTAATCCAAAATGTAAACATAACCCTAATGCAATAGCACATTAATTAAAGTTTTTATAAAGTGCATTTAACACTAAACAATATGACCATCTTTAAATTATTTGCAGTCATAAACAAACTGACAATTTCTTGGCCATTCACTTGGCATCAAACTACTGTGACCTTCAAAATGTTTATATAATGCTCTGGAGTTTTCACCTGTCAGTGGCCATAATGTTTTGCCTTATTGGTTATGCCATGTCTGCCTTATTACAAAACCAATTTTCATATACTCTTATTGCAATAACAACATCAATTTGCGATATGTGCAGCCAAACTTTCTGAACTCTAAAACCCTTTGGAGAAAATGAGGCTCTACATTTAGGATGATTTAGTGAGGAACAGAACATGGCAGCAGACACGAAAATTCACCTCATGCACAGATCCCCTGCACACTCTTTGATTCACTGCAGGTGCTGTAAAACAGTTGTCAAGACAAAGTGAGGTTCTGGCGATGACTGCAGATGAGGAGCGGGGTGAGTGAGTGACGGCCGAGAGCAGACATCTCCACGCACTTATCGGACACCTTTTGTCGAGGCAGATTTCCAACAGTTAAACTTGGAGGCCGCTGACAGACAATGAGGGCTGGGCTACTGCAAACACTGTGTTACGGAGATTAAAGTTGGCCCTATCTTTATTGAGCCCAAGCATACAGAGCAAGGGGAAGTTTTTTTAGGGTTTTTTGTATTGGGTTGAGACATATAGAAATGTATATTTATAGAACTTGTCTCTGTATATCATTGTGTATTAGCATTGCATTAAACAGACCAGTGTCTGTTTACTAATAAGGCCCTTAATTTTTCCCAATTTTGAAAATTTCAGCAAGTTGGTGTTCTTAACATATTGTAATATTAAATTTAAGATTGTGACTTTTATTAATTAAAATGTTCCTATTTTTTCAGTAATCAAAATTAATATCTCTAAATAGATTTTTTTTTTTGGTTTTCATCTGCAGAGAAATAGTTTTAAAGAAATAGGCCAGAAATTTCTCTTTCTATGACTTTAATAATTATACTTAACATGATTTAAAGCATTCACCACTGTAAATAAAAAAAAACAAAAAAAACAAAACAATGAAATACAGTTTATAAGGCGGTATGTAAGGCTAAACGAGAATAAAATTAACTGTAAAAGAATCTGCAGATGTGTGACCAAAAAACAGCAGCTAAGGAGATGTTTACATCACCATATATTATACAGTATAATATTTTTTGTGATTATGGGAATGTTTCTGTTCCTTTCAATGAATTAAATGGACATACTCTGTCATGTTGTCCATATGAGTATTGACATTAAAACTCCTTCAAATGAACTTGATCCTTACAGGTTACACAGTTTATTACATTACCATTCATAAAGTGTATATGACAGGACTTTGTTTAGTGGAATAATACTTGTGGTAAAAATGTATCATAGTTTTATATCAGTCAAAAAAAAATTTTTTGGGAAGAAATCGTAGGCAAGATTTTTTTGTCAAAAAAAAAAAATCTAAATCTGTTTACTGTGTTTGAAAGAAATGAACAATCTAACCTGTCATATACACTTCCAATGAAAGAATAAATGAAACAATGAAAAACAAAAAAACAAAAAAAACTTTTGGAGTCATTGGGATAATATAGTCTCTTGGGGAACCCGAAGTTTGAGGAGGATATGAATGGTTTGAATGAGTTCACTAGGGTATAAAAAAGGAGGAGGGAGGTCTAGCCTTTAGGGGCAGTATACTGGCGCAGGAGGGACGAGATGGCGCTGGACTCAGTGACTTCTTCTGGGAGAGAGCCCTCCATGTCTTTGATAGAAGGGTCAGCGCCAGAGTTCAGCAGGAGCTCCACAATGTCAGCAAATTCACATGCAGAAGCTGAACACACAACAGAACAGAGAGAGCAGCCATTGAATTAAGGACAGAACAGATTCATGTTTTGATAAGGGGCAAATTCACTTCTAATGTAGATGTATTGTTTACAATTAAGATGTGCAATACTTTAAACAGCTTGTCTGGTTTTATAGTTAATGAAAAGCACATCTCAGCCCCAGCACTGACACTTGGCTGAACCTGTGCTTCTCAAACACTTCATTTGTGGCCTGTTGGCCATTTGAAGCCCACTAAAAGGGTCTTATCCTTCTCTCACCACAGGCAGAAGGGTGACTTGCACTTTCTTAACCCAGTTAGCAGGTCCGGGCTGTCCCGAGACACCTCTCGCCTCTCTGGCACCTCATCCCCTTTATCTGCTCCTCTGAGTGCTTCTGTGTCTGTGTCAAACGCTCTCATTTTAAAACGCTACTGGAGCCCCCACTGATCGCTGATGTCAGCAGCCGCAGTGATTGACAGTCAGGCCTCTTAACCTCGGCCCGGGGGGCGGCTACGGCGTGCTGCTGGGAGTGTGTATGCATGAGATATGATCATATACATGTGTGTCCATACACACTGTGTCTTAGAAGGTAACTTATATCGACCACCACATGGACCACTAATGATTCACCACATGTGACTGACAGGCAGTTTTTAAGAGGCAAAGCAGAGCTCAGGTTGTTGCTCCAAACAGTGTTTTATTTGGGCGGCGTGTGCCTGTGCAGGGGTGTCTCGCCTGGGCCTTGAGCTGTAAAAAGTGTCCAGCCCTCGTGGGAGCCGTAGAGGAGGAGCACAATTTATGGTGAGCAGTAAACCCTCAATTAATCACTTGCCAGCAGTGTGGCCCTGTGCAAAGAGAGGTGCGAATGAATTTTCATTCTCTGCTATTTGTCTCTGGGAGTTCATCGCTTATGTTTATTAGTCATCTTTTTATGCCGCATCTCTGGACTTCTTGTGCTCTGTGTGTGGATATCAAATAGGTGATGCAACATACCAGCATCAGGGCAGCCTCACACACTCTAGGACAGATGGCGCGCGCACACACACATACACACACATCTTGTGGTGTAGGAACGCCCCTCTGGGACACAGTGATGGGGCATGAGAGGGTCAGGGGAGTCTGAGGACCACTGCTGATTTCCTCTGGGAGGCCTTGTGATTATTACACACCCAACAAAACCAGACGGGTGCACACAAATGTGTAACATGTGTTACAAAGGGGGTGCAAAGTGAAGCAAGTGTAACACAAAAGTAGATAATGAGTTAAAACTACTACTCTAATGACATTCGAGTCCACTCATAAGACATTGTCTCCATGGCATACATAAGTGTATGACTGTATTACCGTAATGTAGAGCAGTCTGTCCTTCATTGTCCTGAAAAATGAAAAAGGCAAAAGTCAGAACAAGTACACAACAGATTTAAAAACATGCCATTTCACATATGATGATCAGAGCAGATAAGTGTTAACAGACAAATGCCTCTACATCTGATGGTTAGGAGGCAGCGCAGATAGAGGTCAAATTTACTCATTAAAAAAGGTTCAAGAATTGGAGAATGGACCATGTCTTGAGATCAGGCCATAAACATAAAGTCACATAGATGTCAGATCACAGGATGAGCACGTTCTGACTCACACATAGTGACTTAACCATGAGCTCCTAGAGCAGGGGTGTCAAACTCATTTTGGTCTAGGGGCCGTATCCAACCTACTTTGATCCCAAAGGGGCCGGATCAGAAAACTCATGTCATATAAACCCCAAAAATATTATTAAGTTCAAATATTTGTGCAGAGAAATGCAAATCTATTACAGAAATCTTTTTTAATTGATGAACTCTTTTTTTTTAAACAAAATATTATAATTATGAACAACTTGAAACTTTAAGGAAAATCCAATTTCAACACAATGTTTTAACTTTAACTTGTATGCAAATAGCAATAAGTAAATTTTTCTTGGAAAATTCTGCACTCGGCTTCCGCTTTTCTCATGTTGGACATTTTTCTGATGAGGGTGTCACGGTCAATAGTCAAAACGATCGTCCTTTAAGAGTGTTTGGAAAGAGAAAAGTCTTCATTTGTGCTGCTCTGGTGGGAGGGGCCACGTACAGAGACGCTGGAGACGCTGCTATGATAAGCACCACAGAAAATTACCAATATTTTAATAGAAAATATAATAAAAATATTTTAGTAGAAAATCAGCCAAGGGCCAGATTAAAGGTCTTGGAGGGCCGGATCTGGCCCCCGAGCCGTATGTTTGACACCTGTGTCCTAGAGGTTCAGAAATGGCACTACAACTCAACCAGGGTTGTCTTCAGCTTCCATATATGGAAGATGCAACCACAACAAACAATGGTTATAGTAGAATTTAAAACATGTTTCTTCTATATCTAGAGACATGGGCAGCTTTTGTTAATAAAAAATAAAAACATTTACTCCATTCAGGTGTCCAGTGAGGTAATGAAACTACCCAGAGGTCACAGGGCTTTGTATAATTCTTTAGGGACAGAAGCGAGTGTAATAAGGCCCAATCTATGACAGGCATCATCAACAGCAGACTCAGTTCTTAATCACAGCTCCGACCTGCCTTTGCACCTTATAATGATGATGAATGGACAAAGTGTAGCCTCCAGTCCCAGAACAGAAGCAATTGTTCAGCCACGCACAATGACTATGCTGTGAGATAGATTAAAAGTCAAAAGGCACTTTCCACACTTCTCAATGTCATTGGAGTTGAAAAAACTCTAAAATCACAAAAGCCATTATGGGCAAACTGTTCATTAGCTTTTGCTCTAGTACCAGCCAGACCTCTCTACACCTCCAAGTTTCCCAAAGACATTAGAAGATTTATACCATTTTAGGCCCTGTAATCTATATAAAGGTTTGGATATCTTCACTATCTTCAGTAAGAAATCCTTCAGTAGAATCTGTCAAATATTGGGCAGTTTGGTGTATGTAGATGCTTTAATGGGTGATCTTTATGTCCCTGTGTGAGGAAAATACATTTTGAGAAAGCGGCCTGTAAAATTACAATGTCTGATACAAATCTACTGATGTAAATTAATAAAAGGAAATAAATATCTTTAGGTGCAGCAAACAGATGAAGAAACTAAACACTGAAAAAAATTTCTCCTTAAGATGTTCTAGTCTTAAATTTGACCCTCTTCTCTTCCTCTCCTGTTTAGCTCCAGTGCAGAGTGATCCTATTGTTGTGTCTCTCTCTGTGAGGGGCAGCACTTCAGGGACCCGCTGATTGGATTAGAGCTTTCTATTCCCACTGGGCAGATCACTAAACACAGATGCAAATCACCAGCAGTTCAGTGAGGCACCGCTGCTGGCCTGCAACAACGTCACTGTCCCAATCAAATACCAACTGAATTTCAGAATAGACAAAGGTAAACTGTATTTGGAGAGAAAATAAAAAGGAAGAAGGAGGTTGCAAATATCAATTATTATTATTATTGCATGATTATTTATATTGTACATAGTTATTTTTGGTCATCTTTTCAAGGCTGAAATATGATGACTGAAGGCTTCTAGACAGAGAAAATTTACAAATAAAGTGTATTATTGGTGAAAATTATATATTCCTTTTTTATTTAATACTGTTGCTGTCTATAACAGGTCTGTTGGTATGTGTTTTATTATCAAAATATTATTACTTAATAGTTGATTAGTCACTATTATTCCAAATAATTGTTTCAGCCTTGCTAGATAGCCTATGCATATACTATAATTAAAGTGTAAGGGGTTTAGGCATTAATCTGGAGTTCAAGAGACACAAACACACACTGGTTCCACATGTGTACGTTATAAAGACTACGTACTCCGGTTGTATTCCTGCTCTGGTGAAGGGTCAGCGGCCTGTCCTCTCAGCATTCCCTAATGCCCCTGGATCCAGGACGGAGGCTGATGGAATCACAGGAAATTGGATTGTCTTCCATTTGCTCTGGAAGCAGCCGGGACGAGACACTCCCCCGTACATCCCCAATACCTTCTGTTCGCTACCGTAGCAGTTTTCAACCCCCCTTGTTCCTCTTTAACTCCAGTGCACCCCTGTGCCCATCCCATTACGGAGCCATGTCGCATAGAACCTCTGCTTTTACATGTCATCCAAAGTTTCCCCTTGCGGTGCAGAAATGCCCGGACTGGATGTCAGCATAGTGCTCAATAAAGCAGTGGCTTGCACAATAGCAGCTGTGCAGTGTATCACTCTAATGGGGTGGACCAATATGCTTAGGAGTAGCATGGGGAGGCCTTGATCTATTAGTACAATTGCAGTTTTGCTGAATGTAAGTCCCACTAATCTATCATTTCCACTATACAGAAACTATGTCCAGTAAGATAAAGGAGAACAGGAAGGAGGAAAGAAGGAGAATGAATCAAGAAGGTACCCACATCTTTAGTTTGACATCTTTACAGATTTAGATGGCCAACATACGTTTTAGTTTGAATCAACTTAAAGGCGCACTATGTAACTTTTTCAGGTGGCGTCTGCATAGGTGGGTTCCCTCTCCATAGACCTGATCTGTAACTTGGCCCACCTGCTTGTCTTCATAGAGATTGCAAAGTTAAGAAACATTTGAGGCAAAGGAATAACATTTCCAAAGAGAAAAGCAGGTAGTGGATCTTCAACCAGAAACGTTACATATTATCATTAACACATTAACACAAAGCAAGCAAGGCTACTTTGCATGTCCGTCCCTAATTAGGCTTTCAAAATCAGGTGAGTGGTTGTCAAAAGTCTGAGCTCTGTTTAAAGTTTTGTTGGAAAAGGACACCATTTGAATTTCTTTTGTTGCACAGTTCCATTCGGTTCCAAGCACAGTGACGGCCAGAAGGGTCCAAAGGTAGTTTTACACCTCAGTATGGAATTAATTTAGCAATCTCTATGGAGCATTAAGCCACAGGTGTATTTTTTTTACAATGTTAAACTTTTCTTTGTCCACTCACTGATGCATAAATGTAAAAGAAAAGCGACAACTGTGTGCAGCGCATGACTTTTTACTATCCACATTTTACATTCTGAGCTACAGTGGTCACTAACCCCACAGCCTTGGGAGTAACTATGCAGTCACTAAGAACCTAGAATCTTATTTTTTAAGTGCACCTGATAAAAGTTTTGGAGAGCAACTCTGTTCCCTCCCTGCCTCCGTTTCACCCTCATGCCCACCCTTCCTCAGTCCCTGACAGCAACATTAACCAAGTGGGGAAAAATGGACAAGCAATTATGATTTATGATCAATGCATGCAGCAGCTGCTGACTTTTATAATGACAGTGGTGCAGGGAGGGAGAGAGTGTGTGTGCTGGAAAGATGAGGGGTGAATCGATAGTCACTGGGGATCATTGGTATGCAGATTCCAGCAGATAGCATTATGATGAGCAGGTGCCATTAATCAGACAACAGCAGAAAGATGGAGAGGGGCGAGAGGAGCTTCAGCGAGAGCCATCTGTAACCAGCGGCAACACCACAGGCCACAACAATAAATCTGCCAAGCACTGCACCACACCACTCAACTTTGAGGCCGACACATGAGAGTCTGTGCAGTCAAGCACAGAGAGATCTTTGGTTTAGAGCAACATGCTCCTGCGTTTCTCTCTCTTTCTACCACTAAAAACAGAATGTAGCCCAAGGGTCCTTCAAAAGTGTTTTCAAAGAGTTCTTATCATAGGAAGTATATTGTACTTGTGTTGTATTTACTATAGCAGATAACCAACAGGGCTGTCTCAACACAGCTCTGTGGAGTTTGCCCTCACTAGTTCATCTGTGCTTCCTCTCACATGTGAATGCTCTTTAGGGAGCCCCAGTGTTAAAAGGATGTGGCGTCCTGACCACCCCTAATTAGATCAGGTCTCCTCTGTGAGTGAGGTAACCTTCAGTCAGTGTTAGAGCCACAGCACCCACAGTCCAGAGGTGGGACAATATCACCTATGTAAAGATAATATGACACATTATATTGACTACAAAGATCTCCCCTGTTGTGGCCATCCCCTTCCTTGTCAAAAGTTATTGTAAATTTACACTTTTCTTTCATTTCTGTTCAGTATCTAAAATATTGTATGATTATCACTGTTGAGATAGTCCAACAGCTAAGGAACAAAGAATGAATATATATATAAGAATATGGACATATTGATCTGAAGTATATTAATGAATCCATATGCTACTTTCCTAGCTCAAAAAGAAGGGAAAGACTGCTCCCACCTCTTTTCTGCCAATCTTTTTTCTCTCCATCCCTGTTTTCCGGACACTCGCCTGCCTCCTGTGTCATGGCGCTCGCTTGTTCCCTGGGGACACCTTAGCCTCCATTATGGCCATCAGAGAAGAGTATAAGGCCAGAGCTGAGAATTAACATCACCAGAGGCCCCGTCTGTTTTCCTGCGACTCATCGATGACGTTTAAAAAGAAATATATGAAATAAATAAATACATAAAAGAGTGTAATATGAAAATCAATGGTGCGGGCGCGGGGGCTGAGGCATTTGGAGTGAGGGACCCATAAAGCTGAGTAGTGCAGGAGACTGATGGAGGGAAAACACTTACTTTGTTTATTCTCCGGGCTCACCATCCCCTCCCCGGCTGTCTGCATCCAGCCCGCACTCTCTCACTCTCCTCTCCACCTCCGCCTCAAATGGTCGAGGACAGCTTTAATGCTCCCGACAATTTATGTGGACGGTTAAGAACGATGGAAATCAAATAGTTGAGTGTAGGCAAGGCCCAGAGAGTGGCCAATAAGAAAGAAACAACAGCTGATGATGGCAAAGAGGACTGTTACCTGCTGCAATGGCCTCTTTAGGCTGCACTATTACTGTCAGCTCACCGGCTCCTTTCTGAGTGCTCATATAATAGATTCATAACTGTATCCACGTGCTATGGGCCCTTTTAACACAGCCGCTCTCATTTCCTCAACTTGGCCTAATGTGCCGCAGGTACTAAATATGGCTCCCATAAGAAGTGCTTACAATGTGGGTGATAAAACCTCAGGTGCTGTACGCAGTAGTTACTATTCTTTTAAGTTTGTACATTAATGAGAAGGGCAAACGAAGGCTCAGCATTGTAAAAATCCATTTGCTACTTAATGCTTGTAAAAAAATATGTTCCAAGAGAGAATTAAACCTAAAAATGTGTTTGTTGGAGGCGTATAGAGCTGCTGCTGCTGCTGTCATCACCTTTGTTTACTCTACGCTATGGCCTTACAATTATATTTTGCACTTAATTTATATTCAGCCATTTTTTAGTTTTCCACCTTCTTGCCTTTCTCCTCTTAAAGACCCCATATTTTCTGGTAAGGGGAGGTTGCACGATTACAAAGAAACACACACTTGCACACACACACATGCATATACACACAATTATGACGAATCTGGTTGGATATTTGTTATGACTGGGCTGACTGAGCCATTAGTTATAGGAGCTAGTGCTGGGAAAGGGGAGGGATACCAACGTGTAATAATGCCTCTGCCATAGAATTTCAATCAGCTCAGTGCCCTGGCTGGCGTGTGTGTACGTGGTTTACTGAGCGCTACAGTCAACAGTAGAGGACACACATGAGAAGGCTTTGTGTGCTGCAGCCCCATACTACCCTCTGCTAACAGGGACACATTTACATCACAGCTACCGTACTCGCCTTCTGCTGAATGTAGCAACTTCAGGACGAAAAGTCATAAATATTGATATTAGTTTTACTACACTTTTCTTGAAAAATGTGTATGAACGAATGCTAATGCGTACAGCTGAACGTGTTTGATTAAAATGAAATATTCTTCCAGACAAACCAGCTGATTTGGGAAGAGGAATGAGCTCATTGTAACCTACAGGGATACTTTGGAATGAAGAAAAATGCAATCCTAGTATGATAATTGCCATGGTCTATATATTATATATTCTGTAGTCATCATTTTCAAAATTTCTGATAACAATCCATCTTCAGAATGACACAAGTGCACTGAACAACTGAACTAATATACACTAAACAAAGACCTCTACATAGAGTATCTGCCTCTGGTATGTTGGCTTTGAGAGAGCAGTATCTGTTATAAATCAATGTTAGTTCAGTGAAAACTAATTTCTACTTTAAGAAACAAAACCAAATACACTTATTCAAAGATTGTTTTTATATCTCTAAAGCCACCCCTTCAGATTATGTGTATAAATCTTGTTTTTTGCTCTGTGGCCACCAATAGTTGCTACCCCAAGTCAGATATTTATTGCTATTGATCTTGCTGGTCCTGGCTGAAGACTTTTGTTCTGCCGACTCGAGGCTCTGACCTCAATTAAGTTATGAATTTCTATCTGATAGACTAGGCGCGCTTGGGGCCTGTGCTACTATGCTGGATTAATTAGAATTAGCGAGTCGACCACCCCGCCTCATGGATCATGTTGTTTTAATACAAAGTATGGGCAAAGGCGGGTGAAGGGATGGGGTGAGAGAGACAGACGCACTGGGAGCTGCAAAAGACAAATGAGGAGAAGAGGAAGAGGACAGAAAGACAGGGAAAATTTCTTTTTAAAACTTGTATTTCCTTCCGGGGTGTTTTTGTTGTGTTAACCTACATCTCACCTGTGCTTCTTATTGTTAAAACTAATCCCAGCTATTCCAGTGCTCATGGCACAATGAACTAAGTCTAACATTGTTTAGATTCACGTTCTTAGCAAAGTCTAGACTGCAGTTCCTCACTTTGTCACTTCATGATTGTCCATATTCTGCTCTAACCTTTTTTCCAACTGTTTGGAAAAAGGTTAGAGCAGGATTTCCACCTCAGAAAAACAAAAATGTGGAATGAGGATAAGCTGAGGGTGTGGGATTACAGCGTCTGGTCAGAGACCACAGGGAGAGTGCACATGGAGGTGTACAAATACAAGCACCAATTAGTTTAACCAAATCACATTTTAGAACTTTTATTCCTTTTATTTCATTATTTTAAAACCTCATGTATATAAAATGCCTCCTCATATGAATCTGTCAATGCTCTGTGACCCTGTATTTTGCATGGCCCAATGTATAAAAAATACAGCAGCAGTGTAGAGTGTACCATTAAGCAAAAGTTCACCACATAGGGCAGAACAACAACAACATTATAGAATTAACAATATGGCTGACACTAGACCAAAATGCTTCATAACTCTGGCCCTTACCCTGCACTGCTGACTTTGAGACTTAACTGTTATAAGTTAAAAGTTCATGCTCATTATCAGTGTTTTAGGCATTAGAGGCAACTAGAGTGTGCCTGCACATGATATCGCAAAATTTGAATTTCAACTCACTCCCAAAGCAAAAAACAGTTCATTATGGTTGATATATGGCCCAACCCAACTAACACGCCACAGTCAGGATCACTAGCACACTTGAAAAATGCCCTTGCACTTTCCCTTGAACAAAGGGAATCCCCCTCCTAAAAATGTAATAATAAGACACTGTCTGAGCCCTTTTTATTAATTTAATCAGAAGTATTTAAAAGTCTGGTGATCTGGTGATCTGGTCAGTTGATATGATGGACATTCTTTTAACTAATGCTTCATTAATACTCTTACATGTATTGTAGCACACACTGTGGTGTTTAAGCTGTAATTTTCATTATTACATTAAGTGGGCTTTTATTGTCTTGGTCCCAGAGTTGTGGCGGGGTGTCCCACTTTCCTGGGTGTATTAGCTGAGTGCGCGGCAGTGTATGGATGAGGAGATAGGGGCTTAATGTACAGGCCACATCAGGAACAGCCCACAGTTGGCAGAGCTGTGCTCACTGCTACCTATTGTAGTCTGTCACTGTCCTGATCCAGGATTAACTATCAAACAAGCCCTAATGCAGGTTACCAGGGTTTGAGAACAGTTCGCTCAAGCAATCAGTTGATTAATTTCAAACATTTCCCCTCGTCAGGCAAAGGAATAATAATACTTTTTGTTTTATCTCTGAAGTCTCTGCCCCTTTTTAATCAACAAATTAAGCATAAATCAGGTTTGAGCTGTATTTACCAGTGCTATGCAGCTGGTGGAGGTCAACAGTGATTACAGGTCAGGCCTGTAACAAAGTCTACATGAGTCTTTGTAGAAGAACACACAAACTTTCATTTCCTCACAGCGATAAAACGACTGAAGGACACAAACATAAAAGTGTGCATCAGACATTTATCTCCCTCAGTATAAAACTAGTTTTGTCTGATGTCTGTGCTTGTCTAATGTGCAACATATCAAGCTGCAGTTTTACATAGTGAGCAAATAATTTGGCATTGTGGCTCTGAGATATGATTTAGTGCACTATATTTTCCTTTGCCACCTCATAAATCTGCTCCCAGTAACAGTGCAGCACAGTCCAGTTCTTTTAATATTCAGTCTTCCTCAGAGCCGCCTGCGCTGACACCTGTGAGACAGGCAGGTGAAGAGGTCCTTGTGCGCCTAATGAATGAATAAGGACGTGTCTGTGCTCTGATTGGCTAATGAAACATGACTCCACCAACAAGTGCTATCATCTGAGTACATGGCAGCCTCTCCTCTAGACGCTCTATGTACCTCACATCATGATTAGACCATTTTATCTGCTCTTCTAAAATCTCCTAACCTCCAGTCCAAATCACCACAAAATAAATTCATCTGTTGAATGATTTTGTGTGTTGTGCAACGTCAAACAATTTGCCTGATTACTTCCAATTGATTTGGCATTACAGTTAAAGCCTCTATGTGCACAGCCCATTGGAAACACTTTGTTGTGTCTCTGTGTGGCCAGTGGAGTAATTTCTTCAATGTGCAGCTGAGCCAGCTTACCGCCAAAGATAAAACCTCCAATGCAGCTAAACCCTGTAAGGCCAAAGACTATGCTACACAGGGCTAACGGGCTGCGGGGGCTCTGTGGGATTTGCCTGTAGCAACAGTTTGGATGGTAGTGTCATAGTAGAGACAGTACTATTTTACAAAGCTCTGTAATTACTCAATTTAAGCATTTGATACAAAACATGTTATGCACATACAAACTTTACCAAAAACTGGCATTATTGTTTTATATCAATGGATATAAGAAAATATATTAATAATAAGCCACAGGTGATGCATATGTTTGACCTACCTGACTGTTGATGTCCGCTTTGTGTTCCAGTAATACTGATACCAGCTCCTTGTGTCCTCTGTCACATGCCCAGTGTAGCAGTGCCCGGCCCTGGATCCACACACATCATGAATTAATGTAGAAATACCCCTTCTCTATTGAACTGTCTAGTACAATAAAACATATTGGCAAACAAACAGTCCCAATATGAGACTTGACAAATGACAAAGTTGTGGTTAAGGTCCTAAAAGTGAACTCCTGCCCATATAAACTTGCCTTATATGTGTGATTGATGTAACACTGTCCCCAAACCAGGATCAGTGAACCACCAGTCTCTCAGACACACTGTGAGATTCTTGTTCTAATAAAACCATGCAAGCTCATTTTTCAGTCAGGCCAATTAGGTAAAGCAAACTCCCCGAGTCCAATTCTGTTGCTTAAATCATATTGATCACAGTGGCTGCATGTTAAAATGGATCTCTATAGCCAGGCCAGAATACCAATCAGATGCTCTCTGGCTCTCTGCTCAGGTGTGCGGCTGCTGACTCCTGACAACATTAATTCATATATCATACTGCTTTGAATGGGATTTTAACTACAGTCCAACCACAATACAACGTGAAAGGCATTGAGATAAATAAGAGCAACTCTTTAAACATTACTTAGACTACAGATTAGGCTAGAACATGGCCAACTGATCAACTCTTAAATAGACTGAGCAATGCAAACGGAAATAAATAGCATTGTTGTCTCTTCAGCAGACATCACAAAAAATTATCTGCATAGGACACATTAATTTTAGATTACTTTTACACTGGACCTGATTCCAGCCTTTCTCTTGATATGGGCAAGGTAGAATTACACCAACTTCAGATTTTATTTAATTTTTATTTTATTTTTTTTGCACTGTACTTTTTGCAGCTCCTGGGTGCTTTCCATGGGACCATTATTAAAAAGTGCCTCAGAAACTATATAAGGATTCTACAGTGCGTAAATTAAATCTACCAGACTAAGTAATATTTCTCCTCTATTTCATGAGAATTATCTTGTGGCTTGCAGGCAGATGTAGGCAGCCACTAGTTGGTTTCATTACTAATGTAAAGTGAAACTTCACTACTGCCCTCTGCTGTTGCTAAGTTGAAATACACCCAGGATCACAAAAACAATGGCAGTGAAAAGACAAAGCTCTCAGGCTCTGGACCATCTGGCTCTAAACTGGGATTCAGCAGCCGATTGCAGCTTATCTGAAGGACTGCGGTAAAAGAGGGGCTGGAAACCAACTATTTGGTCCAGCTGATAATGAATCAGGAGAGATGAAGGTATCTCAGGGTCAATAGCTGTCCACACAAATTGCACACCTAGGTCTGAGCAGTGGTCCCACGTTAATGAATATATTACATAACTTTACAGGAGAAGCTGCATACACTTTTCCAGGTTGACCTGTATTTGTCAGTGAAACAGGTCAGAGGTGGGCAAGACCAGCAGAAGAACAGTCAATGCCTTTCTGGGAAGCATTAGCAGCAGAACATTCATACATAACAAACAGTGTGTCCTTGAGTGAAAGGTAAATTTTTTACCACTAGCACACTGCGTCCAGGCCCGACTATCACTGTTAAATCTACACCCCCGGCCATACAGTATTTAAACTGTGAATCACGCTGCTGGACTGTATTGTGCAGGCACTGTGCTGTTATGTTACCTCTTCATCTTTTGTATTGACATCCACGTTCTGTGAGCTCAGAGCCTTGTTGATTCGCTCAATATTATTTTCCCTGCAGTAGTCGAAAATGTTCTTATCTTCTTCCCTGTAAAAAAGAATAAAAGAGTCAATCAAAAAAAACTGCTTGTGCTAAACTACACATTTTCTATATATTTTACTTTAATGGTTTATTTTTTATTCCAATTGTATGACATGTAGCTACAACATTCTCTAATACATCTAATCTAAAACATGAATGAGTATTTAAAGTGAAAATTTCATAGGCCAGCAGCTGTGCACGCGCCATATCTCTGGGGAACAGTGGTATCACACAAACAGTGATTTTATCTGATGCCTCTAATCACCTCATGCCACTGGGGACAGACTGCAGCGTGGGTGCTGCAGAGGTGCTGTGGCAGCGGGCGAGGGGGCAACCAAGAGAAAAGGGGCCAAATCTCATTTGGAGCTTTACGCCCTCCACACCCTCTTACCCACGCTAACCATTCTGATTAATTGAATATAGTGCTGTATTGTCTGACAGAAGCCTCTCGTCCCTCCACGGCCACACCACAGCCACACCACTCCCACACCACTCCCACACAGTAAGTCTGTCATCTCCAAGGCCAAATCCCTCCATTTCTGCCCCAAACACCTGCTCTTACAGAAATACATAAACCCCACTATACTGCTAAACAAGAGAAACTGCAGTGGTGTAAAGTGCTATCATTAGTGTTAGAAAAGCATAAGGATATATGCAAGGGAAATAAAGTAAAGATCTGTGCTGCTTGAACACATGCCCAAGAGAAAAGTTAATTATCATTGTGCATTAACAATCACATTCATAAATACTGAAGCTGAACACAGGGTACTTTTTCCCATGTGAACCACCACTAAGCATTCCCTCATCTACAGGGAACTCTAATAATAAAGTATTTAGACAGATTAAGGCATTCCACAAGTTTTTTTATATATATATATATATATATATATATATATATATATATATATATATATATATATATATATATATATATATATATATATAATATATATAATATATGTTAACAATTCATCCTAGCACTAAGGAGGGCATGTTTTAAAGTGACACTAACAAGACACAGACAAAGAAAAGTTTTGTTTCCATTTGTTCTTTAATGAACCTCTGGCTTTCATCTACCCTCTCTTTCTCCAAGTTCACTCAATCCCCCTCTTCCTGCCATCATCTCATCAGCCTGTGATGAATTATGAATAACTCATTACACTTTTATTACTTCTAGGTTATGTATGAGCACATTCATTTACATACTCCTGATTACCGGCACTATGTTTATTCATGAGTGCAGGAGTTGGACCACACCCACTTCCTTGTCTGATGGCTATGGTGACCCCAAGTGTCCCTGATGTGTGGCTGCTATCTGTCTTCGCCAGCAACTAATCAATAGGCCAGCTCATCAGTCTTTCATTGATGGTGGGACTGGGCTGCCCTCACTTGTGTCAAACATTACAGCATATATGGTGTCGAATATGTAAAATAAGCATTAAATTAGCACATAAATGGCTTAATACCAAGATGTAGAATAGCAGGTCTAACAAAATGGTCCCAACAACAAACAAATGCTTAACAGAAGTCCTACAAACAATATGACATCAACTCTTTGCCGTATTGCATGCTGGGAAGGTCACAGGCTACTCTGTCATCATCACAGTGGTGGCACAAAGAGTTCAGTGTGTCTCCGAATGTGTGTGTTTTCTTTGTGTGTGTGCGTAGGTGTAATGGACAAACATGTGTGTGTCCAGTCTGGTGTACTGGCAGATATGTCCTTCATCCATCAGACTAAACTGGCCACAGAGCTGGAGAACGTTCATCTACCTGACCTGAGCTCCACTGATCAACACCACGGCCACACCATCCATCACAGGCGCATGAGCAGAGCCAAAGGCCCACACAATCTGTCATCACACCCCCTATAGTGCCTGTTCTGCACCCTCCACATGGAGCTACCAGGAACAATGAGAACAGTGGTGTATGCTGCAGAGAGCTGGAAAGCAAAACTGTTGCTCGGATGTTTAGGGTGGACAGAGAACTTCAGATGTTGCATTTAAGGTGCTCCAACGACCTGATCAGCTGTTTTTAGGGATATTGCTAATCAGTCTCCCATTTGTCAATACTAGTTACACAGATACGCATTTGGAAATCAAGATCTGGAATAAGAAATGCAATTAACTCTCAGATTGGTTAACAGGTGCTTGGCTGTTTAATATGGAACTCGTCTGTGTGTAAGAGAGAAAGAGGAAAATTGAAATGCAGCAGAGCAGTGAGTGTGACAGTTCTGGCAGGTTATGTCCTGAATTGAATCCAGCCGTAGCAATGTAAAGCAGTAAGTGTATGTTTATGTGTGCGTATGGGCAGAACAGTGTGTATGTGCCATGGTAATGACTTTCTTTTTGCAAGTTTCCCTTAAGAATAGGATAGCATTGCAACAGGATATCACTAAGGAGCACACCCTTCTGGGAATCTGCCCCACCTGTCCCAGTCTGCTTCACCCCACCTACCTTCTTCACCCTGAAACTATCCCTGAATCATAACGTAATTAAAAAAAGGGGGTTTCTGGCTGTCTCTTCTCAATACGCATACTAATCATATACAGGCATTTAGGGGCAAAACCTGCAGGATTCACACATCTCATTTTCCTCTCCAAAAGAGCTCTTTATATTGAAATGAAGATGAGCTTTTTAAGCTTGAGTAAGTCTGCCAGGAAAGACTAAATGGAGAATATATTTCATTAACATAAATCAGAAGTGTATGACGTCTACAGGCCCTTACAGCAGTTACGGTCTGTTGAAGATAATCATATACAGGACCTAGACTGGGGGTTAACAATCTTCCGGGTTGACCTATGCATTTTAATGTGTTTAATTACAAAGTATGTAAAAGCTTACTAAGGCTTTACAAATTATACTTATTATAGTTAAGTTTCTGTTACCGTATTGTTTCCTCCTGATATAGCGAGCTGACTGCTGCTCCTCCAAAGCTTGTTCTCTTTTCTGCTCCTCTTCTTTCCTGTCAAAACAACACTGTACATAAGAAAATAGATGTACTGATATTTAAGTGGATTTAAATAAATACTACAACAGAAAGCAAACCACTTAAAGCAGTATGGCAAATAATAGGTTATTGGTTTTAGTTAAACACAGTTAATGGTGTAAGTAGATATTTACACTATCTACTTTTGGTGCACCTTTAGACATGCACCAAATGTAGAAAAACATGTCTCATTGGCTTAGACATGACCTCACTGTTGATAAATGGCCAACAACATGCAGAGGCACAACAGAAAATTAAAGTGCTCTAATTTGTGACCCAGGTTAATCTTCAGTATCATTTTTCATACTGTATCATAAATTAGAGCTGCATAAAACCTTTAGTTTAGACCAACTTTATTACTGCCCCATTGTTTGTGGGCCAACCTTGACTCACAAAGGAACCCACACAAATCAGATTTCTGAAAAAAAGGAGAGTGGAAGGGAACATGACAAACAAAGCAAAACAACTATGCATGCACTTTTGGGACAACCTAATTCACTTCTGAAACTCAGAATATTCGCTGATGCACTGGCGCAGCTCCTCCACTATAATACAATATAGAGTCTCCTTAACAATTGTGGTGGGAGCAGAGGTCAAATTCTGCCCATTATTCTGTCCTCTGTCTCAGTCTATGCACTTATACTTACAACATTTAACTGTGTGTTCAGAAGAATGGCTGCTGCCATGCCACAGTGCTTTGTTAACACTAACACAATTAGCTTCTTTTCAGGGGCATTTGAGCTATTGTGGCCCAGTGGACTCCTTAGCAGAGCGATGCAGGAGGGTCTGTGAGTAATACACGGGAGAAATGAGAAAGTGTCTGAGTATGATACTTCACAGACTGGGACGTCTGTTGTAATAATAATAATAATAATAATAATAATAATAATAATAATAATAATAATAATAAATTCAAATAGAATATATATAATATAGGTAATATGAAAGGATGATTGTAATTGTTAATGGTTTTCAGAAATGGAAACTGAAGGTGATATTTGTCATAGTGGTGCTTCACATAACCAAAAATATTTAAAATTTCAGTCTACAGTGTGTTTTTCAACACTTGAAAATGATCGTTTGGTAAATAATCTTAACAGAAGAAACTAAACACACAATTACTTTTTTATATAACGCAACTACAGATTTTATTGTTTATTTCAACAATGACCTCAAATAAGACATCCTGTTATAATGTAATTTTTCCTTAGTGTGTGCTTTTATGAATCATATTAAGGCACAAATGAGCATACGGTATGCGTTGCAGTATGTTTATATCTACTGTTAAGATTAGTGTAGGCCCCTGAACTAAAGTAAACATAAGTTAAAGACCACTTAAACAGCTACTGATAACTTTATATAGCACGTGCTTCGCATACCGCCATAATACAAACCCACATACAAATTTTTTAATCATGTCATGAACGTAGATGAACAAGAAGCCAAGGAAAAAAATTATAGCAACACTGACATCTACTGGAAAACAATCAGTATTGCATGCTACTTTTAAACCCTCAATTGACCGTTTTTGACTGCCAATTTTGACCCCATATTGTTAGATCTGAATTTTGAATTAAAGTGGGAGTGCTATTCCACAATGTATACTTTAAAGTGTAATTATAAACTAGTATTTGGGGGAATATAAAAAGCAAATATTCTCAGTCAACTTCACTTATCTTTGTTCCATATTATGTGATTATCAAAATTGGGAGGAGGTCTTTCATTCTGTATTATGTTTTTTAATGTTGACTGGTAGTCTTTAGTAGTAGTAGTAGCCTCTGTTACCTTAGAGGTGCCTTCCGGATCCAGCACATTCACAAGAGAAATGTACTCCTGCATAGCCTGCTCGGCATCCATGTCACCAAGCTGTTTCCACGCTTGCCTATAGAAATGTAATTCATACACATTCACTAATAGTACACACAGTCAATGAATAGAATTTAAAGTAAAAAATATGCAAATATACAAACCATTTTCTCTGTCCTTCAAAGTCAAAGAAGCCAGGTTTAGAAGTATTGCATTTGCCCACTTTGACCTAGGAATAAAGTATAAAAGTAAGTACCACTTATCGGTATGGAAATATGCCAAGGACCCCCTATCGGTCCCCACAACGACATCACAATAAAATCCAGAAATTCAAACCATTTTTATAACCAAATCTGGAAGAATGATGAATTTCTCATTTTCTCAGTACTTACTTAATTAGTGTCATTATTTTTATCAAAACACTTTATGTTTGGGATTGAATATCACAAGAAATTGTAGTATTCACGTAATGCTCCATGTTATTAAAAGATTTGTAGGACCCCCAACACATGGCCCAGGGACCCACTTTGAAAACCACTGGTATTAAGTATAGATAAGTACAAGAAGTACACTGCATATTACTCTGTTATTGTGATATTAACATATTTCATAATAAATCTTACGAAAGCCAATAACAAGAAATAACTGTCACCAAAGGCAGTAGGTTATAATATATTAATTGCATCTATGTTGATAGGTCAGACAGCGCTATCAAATGCACCCCAGTGTAGGTACCTGTTTATACCGCGCGTACAGGTAAAGGAGCTGATCTCTACTGGCTGACTGAACCAGATTTTTGACACGATCCGCCGCAGATTCAAACTCCTGCTCCAGTTCCTCTCCCTCCAGTCGGTCTCCCATCGCCATTACGCTGCAGTCAAACTTGCCCAAGCCCAGGTCTGAGTCCGAGTCCGAGCCTGCTCCACCGAGAGGCTCCCCGGTGTCAGGCCGAGCTGGGTCCGTACCGGAGCCCGTTGCAGTGTCCGGAGAGGACGAAGGGGACCCAGAAGCCATTGTTTTGTTGACAGTATATGTTCAGAATCTACAAATACCAAGCTATGGTAAAAGTATGTCAAAATAGAAGAAATTATCGGGAAACAATGAAAAGATGAATTTGTTTTTAATCCTATGCAGATGGATTTATTTCTGTTGTCGGTCCGTCTAAAGTCCGTTTCATAAAATATCCCGTGTGAAACAGCTAGCGGAATAGTTCCGCTGGAAATTTTGACCCATTTACTTAATGGGCATATTAGCCTATTTTAAAACACTTAATAATCACTAAATTCACCAACAATTCAAAGGATGATAGATTCTTTATTCTGGATCCGCATTAGTTATTACCTCACTAATAACTAGGCTATGTTATAGAATGGCATCATTTATGCGCATTGGCTGACAAAGCCTTTTCTTTTTCTTCCTCAAGTACTAGGCACTTATTTATTTCAACTGCACATTATTCAATCAATTAATTTTAATTGTACGTTCAAAATAATTGTGTATTTTAATAATCCGCCGTTTGCAGAGATCAGTCAGCAGATGGCGTATCATAACCCTTTTTTGTGCACGTTGGCCGTCACTCTGCTCTGTCATGGTGTATGTTTGGGAGTCTAATTCATCTTTTGCCCAGAATTTGTTCTCAGATTTTTAAATAAGAGCAGGGAACATTCGCTACACAATCCTTTTGAGTTTCATCAACTTTTTGATGTTGCACACGATATGGCCTGTATGCCATTATAAGATAGGTGCATGCAATGGATCATGGTAAATAGAATTCAAACGAACAGGGATCTATTAAAAGACGGACAGATTTGTATTGGGTTGTTTGGATATCAGTGCTTTCACTTTCACAGGAGGTCCCAACAACGCCCGGTGCCACTGCGCGCTCTGCTGCTGACGCAACCACGTAGTCGAGAGTCAATGCGATGGCGGACCGCAGTGTCCCCAGTCCTGCCCACGGAGGGACGGGACAAAGTCACTGAGACAACACCTGTGAGCGGAGAAACCTGCCATAGCCATTCCTTTAAAGTGAAAACTGCGAGGCTATGTGGAATGCAACTAGCGCCGAGTGCGCTCCCTGGGACGGACCAGAAGTGGAGTGAAAACAGCCGGAGTTTGCTGCGCGGAGCCACCGCATGTTGAGCCAGCAAGTTCACTGAGGTATTAAAAGTCGCATTGACGTGAAGGGACCGACGCTCCTGGATTTAACGGAGCTTAGAGGAGTTTTTATTCCGGCAAAATGAAGTTCGCAGAGCATCTTTCTTCCCATATTACACCGGAGTGGAGGAAACAATACCTTCAATATGAGGTAAAGTTATTATTTTATTTTGTATCCGACAGTGATGTGAAAATGGCCAAGGCATTCATACAGGCGAGTTGAGTCCAGGGAGAATAATAGAAAACAAAACCTCAAGAAAAAAAAACAAAAAACATTTTAAGCATCTAAAATCATATTATAAACAGTTGAACTATAAGCCACTCTAGAGAGCTATAAACAGAAAAGGAGATGCCCTATTGTTTATGGGGGGAATGACTGCGGTATAGAGCCACAGGGAGCGTTCACGTTTTATTACTGTTTCTGAGTTAAACACATCCAGTCAAACATGTCACTTCACTTGTCGTATATAACTAACTGTGGGAAGATTTAATTTTTAAAACAATTGCTGCATATAAAGACATTTAACAGCACTAATAATATGCGTTTATGTACAAATTTAGTCTATATTTGGTTTTGTAAACTTGTAGTATTTGCATTTTAATACTTTAGTAGGTCAATTTAAGTTTAAAAACTCAAAATATTGTTGAAAATCTCAAATGCATAATTTAAAAAAATTCTAAGTGTTATATAATTATCTTGAATTAAACATTTAATTTCTTACATTCCTAAAAAGGCATTGGTCTATACTATTTGTTTGTTCAAATAATAACTGCAAAAGGATATGTTTTATGCTATATGTTTATCCTTTAGGATTACTGTGGGCCAAGCGCAAACATGGTTTTCATTAAATGAGAGTATTTTATTTTCACACCACATTTATGGCTGAGCACAAGTGCATTAAAAAAGATAGACAGGATGCCTGCTCTATTCCATTTAGCTCTATGAATTATAGACAAAGACTTCTGCACCACTGCAGGACCAACACAACCTCAGTGAACTACTCATTCTGGAAACACTGAACTTTATTTAGCATTATATTATTACACATTAGAAAATGTAAACATTTTTGTCCTTTTTGTTATTTATCAATGAATATTTATGTAAGGATAAAAACATGTTTTCTAGTGTGGACCGCTAATGCCTCTTTTCTACACAGCCAATGTGGCAGACAGACGCATGGCCATACCAGCCATTTTACACCTCCAATCTGCTCGGTCCTCAGTGACCTGAGATGGATGATAATGTATGTTTTTGTCCTAATTGTCTAAAAATGCCAATTTTCTGAAAATAAATGATAACAATTAGCTAAATTTTCTGTAGCTGTAGAAGTATTTTTTCCCCAATTACTGACAAATATTAGTGATTTGTTTGCTGCCTGCAATAAACACTTCTTTTTGAGTGGGTGGAGCTAAAAGAACATGGATGTCTTTATAATGTTTTATACATTGCTATACTCTGAATACTGTCAGACATAATCCATTGGCACCTGATGGACCGTGTCAAATAATACAAATTTATTACTTAAAATAATATTTAGTTTATTCCAAATTCAAGTGAGATTCTTGAATTTACAGTTTTTGCAGAAACAATGCTTTCGGATGGGTTAGGGGTTAGTCGGTTGCATAAGAAAATGGCGCAAGTTGGTAAAGCACCTCATTACACAGGGACCGCATTGACAGATGATTGAGTGATTAGGTGTGTGCTTCATCCTGTGGGATGTCGCTATACGGTTCTATGCTAAACAAATACTTTACATGGACATGGGCATGTTCTGCTCCATCTATTGACAGGTATAGGTCAGGCAGTGGAGGAGAGCCTCTCTACGCCAAATGTGTTTGTATTATATTCATAACATATCTTTCAGCTCCAAGTGTTTTTTGGTGAAAATATTATAGATTTTATTACATTGTTCAACAGGTTTCTATTGTATGACACAGGTATAAGGGGGGGTAGTTGGAGGTGCGTGGGTGGTCAAGTCGCATTTATTGCTGCAGCCTAATTACAGTTCACATACAGTAGATGAGATGAGGTTCAACTTCAACATATGTTTACAAATGTACAAAGAGGTAAGGGCATTACAACATATCTGTGATTATCTTTCGTTTGTTTGTGAAGGCATAGCCTGTTCTGTGAAGTATATAGTGTTCACTGTCATTTGATTTTACTAAAAGACATTAGTTAACACACCCTAGTAATATGAATATTAGCTGTATGTTCTACAGTATGAACCTGATGTATACCAATAGCTGTGCACAGCCACCACTGAGAGCCCCTGTCTCTATTCTGGCATGGTCCTCTTGTTCCTCAGCGCACCGTTCCTCCCCCACCAGGAGGACATCTGGTCCTAGCCCTGCCCTCTGCTCTCCACCTCCTCCCTCCATCCTCTACACTCACCCCTGCGCACACTCATCCACTCAGACACACAGCTCAAGTGATCCACCATAGGCTTTCATTTAGAGCCACAGATCTCTTTAGATCAATAATGTATTCTGTGAGATCCTTTCAAGCACACGATAACAGTCTTGAGTGTCCCTTACTGAAGGATCTGACTGTTCAGTAGTGTCTCATCAAGTATCTCTTGTTCTTTAGTGCTTATGCTCTGTTTACTTGACTAATAATCTTCAGGACACTTAGCAGTAAATGTGGCATATTTGACATGTTTTACTACGCACTCATCAGTGGCAGTATCATAGACACTGATGTCTCATTAGACTGGGTTCACTTTGGTGATTATACCGAGTGTGCAGTTTTATCACTTTTCCCCAAAGACCTTTCTTCCCTCATTTCCCATCAAAGGCATTACCATGGTGATGGGTTCACCTTAATAACATCTCTCTCTTTAAACACCAGTTTCCCAAACAGTTAGAGAAACAAACTTATTTATGATCATGATATCTCTACCTGTCTTAAAGTAAATATACATGATCTGTTTAAACAGCTGCATACCTGTTGTTGTAACATGATCTTTTGTAGAGAACAAGTGGTTTGTTAATTGCTCTCCAGTGAATTTTGGTTCAGTGCTACAAAGCAGATGGCGCTGACATTTCTGGATCACTCCAATATTGTGCTGAATTGGCTTCTTGTACATGCATTTAATGTTCCTTAACTGTTCAAATATAAATGAGAATATGATTTTATTTTTCTTCAGGCATTCAAGGATATGCTGTATGCTGCCCAGGACCAAGCTCCCTCCATAGAAGGTAAGGAGACACTGTCTGCACAAACAAACCCAGGCACATAGGCAGACATGCACTCATAGTCTTGAGCTTGTTTTGGCGTCCCCTGAAATAACAGCTCTTCATCTGCTAAAAATAGGCTCAGACCATCACCAACACACTGGCCTTTACTACGCAATATCTGACCCCAATGAAGACAATAAATGAACTGAAACACAGTCTTGGTTGCATGTGTAAGTGTTAAGCAAAATGTATAGACTTACATATAGAAATAATATTTGATGAGAGACAACAGTAGAGGCCTGTGACCCAGTGATCATTTCTGAGGTCAGCAGTGATAAGACATATTCACTAGAAGGAAATATGTGTGCTGCTGTGGTATGTGCCTATACAATTTCAACATAAGCTTTAAAATATGTTAGTGGAGATGTATGGAGTCCATAATATTGAATTTATTGACATTAGTTTGTGTGAATTTGACAAGGCACACATCTTCAACTGTATCTGGTTGTCATGTGTTCAGTACAGGTCTGTGTGTATATTGCATCCCTTCTTGACAGCATACCAGCACTACATCTTGATGTGGGACCATTGAGGCCATTGGTTGTGTGCTTGTGAGTGGATGATAAATCACCTTATGTCTGGACTCTGAGCTGTACTCATGGGTCACTGCTCTGCGCCTGTCAGTCTCTCTGTAGATGTAGGTGAGAACACGTTATTGATAAAGACAGGGCCAATCAATCTATTAAGATGACAGTTGTGACAGTGGAACATTTGCGGAATTATAGGTTTGCATACTGGAATACATATATATGAATATATATATAGTTATGTTGCTACAAAGATTACTTAAAGGATATAGACCTGATTTTGATGGTCTTAAAAACATGAGAAACAGAACAAATGTATTCTAAATTGTTGCAGTGTATTCCTAGAATCCATTATTCATGCCACTTTTATTAGGGACCGGTCAAGCAGAAGTATACAGCAAGGCCAAAAATTCAAGTTAATGCATCTGATATAAAAATGTATTCAACAGATAGCATATATACTCTAGTTTATGAAACTGTCTACCTTTTTTCTGTACCATTTTTGGTTCTAAAGTTACATACGTTTTAAACATACCATGTATGCAACATGGAACAAAAATTATTTCCCAAATTACAAAGATCTGCAAATCATGTAAATAAATTGATGTATTTCATCATATCTTGTGTTATTCGATCTTTGAACTGTTGATGAAGGTACATGATTTTTTTTTTTTTATGTATTTAAAATGATAAAAATGTGCTTGGAAGGACTGACATATTTTATAGAAATAGTTTCCTTTCATTCTGAAGTAATATTAAAGTATTCAGAAGAAAAAAGATGACATTCCATTCCATTCCATTTTCTTCCGCTTATCCGGAGCCGGGTCGCGGAGGCAGCAGTCTAAGCAGGGACTCCCAACACGTGGCGGCTGAGCTGTGGGGCTATAAGCAAGCCCACACCAGCTCGCCGCCGCTCTCCGCAGGCAACACCAGAAAAATGGAGGGTCCAACCCCTCTCGAGAGGTTGGGTACCAGAGCCCAAGCTGTGCGTGGAGGTGAGGCTGACTATATCTAACCGGTACCTCTCAACCTCCCGCACAAGCTCAGGCTCCTTCCCCCCCAGTGAGGTGACGTTCCACGTCCCTACAGCCAGGTTCTGTGTCCGTGGACTAGGTTGCCGGGATCCCTGACCCCGACCTCTGCCTAGTTCACAGCGCACCCGACCCCTATGAAACCCTCTGCGGGTGGTGAGCCCACAGGAGGGCGGGCCCACGTCGTCCCTTCGGGCTGAGCCCGGCCGGGCCCCGTGGGCAAAGGCCTGGCCACCAGGCGCTCGCTTTCGAGCCCCAACCCCAGGCCTGGCTCCAGGGTGGGGCCCCGGCTGCGCCATACCGGGCGACGTCACGGTCCTTGTTTTTAAGCTATTCATAGAGGTTCTATGAACTGCTCTTAGTCTGCCCCGTCACCTAGGACCTGTTTGCCATGGGAGACCCTACCAGGGGCATAATGCCCCGGGCAACATAGCTCCTAGGATCATTCGGGTACACAAACTCCCCCACCACGATAAGGTGGCAGATGACAGATTATGCAAAATCATGCACCTTCTACTTGCATGCACAATTTTCCCTCCGTTACTTTTCCCTCCGTTACCATGACCTTTCTTAATAAAAAAATCTCATTACTCAAAAAGTAAGAGGTTTTTCAACCTAATCTTGTACCATATGGTAGAAAACTATATGAAGCAAATATTCAAACTAGTTTGTTAAGGATATGTAAGTGAGAACCGCTAGTTATCACTGTTTGTATTTATTGCCCAAAAAGTGCTGCATATTTCATTCCTTCCGTTACCAACATGAGTTTTTAAATTTTTTATCAACAACTTGAAAGAATGTCACAGGGTTAACTTTACCCTGTTGAAGTGCTAACTCTTTCCTACATTCTAATACCTTACTTATTTCAATATATATAATATATAATAATATATATATATAAGAGCTATTTGAATGTAAAAAATCTGCCCGTTTCCCTTACCGCTTGACCGGACCCATTTAGCACTTTTTCTCAACTTCCAGAGGTCAGAGCAGAGTTTTAGTTTATTGATAAATCATTCTTTTTGTAAGGGTAAATCAAATTAATAGTAATTTTGAGCAATGACATTAGAAATTTCACAACTGTAAAAATAGTTTCAGTATTTTATTTATCTTAAAGTGAAGGTTTCAGTGATTTACTGAGATGTAGGTTATAGACAGAAGAAAACAGTATTATTGAGACACTGATGAGATTTTATTGACCTTTCATGAAAGAAACTGGATTTGCAGGTTCAACGAAACGTGCTTACTGCAGCAGTTTGCCTGATTGAACTTGCAGTCTGCCGGGTATGTATTATTTATGCCTGTGTCCCATCTGGAGAAAACTATTTGGGGGAAAAAGTTTACCTTTTAATATTAGCATGATTTTTCCTGTTTGTCATCAGAGGAATATTGGTTATTGAGGGCTTGATTGTTTACATTCATTATTGTAAAAGATGTATTACATTTTCTGTTTGCTTTTAAAATGTTGGTAAATATGCACTATGTAATATTTCTGGTGGAGGATATGCCACTGGTTACCTCTACAGAACATTTATTGCTTTGCCTGGAACGTAGTATTGCGTAAAACTTATCTTTGTGGAGATAAGCAAGTGACGCAGGCCAGGGTACGAGCCAGATCTGTGGAATGAATTCATGTTTCAAGTATTTTTGAAATCCACTGAATAAATACAAGATAGATAAGCTGAGTCATTGCTTTTGTGTTTAACCTTATAGCTAATGGTCCTTTGTGAGCTGTTATGACAAATTTGAAGGCTTTTACCCCCGGTTCAAATATCATGTTCTATAGTGAAGGTGACATAAAAACACAAGTGATCTATAACAAGCCAGTGTCCTCAACAGGGAAACAGCTGGTTGATTCTGCGAGCCTCCTGTTGCAGCCATTAGAGTGAGTTATGCCACGGACTAATTCAATTAAAGCTGCACATGATTACAGAGACTACCAACAATGGGTACTTATTAAAGACATGGTATTTGCGGATGTGTAGTCCTGCATGTTTTACATTGCAAGGGATAAAATGTTAGGGGCTGGATTACTGATGTGCCTCATTCATTGTGTTATTTTAGATGGTGGTCCACTCTCCATTAAGCATAGAGCAATATTGAAATTTGGTGTCACATCATCATGGTCAAAATAATTGCGATTAATGATTACATCACGATAATGATTAAAGTTGCTGACAGTTTAAAATGTTATGGATATGAATGATTATCATTTTAATGTTTTGAATAAGTTCCATATTTAAACAGTTGTTACAGTATTGTACTTTGTTAGAAGTGCAAATTGCAAACAAAGATAATGGTAATTATCTTTGTTTGCGATTTACACGATTATACAAAATGACCCATGAACGATTATTACCCTTTTTATCACGAGAGATGGTATTATTGTTTATTGTCCCATCCCTACTCTCCATCTTTGTCTATGGTCAACCTGTTTGTGAGCGTACAGGCTGGTTGTCTGAGGGGGGCTGGGTGAAGATGGCTGCGATAGCACTTTCTTCATTCATACGAAAGAAGGGCGGAGCTTCTCCAAATGTGCTGTCCAGTGATTTTCCTTTTAACTTACAGACCAGGATAGAACCGGAAGAGAGTGGTCGCTGATAGAGGAATGACTTCTCACATTACAGAGTAGTCCATCTTGATTTTGTGTTTTGCTCTGCACATGATCCCTACAGGGGCATCTTTTATGCAGCCAAATCAATAATGATATAAAAATGTGTGTAAAAATATCCTGGCTGTGTGCAGTGGTAGTGGTGGTGGTAGGCAATGCTTTTTCCATTTTATAAAATCAGTTGGAATCTTATCTTTTGTGTCCGAGACTATTTGCAACACATTATGCTCTGAATGTTTTGTGAGACTCCATTCTATTGCACAAAATTATTACTAAAACACATTGTAAAAACTCATGAAGATTGTCAGGTTTTTAAACTGTCTCTGTTGGTTAAATCAACTGTTGAAGCCATATTAGATGACGCCAGTTATGATTTTGAGCTTTATAAAATTAAATGGGATGTAATAAAAATAACTGAAGTGAGCATTGAGTTTTGATTTTACAGTTCCCAGAGCAGTCACATTTTTAAGCACACACTGATAGTTTTAATAGAAAAACAAAAACTAATACATATTTGTTTTTAATATGAAAATGTCAGCAAATATAAGTAGCCTATGTAAATGTTTTTAATACAGAAGTAAGCACCTTTGTGAGGACGCTTACGACGTCCGCCATTTTATGTGTCTTTGCTGTAGACTGTAATAAGAGTCTCGCTGAATGCCCGCTCCACTGTTCCACTGTTACTCTGTGCTCATTGTCATTCTGCTGGCGTATATGATGGAACAGCTGCTTATTATTGCAGTTTGAGTTTGTCCCAGTTGGGGTCTGTCCACTCCCTCTGTGATTGCTGTC